CCCCGAGTTTGTTAAAATAATCAGTCCATCAAAAAAGTGACGCGCTGTTTAGATGGTCAACTTAGAGGGGGTTCACACTTAGAGGGTTGAAACCACCAGTGAAGGGACAAAGAGTCGATGTAAGCCAAGAGGAAACTGCTGGTCTTGAGTTATGATGCCGATATAGAAGTTCTACAAACTGCAGTTCCCTGATTGTCCACTTGAGGCTGTCTGTAGACACACTGTAGACAGTTTACAGCTGAGTTTACAAAACAGTTTAGAGCTCAGATTGAGAATCTATGTTACAAAATCGCAAATCAGAAGCTTGACTGACAGGTGGATTTCTAATGTGGCGACTATTATACAGTCTGCAGTATAAACAAGTGATTTTCACAAGTTAGAGGGAAGACGATCACTGAGTGTTTCTGTTTAATCACTTTTTTTGTCTAAATTCTTTATTTACATTTTTTTCTTGTCTAGATTAACAGGAAAAAATCATGATTACTGATGATATGAGTTATTCTGAATGGTTATAAGGCAAAGATAGATAGTAATGAGAATAAAACAGACATAAGATTAATAGATTGTTTAAATTAAAAAACACAAAAAGTGCTCTTATAGCATACAATAGTTTTTACAATAGATGTGCATAAATGTAAGTTTTAGCAGACATGATGCAACAACCTCATCTTCGTCTGGATACCAGCATATCGTCAACATATAAAAGTGTAAGTCCTCTGAGAGACAAAGGACCTCAAAGTGGAGATTGGTTGAGAATGTCACGAGATAATCACTGTTTCAGACACCTGGGATGATCCGTGTTCGTTCACTCTCTGTCTCTAAAATGTGCCGTTTGAAGGTTCTGAGTTATTCTGTGTGAAACTGTGAAAGTGAAGCTAAAGCAGGTCAGAGTTGATGTCAACAAACCTGTCCTCAGCGCCTGATGTCGAGGGTCTGTGGAGCTTCATTCAGTCTCTGAAAGCCGATACAGAAACAGCTGCATCATCAGCAAACACACACACACACACACACACACACACGTATACATGACACACACCGCCTCTATGTATGGATATTCAGGTCATCTGCTGGTGTTTTCCTTTTTTATGGCTGATTTATGAGGACTGTGTGAACCTCTCTGAATTTGAATTTGTCTCTTTTGTTGCTAAAAGATGAATTAGTCTTATTGTTTTTCCGTCTTTAGTGATTTTTATGTCGGAAATGCAGAATCGATCGGGGGAAACACACAGATGTCACGGTGTCTGGAGGATTGTGGAAACCTGTCTTGTCTATGTTTAGCAGAGCTGTGGTGTAGATTACCGCCCCTGATGAGGAAACCCTCTGAGTATGTGGTTTAAGATTTCACTCTGTAGATTTACCATCCATGCCTGACCATAAAAATATAAACATTAAAGCTCCTATCAGGAGTTTTTTTGGCGCAGATGAAACAGACTGAAAATTGATGTTGATGCTTCTTTAAAACATCAACAACAACGTCGACAATTTTCATGTTTTTACGATGTCTGCATAAAATATTCACAGTTACTGAAACATGTGACCGTCCAGAATCAGCAGGATGAGATTTTTTTAACATTTATTTACTTATTTTTCTCTGCCAAAACTGATCACTCAAAGCCTGTTTTCTCCACAGGGGGGCGCCAAAATTGACACAGACCAAAAGAGGCTCACTTAAGCTTTAACCGCAAATCTCTCTTTTCTTTTTGCAAAACAAACATGAAAAAATTAAGTATTTAACTCTAAGGAAGATGCTAAAAAGGGTCAAAAAGAATCTGATACTCACTCTAAATAAGAAAATATACAATAATGAACGGCAGATTGGCTGCAGTGCATCGTATCGAAGCTGAAAAAGACGAATAAACAACTGACGGAAAATCACAAAATTTTGCAGGTTTATCTGTATAAATCGGTTAAGCAAGTAAAATCCACAAATTCACAGAGACATTAACGCTCCTTGGAGGTATTTTTAGGATGAGTATGTTTTCTCTTAATGTTTCTTTGTTTGTTTTCCCTGTTTATAAGTAAACAGTAAATTCTGATGATAAAATCGAGTATTTCTCCATTTTAAATGTTTAATCTGGACTAAAGCGACTCTTCGGTCAGACTGTGTGCCGCTCATCTTACTCTGTTAAAAATAACAGTGAAGTCATAACCTCTTCCTCTCGACTCTTGAAGACTACGTTTGTTTGACGATCACGATCAGCCTCCTTGTAGAAGATTCAAGAAAAATGTGTTTCGTCCTGTTTTCTCAGAAGTAAACTTAAAAGATAATGGAGTATATGTAAGGCCTACGGTAAGGCCTACGTTGGGGTAACGTTGGGGTATTGGGGTTAAGGGTTAGTGTCAGGGTTAGGAAAAATGTCAAAAATCTTTGTAAGTGTTAGGGTTCTGTTGGGGTATTAGGGTTTGGCTAATTGACTCCAAATGGTCTGAAAGATTCTCCTAAAAAGGTCCCAGACAGTTATTTTAACTCTAACCCCAGTCCTAATACCCCAACGTGGATGAATGGATTAATGGAACAATATACCCAAAACAATAGTTAAAAATATTTAAAAACAGTTAAAACTCATATTATGTCATTGAAAAGCGTTAATGTGAAGTGAGACCCTGTATTCAAATGACCCAATGTGCTAACTGACAGGAACTTTTCAACAACTTATGAACTCATATGTCATCTAGAGAGCATTTTTAAATGTGTTACAGACTTAAAAGGCATTTAAAGGATTCTTTTAAATATTTTATAAATGTAAAGGGCATCTAGAGGAAACTTTTTAACATGTTAGAGGCATCTAGAGGAAACTTTTTAACATGTTAAAGGCATCTAGAGGGCACTTTGTCATGTTTCATTCCAGCTTTTATTATTTCTAATGCATTTTCTGGTTGCTGTTGAAACATGTTCAGCGAATTTAATCAAATAAAATCAGTCGTCATCGTCTTTTTGGCGAGCGCCGGTTGTGTAAATATGCAGCAATGGGCATATATTCGTATAAGACATGATGTAAAATTTTGATGCAGTCTCTGAGGAAGGAAAATAAAACCTTGAATGATAAAAAAGGGTGAATGTTTTGTTTTACTTTCTTCTTCTGTGTTTCATTAAAGGACAGGGACACGTCGAGCAGAAGTTTGTTTTTCCTCTCTGCCTGCTGAAGGTCAAACTTGTGTGTTTTTCTGGTAATTTTCCACCAAGTGTTTGAAAAGTTGTGTTTCTGTTATCAGAGTCTTATCAGAGGGTGGAGCTGGAGGAGGAGGCGTCCTTACGACAACCGTCAAACATTAACTTACTGCAGAGAGAAGCTGTAGGTGTCTTTACATCCACCCCCCTTTTTGTGCCCCTGACCCCGGTGTCGACCCCACATGTTGAGGTTTCCAGCGCAGGGTTATCATTGCAGCTTAACCTCACTTTGACTCTGTGTCCCAGTCGGCACGTGAAAACAGATTTCAGACGGCTGTTTGAGATCGTTTAGAAATGTTCGAGAGGCTGAAAGAGGTGAACTGATCCAGGTTTTCAGTTGAAAGTTTATGTTTTCTGACACTGAAAACATGATGACAAACACCAGCTCAACATACCCCGAGTATCTTTGGGTTATCTGGATTAACTAACTCCAACTAAAGAGGGATCTATCAGGAGGTTCAATCTGAGTGTCTAACTCTAAAACCCTGAAGTCTTTAAAACATTTTTTAAACTTAAAAGACATCTGGTGGGACATTTTTATGTCACTCTGTCCTTTTTATTGTGGGAATTTTATGATGAAGCTGTTAAGTTGTTCAGACATGAGGGTCCAGTCCCCACTCAATACCTCAGTCAGTACGTTTCCATGACACTCGAGAAAACCGAATTATCGCCTTACTCCGATGAAGACCGGACAACTGAAGTGCATGTAAAGACCTTCGTCCGACTCCAATCGGAGTTCGAGAACTTCAATTATGACACCCAGATAATGCGATTGGAATTTGATTTTCTCTACCATGTAACCGGCGAAGTCGGAGTATGATCGGACAATGCATGTGCGCTAACACCAGAGAAAAAGTGGCGCCATCATTTAGAGAATTTTCGACTCAGAAGCAACTGGAACACGGCTGAAGCACAAAGGAATGTCCACTTTTGAAACGACGAGGAGAGTGCTTTTTGTCCTGACAGAAATGATCATTTTAAAGTTTATTGACAGTCACAAAATGAGGAACGGCGACATCTTTAAAAAAAAGTCCAGAAACAGCGCTGCTAAAAAGACCCATATCGCCCCCTAGTTTTGGGAAGGAGGACACGTTCACATCAATAATTGGATTTTCTCAGCTGCATGTGTAACGAGGAGAGAAGTCCGATTCAGTAAACTAAAACGAAATATGAGCTTAGTCCGATTAAACTGTGCATGTAAACACACTGACTGATGCATAAGAAGCGTTTTGGTGAAATAAACCCTAATGTGGTTTTGCTTCAGTTAAAGTCAATTCTTGTGCTTTAATAGTTTTTATATAAAGTGGTATCATACTAAAAACTTGGTCTGTTGTGGTACAGACTGAGTAGATTCATAGATACTGAAAGTGCCTCTACGTGATATTTATAGAGTTTCACATGTCTTTATTAAACAGTATTGATTCTGACACGTTTCCCAGAAGCACAGTGAAACAGCATGAGTTTGAAGTTTGTTGCATGTTAATATAAAGAATAATGAGTTCATGTGCAGATATTTAAAAAGCATTTTTATGAATAAAAACTCAATTTTCCATAAAAGTGGAGGAAATTCTTCTAAACTTAAAAGTTTTCTGACTTTATCCAAAACTTTCCAACAATAATGAACTTTTTTTTTCATTCTTTGTCTGTCTGTCTGTGAGGTCCAGCCTCTCTGTCTGTTATTCTGTCTGTTCTGTATTTCTCTTCTGCTCTCCTCATGGCTCATTTCCATGACTGATCCCTATTGGCTGAACACCCTCAAATGCTCAAATCTGATTGGCTAAGAGAGCTGTCTTACAGATCCCCGCTCTGATTGGCTGTTTGCGGTAACCCTGCTGTGTGTAGCTGCTCTTATCAACACACACACACTTCCAGCAGATTTTATTTCTTCTGCAGACTCGGATCTAACAACTGTACCCTCATAAACCCGGAGCCGGACTACCTCCTGAACCCAGACCCAGAGATTGTCCGGGTTTGTTCGTGTCAGTGTTTGTTTTTTTCCCTGATGAGAAGAGGTCGGCTGAAGTTTGCAGCTCTGAGCTGAAGATGCAGAACTCCAAGAGCTTCATGTTGGATGATTTCCTCGCAGGATGGATCGGCGGTGAGTGATGAGAGGTTTTCCATGTGTTTTTGTAGAGAGAGAGAGAGAGAGAGAGAGAGAGGGGTCTTCTCTCCCTCTCTCTTTATGGTCGGCTTGTTTAGGGGGTCTGTGGGGGGAGGGGGTCCATGCATTCAAAAGGATCTGCAGACATGTTTGGACTGAATGCAAAAGTAGACGCTGATCTGAGATTTTCTCGATCAGCAGGAAAAAAACCTGCAGGATTCCCCCCATGTGTCCTCATCCAGGGTAAAGAATGGAGGGTCTGCAGTGAAAGTACCCCCTCCCTCTGTTTTCCCACCCTGATAAATAGACCCCCCCCCTCCTCTCCTCTGGTCTATTTTCCAGTGAACAGAGATAAAGTCTTATCACCTCTTTGCATGTTTCCAATGAAGCTTCAGCAGCTGAAGTTTCAATTCCTCTGCAGAAAAACCGCTTTTTGGAGAAGAATACTGCTGCAGTGACAGGCTGTGGCCGCGAGGGGCGCAGCTGCAGGGGGGCACAAACAAAAGCAGGCCTCTGCCCCCCCCCCCCAAGAAAGTTGAGGAGCAGTGATCAAACTTTAGGTTTCATGATTAGAGCACAAGGAGAAGATTAGACAGGAAATGGGTCAATGTCTCTTTTGGTAATTGGACATAACATTTGGAAAACAGATATCAAAAACATAAAAATGACTGTTTATTAGATTTTTGTTTTAATATAGAAAAAAACAAACTTGAACTACAGCTTGATTTTCTTTTTTGTTGTCTGGAACAAGTGAGGAAAAGTCACATAATGGTCTGAATATTGACTTTTATCTCTAAAAAGAAAAGAAAATATTGGGGGATCCGATTATTTTTTTTTTTTTGGGGGGGGGGGGTCATATTACTGATTAATTGGCCAATTTTTAAATTTTCTTTATTTATATATATATATATGTATATACTTTATTTTATTTTTACAATAATATATATTTGATCATACAGATAGCATCACTAATACATGCAAAAACTAAAAAATATTAACTTTTTTTTTGTTTGTTTTTGATCGCTTTTTGGGGACCCCTACTGGCCGTGGGGCCCTAAGTTGGTGCTTAGTTCACTTATGCCTTGGGATGGCTCTGATGGTCTGTCAAAAACAGTGTCCAAAATGGTGAACATTATTTTCATGATGAGAAAATATCATACACACAAGAATAAATGGAACAACAGCAAACCCACAATAAACTGTTTTAAGACTGAAATTAAAAACGATAAAACATCCTTGAGAGGAAAATCAGTCTATGAATGAACTGTATGAGACAATGTCAAAGTCTCTTTCTCTTTAAATGTAATCCTATTTCTTTAACACGCTTAAAGCACTTTTTTGCTGAAATGTCACCCTGTTATTATTTTTATTTTATATTTTTTACCTTGTTACTGTGTGACAGGTTTGTGCATTTATTTCCTCAGATGAGTTCTTTATGTATTTCATTTCATATTGAAATGTACGACATATTGTTAAGTCAAATAAAGCTGAAAAAAAGAAGAGTACAAGGACTGTTTTTAAAGACCTCCATCAGCTGATTTTAGTGGAGTATGATCCTTTAAAATGAATGAAATAAAAATCTGTATAAAAGGACGAAAAGTTATTTAACACCAGATAGAAATCCTGCAGGTCAAAATGTTTCACCAAAATAAAAGCCTTTAATAATCACTCCTAAAGAGAATAATTTTGGTTTATTTAAATTGACCAAAACAATGTAAAAGTAGAAAATACTGAGTATCCAAAGTCGCAAACTAATAACACATTTAAATTTAAGTTTTCAAAATAAAAGCTTGAATAAAGAGAGAAATGCCGACCTTTTTCAACCCTGAGAATCAATAAGGTTTAATATTGATCCAGTTAAACTGACTCCTCTGTGTGTCTGCGCTGAAATACTGTCGTTCAAAATGGACTCAAACTCTCTCTGTGTTGTTGGTTTGGTAACAAAAAGGCGAGAACGACAGCGAGTGTTCATTTACATTCTCCTATTGTCCTTCAATGAACGGAGTACCTCTGAAAACGACCTGTTTCCCTCTGCAGACCCTCAAGACCCTGTTTATTAACATGGCAGAGAAGTGTGTGTGTGGGTGGGTTCACTCAGGATGGACTCTAACTTAGACAGCACCATGTGTGTTTCTCACTCAGTTCTCAGTTTTAGTATTTTCTGTGTCTGAGTTTGAAACAAAAGTTTCGTAGTTGTTCGGTCGGTATGTTCACGACCTTCAGTGTAACTTTCCAAGGACACTGAGTCTGATAAAGTACGGCTCCTGACTTCACTCATGTTGAGTCTGACTCCCACAGAGACAGAAGAAGATTAAAACACTTATTTAATATAATTTTCCTCATATTCAACTTTCTTTTGTCATTCAAAGTGTCACTTTACATTTGTGAGCTGTCGGTCTATCGCTGCACTAAATGAATCAGTCTGAGGTGTAGTTTATATATGTCCGATAGGATAATCTGGAAATGCACAATAATAAGAAAAATCTAAAGTATCTCAGCTTCAGTCTTCATATAACACACCTCTTCCCTTTACCTCTATTATCGACTTAAATCAGATTTTAGCTCCAACCCCTCCAGTCCTTACCCTGTAAACTCTAATAATCACTAAATATTCTTCTTATTATCTGAACTGGTGTTTTAAACTTCTCATGAAAACTCCTCTCCTCTTCTCAGAGTGATTTATCTCTTTGTTTTTCCTCATTTTTCCTCGTTTCTCTGCTGCAGGAGCCTCCAGCGTGGTCGTGGGCCATCCTCTGGACACAGTGAAGGTATGTCTGATCTTTGGTGTGACTGAACCACGCTCCAGTCCTTTTACCACACAGATTAAAACAAAAGAACAAACATCTGCACTGCATCTGGAGCTAATGTGATTGTTTGTTAGACTCTTATTTAATCGCTCTTATGTAAGTAAAATTAAGAGCAGTTTGACATACTAAAGACATTTTACAACAAAGACAATTGCGTGCTAAGATGAGTACTTTTGGCTACATGTGGTATTTTATGGCAGTATTTCTTTCTGAATCTGACCAATGGAGCAAACGTGTCTGTCGGAAAACTGCAGTTCCTCTAACGGCCACTTGAGGCTGACTCCAAGGAGTCCCATCAAAGCCTGCATGAAAATACAAGATTTAATCACCAAGAAGAACTTTTGGACTCAGAAAAAAGCATCACGCAGTATTTCCGTCCTTCTTGGGTTTTCCTGCTTTATCGGCTTGATGTCGGATGTTAAAGTAGATTACAGGTTTATCGGACAAAATGCCAAAAAAGTCTTGATTCGCCGACTAGAAAAAAACCTTCTCACTCTCCTCGAGTAAAATCAGGAAGACACTTTCATACCGTTTTGATGATTTCTAATCATGAGTTGAATCTGAATTTCTCGGTTCCTCTCCTGCAGACGCGGCTCCAGGCTGGAAAAGGCTACAAGAACACTTTCCACTGCGTCCTGACCATCTACAAGAAGGAAACGGTAATTATTTACACTTTTTAAACTTCGTGTAAAGTCTTTATTTGCTACCAGAACTCAAACCAGCCTGTCTCCAAAAACAGCTGTTGCTAATCGTCTTAAACTCTCCAGTCTGAGTCCACAGCAAACTCGGCTTTCACCAGGGTGTTTTAGAGCGATCCCACAGTGGTGTGACATTCGATTGGTGCGAGTGAAGTCAGACGAGCGTGCTCAGATGTTTTTAAAAGTCAGAAAAGTGTAAGATGTAGATGTTTTTGTTGCAAACCCTCTAATTGGCGAGTGAAGATGGAGTTTCATCGTTATTCCAGACTTTCCTTCCATCTTCAAACACGAGCTGGTGAAGTCCTTCATGACCTCGTGATAACAAGTCTGTGAGCCGTGGATTCACTGCTGCAAACACTTCGAATGATGGTGAAGTAAAACAGAAACAGACACTTCATTGTTCAGACAAACAGATGAATAGTTAATATGATTCCTAACAGAGTTTCAAAACATGCAGTAACGACATTTTTCTTCTCCCTGCATTTAAGCGACTTTTGTTGGGAGTTTCACAAGATTTCTGGAGAGACAAAAAACGTAGAATCAACTCTTTCTGCCTGTTTCTCATCTGCTGACTGAAGTAGTTTACACCCTTTCCATCCTCTCCTCTCACTCGCTTCAGTGATCTTTGTTTGTGCACAATAATCTTTTTTTCTATACATCATATTTAACTCCGCTCACACTGTAATTACCCCCATCTCGCTCAGCTTGGGTCCTCCGCTCTGTTTCTTTTGTTTTCTCCACTGACCCAGTTTTCCGGCTCTGTTTGTCGAAGCTTTGTTTCTGTTAAAATCACGTTCCTGATCGTCTGCCGACTGTACAGAAACAGACTAACAGGAGAGATTCGGTCGAGTTCGATCGTGAAAAAGCTTCAGTTTTTCTCAGATTGTGAAACTTCTTTGTGGTTGAAGAGGAATCTTTTACTAAAGTGATCGTTGACTCCTCCACACATGTGTCGGTTCGAACCCTGCAGTCAGATGATTCGGTGGACAGCTGGGTTTGAATTTCAACATGTGTTTCTCAAATTCCTCCCCACCCCCCCCCACTTGGAAACGCTTTTTCCACGGAGCAGAAACCCAAAACATTTGGCAGCCCCGTCCATCCATTTTTCATCCTGCATTGTTGGCAGAGACCAAAATAACTCCAGGAAAGTTTCCTGATAAAAAACACTCTCTGTGGGTTTAACCCTCTGATGGCTCCGTGTCTGCGCTCTTTCAGGTCATGGGGTTCTTTAAGGGCATGTCTTTCCCGCTGGCCAGCATCACCGTCTACAACTCAGCCGTGTTCGGCTTCTTCAGTAACACACAAAGACTTATTAGCAAGTATCGCTATGGCAACGAGCGGCATCCCTGCGGCATGTTGGACCTGACTGTCGCCAGCATGCTGACCGGACTGATGTCGGTGGGAATAGGAGCCCCCGTGGATCTGGTCAAGATCAGGCTGCAAATGCAGACGCAGACCGTCTTAGCAGGTACGTTTGAGACCTTTAAGGTTCTTATTTTGGACTTTTGACCTTTCTGTGCTTTTCTGGGGGTTCAAATGACTTTCGGAGTTCATGCGAACTTCCTAAAATCCCTCAAATTCAACTCCAGGTTGTAGTTTTAAAGGGATATTCTGGTACTTCATCCTGTGATTAAACTCTTCTGACCTCCGATTTATCGCTTTATGAGTTCAGTGGAAACTCAGAGGATAAAACTTTATTCAGAATATTCAGACATAAAGTCTGATTCACTCCGCCTGAATGTCTGCAAGTCAAAGTCGTGCAGCAAAACTCTCCTAGAAGGGATATTAAAGGGAAGAGTTAGACCCCCCCTCCAGAGATGAATGTTGTCGACCGCTTGCTTCTCTAGTTATACCAACTTTAGTAACGACCGCACGATAGCGATACAGAGAGCCACGCCCTCAACCAAAACGCCACTCTATAGCCACAAATAATGCTCAGAACAGCACCTAACTTCATCAACAGGACATATAGGGTCACAGCCATAGTACTAGACACCAAATGTTCTTCCTTGAGCTGCGACACCCCGCTGAATCTTTGTAACTTTGACTCATTTCTTTAGCAAAGAGACTAAACACAACTCACCTGCTCTCTTCCAGCAGCCGCTTGTTTGTAGCGAGACCTCAGGCCAGTCCATTACGGACTCAGCGGGGTGTCGCAGCTCAAGGAAGAACATTTGGTATCTAGTACTATGTCTGTGACCCTATATGTCCTGTTGATGAAGTTAGGTGCTGTTCTGAGCATTATTTGTGTCTATAGAGTGGCGTCTTGGTTGAGGGCGTGGCTCTCTGTATTGCTATCGTGCGGTCGTTACTAAAGTTGGTATAACTAGAGAAGCAAGCGGTCGGCAACATTCATCCCTGGAGGGGGGGTCTAACTGTGTGTTTGACCCTAACTTAAATTAACGCCGGAATATCCCTTTAAGGAGAGTTTCGACTTGCAGACATTCAGGCGGAGTGAATCAGACTTTATGTCTGAATATTCTGAATAAAGTTTTATCGTCTGAGTTTCCATGAACTCATAAAGCGATAAATCGGAGGTCAGAAGAGTTTCATCACAGGATGAAGTAGCACGAGGAACATTTATTACCTTTTATTGGCGGAGAGTCACTCCAAGTTCACACCCTTCACACCTGCCGTCAAGCGATGACTCTCTGTGGTATTTTGCATCGTCACAGGAGAGACAGAGCGTTGAGTTAATGAAATAAACGGTAGATCTGTTTATAGTAAAAATTAAAAAACTTTGGAGTTTGTTTGATAAAGTTTTCGCTCCTTACAGAAAATTTGCACCTTGCTGGAAACGTGTCAAACGGCAGCGAGATCCCTCTGCGCTCCGTCGACATCCCCAGCCAGAGACTCTACAGAGGCCCGCTCCACTGCATCAGCAGCATCCTGCAAACTGAGGGCCTGCAGGGCCTGTACAGGGGGGGCGGGGCCATGGTCCTCAGGGACGTCCCCGGATACATGCTCTACTTCATCCCTTACACCATCTTCTGTGACCTGCTGAAGCCGGACGCCATGTCCAGTCCTCATCCCTGTTCCATCTGGCTGGCTGGAGGACTCGCAGGTAAATATGACGGTCTGTCCACGGCGGCGCCGTAGGCTGAGGTTTAACGCTGTCCGGTCACTGAGGTTGGATTTTGAGCAGGTGGTGTCAAAGATAAGGACAAAAATGTGGACACCTCGTGCTCTGACTCAAACCGGAGGAGTGGAGATGGTCAGGGGGGTGGAGTCAAGTCCTGATGAATCCTGATAAACCGCTCCCTGTGGGTCAGATCTGACTCACAGATCCTGTTTGTCCCAATCAGCCCAGCCTTGAATTCCAGGCGCGTCTAAAGACTGAAAAATACAGGGTGTGTCTTTAGAGCGTAGCCGCAGCGTTGCGTATCACACAGCAAGTAGATCGCCATTCTGATCAATGCAGCAAAGCGTTCAGAGCGCGTATCAGCTCCGTCACAGCATCGAAAGCGGCGGGTCTATTTTTGCTGCTCTACACTTCCAATGCGCGTCAATCTACACAGAGATGATCGTTCTAGACAGGAAGTTAGGCACGAAAACCGCACATGTCGTCCGGTAAATTTCAAAATAAAACACCATATGTGAACTCCAGACTGTGTATCAGTTCGTGTAGATGAGAAATCCTTCCTGGTTCTGGATTTATCAGTAACACAGAACAATCTGACGGTCGATCCCTGATCCATGTGGACCCCAACAGGACTCTGAACTGCTAACAGCATAAAGAAACAGAGTTTACTTTGTTAAACACGAGTAAATCTGCAAAAACACAAACTGTAAAATCACTTAAAGCTTTTTCACAGACAGTAGAGGCTCAACAGTCACTGAATTATATCCAAATTATCAGGAAATCGACCACAGAAAGGAAAAACAACCTGTTGTGAGCCTGTTGTTTCCTCTACACTGACCGGGGCTGAACTACGCCGCTGCTCCACTCCAAATCCGCTGATCCTGTTTGAGATCAGATGGCTTATCGTGGCATTATCAGACAGTGAGTGTCTATAAAAGGGCCAAATTATGAAAAGAAACATGTTTTTGGCATGGCAACAGTGAAGGAGGCCTCTAGAATACTGGGGCGTTCAGTGGTTGAAGTGAGGGTTACACACATGCAGTAAAAGGGTTTTATGTGTGTAACAGAGTCTGTTTGACCGACAACAACAAAAATATTTATAAATGGTTTGATGAAAAGTTTTTCTGCGGATGGTTCAGCGAGAAGGAAAGTGAGGTTTCAATTTAATGTTTGGAGGACTTGACGGCCTCAGAGCGGATCAGTACAGATCCTCTTTAAACCACGATCCCTCAGATCAGCTGCTGGAAGGAAACAGTCGCTCCAAATCTAAAAAAATCAACAGTTTCATTCTCTGGATCTGGTTTGTCAGAAGTGGACGTGGATTCTGTTTGTCGCAGCTCTGTGAAGTGTGTCGGTTGTTTTTACTGCCCCGGGAATCCTTTATGATTCTGATAAGAGTCATAAAGTGAGGATGTAAACACGTCTGACCCTGTATCACCTCTGTGAACGGTGTTGTTGGCGTACGACTCGTGATCTCGTGAACATTATAGCTTTAGCTCCGTTTTCAGGAGAGCTCAGATTTTTGGGGCAGGAAAGGGTGTGTAAACTTGCAGCCAACCACACGCTTCGACCCGGGAGAGCATGAGCAGTGTGGGTCGGGTAAACAGAGAGTATCCTGTGGACTCTGATTTGGGGGAATGTGTGGCCTCTGAGGTTCGAGCAGATTTTCTTCCAGATGCAGTCCGGCTGGCTGAGTACGAACACGTGACAGAGTCAGCACGTGGTGGACAGAGAGCTGAAATCAGCGGTGTGCCATAAATCTGTGACATGTGGAAGTTTGGCCCCGCCACCAGGCTCTGCAGCTGAGTGATGAGCTGTGCTGCGATTTCACAGAGCGGCTGATTATGAAATTCTTAATTTTTTAAAGGACGTGTGAGAAATTTTAGTGAAAAAGACGCTCTCTCAGATTGAGCTTTTCACGCAATCAAACAGACTTCTTTTCATTTTTCTTTAGCCTCACCTGAAGCTTCTAAATGAAGAAACTTTGACTTTCCTGAGCATCAGGACTCTGCTGAGTAAAACCCAAAAACAAAAGGATTAAAACGAAGTAAAAACTGAGGCGAGGAACTGAGCTGGTAACTCCAAAACAGCCTGTTCTGACCGACTGCAGATACTAATTGTTGTTCTTCTCGTCTCCAGGGTCCATTTCTTGGGTCACGGCCACGCCGGCTGATGTGGTGAAGAGTCGAATGCAGGCGGACCCTCAGCTGCAGAGGAAGTACAAGGGGATCTTACACTGCATCATCCACAGCTACAAAACCGAGGGAGCACAGGTGAGATCAGACTCCATGGGTCTGTCTGAGGGAAACTCAGTTACAGAAGTTCATGCAATTAAAAAAAATGTTATATTTACGACTCGGTGCATCAAAGCCGACACTTCCACGACACTTCACGCATCAGGTTGCGTTTAGTGTGAACGCATTTTCCCACGGTTAGGTAGGGCAGCACGATGAATCGATTTTAGATTCTAATCAGATTATTTGATTATGATGTAAAAAAAATTAAAATACGCAAGTCGATTTTCCTCTCTATCACGTCTCGTGCCTCCAGGCCACCGTAGACTCCTCCCCCTTCCTGCAGTTCCCACACACACCAGTGTAAACAAACATGGCGTTTGCAAAAGAAGGCGATAACTATGTGGTTAAATAAGACAAGAGCGAGTCAGTCGTGTTGAACTGGTACGACTTCACAGTTTCAGATGAAGAGCAAACCACTCCCCGCTGCAAAGTCTGTGTGAAGGCGGTATCAACCCGTCACCACGGAAACGAATTCAGGAGTAAACGCTTAAGTTTTTTGTCATATCGGCGTTTCAGGTGACTGTAAACGGTACTTTTTGAAAAGGGGTCAGAGAGTGCGTAAATTTGTAAACGACGACCATTTCATATCCGTGTGGATGTTTATCTACATCTCTGGAAACGATCATGTGACACACAGCGTAACTCTTTTATGGCGCCTGAGCGTGTCCAACCAAAACTCTTGTTCTGTCTTCTTGTTCTTGTTCAGTAAGTGCGTCACAGCGCCACTTACTGGCTTGGCATATGAACTACATTGTTTTGAGAGATGGTAGAAAAACTTTTTATTTTTGAAGTGAAGTTTAGTGAAGTTGTCACTTGATAAAAAATAAAAAATCGTGTTTTAAAAGATTTTATTTTTGGCCGAAATCGTGCAGCACTACCTGAAACCTGCTCTACCAGGAACCGAATCAAAACTCCAGGTTCTGTGATAAATCTGTCGAGTATTTTCATGTCCTACCTGAACTGTAAAAGGGTCACAGTTCAGCTTTGACTCAGTTTCATTTCTTCGTCTGTAGAGTTATAGAATTACATAACATATCAGGGCTGCCTGTTGACTGTACGGCAATAACAGATGGTCGGGTCGTTTGGACGTGAAACTCGAGAAAACAGTGTAACCCAAATAAGAGTCAAGCTGCGTTCCCAAACATGAACCCCCCCTGAAGTGTACTGGAGCATGTGACTGTTCTTCAATGAAGGATCGAGTCACAGCAGGACGTTCAGGATAAATACAAAATACAGACATCAGCTGATCAGAGATTGATCAGGAATAAAGTCCTTTAAAGTCAAGTTCCTGAAAAAGAGACCAATCCTGCAACTTCAGACAAAACGAAGAAAAGTCTCAGAGATGTTGAAGTGATTTCAGACCTGAATCAAACCACCACAGGTAGTTTTTATCGCCTTAGAAAGTCCTAAAGGGGGTCACCACAGCTGAAGATCTGCAGCCGTCTCGACCCTCCGTCAACAAGAGCTCTGCGTCCAAACGCTGCGTTCGAGTGTCAGGGTTCGTACTGTTCATTACGTTACAAACAGAACAGACTCCCAACAGGGACCAGCTTCAGTAAACACGACAGTCATGTGATCAATACCTGAAGGTCAATGGTGTTAAAGGAAGTGAACTAGACTGCTGATGTGGACAAAACGCCGGATCGATGAGGCGGTTATCAGAGGACGCTGACCCCCAAAGAAAAACACCGTTCACAGAACACTGAGTGTCTAAACAGAGAGACTTTGACTGTTTACTCACAAAGACCTTGACTGGGTTATTTAATCCATGAGCTTTTTTTTAATATTATATAATCTGAAGGAATAATTCAGGTCTGTTTGAACCTGGATCCTGTTGGATTATGTTCAGGTGGTTTCAAAGATTTTAAAGGTCAGCCCCTGCGGAACATTCGACCCAGGATTATGACATTTGGTAAACATACGTGTCACATCCAGACCGACCGGAGTGACTATGCTGACCTGAATTTTAGTCACCGTCTGGGTGCGCGAGCGAGGCGTTATTGACGCGCTTCTAGTACAATCCAATATCTGATCCAAGGTCGGTGTTCAGTTATATTTTTGCCATTTATTGATTCAGTGAAAAACAAACAAAAAGTAAGAAAGATACGTCCAACTTATGACAAGGATGATGAGGTGATGAGGGTGAAAGTGGTGTCAGAGATTAGCGGTAAACACCGTGAGCTCTTCTGTTCCCCAGATCACTGCTTCACCTGTGTCCTTTTTGTAGCGTTTACCTGCCCGTTCACCTTAAGTGCCCCTTGTGGTGATTGTGGGAGTAACAAAACAAAACCCAAAAAATATAACAGATAAAATGGCTCATACGCCTACAAAAACGCAACAAGATATCGATGATTCTGTATAAAACTAGGATCTTAAAGGTGGGGTAGGCAGGAATCCGTTAAAGAAGCATTTTTGTGGTGGAGAAACAAAAACCTTTTAATATCAGTCAATAGTTATTAGTTATTGATGACATTTGGTAATATATGGATATCTCTGTGTTCTCTTATGTCTGTGTCGTCAACATTTGAACATTTTTGAGCGGTCCGCTCTTTCTGACTGTAAACAAAGCCGTTCTCCACCTCCTCTAACCTGATTGGTTGCGAGGCAGACGCTGCTCCCCCGTGTCGTTCAGGAGCCCAAACAAAGTTAGCGTGCTACAATATCGGACAGTAGAAACCAACCAGAAAGTTCGGAAAATTGTCTGAATCCTCCTTTGGCCACGACTGCCGACACAAGCGAGAAAACAAAGTAAATACCGGAGACTCTGGAGGAATAACGGGCGCTTAAAACGGAGGTAGACCGGACAAGAGCTAAAAAGCCGGGTCAACATAAACGATGGGGGACGCTTGGGGATCTTGGTGACCCTGTAACCTTTCTGCTGGACAGGTAAACCGCTTTAACAAAGTAAGACAAGTGTCTGTAACAGAAGTGTTTCTTGTCAAACGGACCTGCTGTAGCGTGTTGTAGCGCCATCGCTAAACTGTCCTCCCTCGGGTCCTGGACTATGTCACTTTATCCTCGTTGTAGAAGTCCTGCAAACATTGTGTTTGCTGGTCGTCTGTTGGCATCTACAGTAGCACCAATGCTTTTGACTTTCACCTTGACTGGGCCCCATTTGTAATGATCTGAAGTATTTATCTGCATTATATCTGAATTTAATTGGAACGATACGAGCGAGCAGGAGCGTCTGTTTGTGGGCGGGGCTTGAGGGGAGAGAGAAAAAGAGAGAGAGAGAGTGTTTCTCTGTGTTGTATCTTTAACTCTGTGGCTCTAAAACAGTTGAAGTGTGTTTCTGCTCGATGAGGTTTCTATGAGGTGAATAAATGTTGGTTCAGTTGATCTTCAGGACGGCTGCAGCTTTAAGAACTTCTGCTTGTTGGAGTTTGAGAGTCTAAAGTTCACAGAGACACTCCTCTTCCTGGATTGTAGATAAACTGGATTTCCCCTCCCTCCTCTCTCTCACAGCTCACTCCACTCTGCTCACTCACTTCCTTGTTCCCTCCCCTTCAGATCTACAGTTGAGGTTGGGTGTAACCGCCGTGTGCTGAGCTGATCCTGCTGACTCACACATGTTGTTGAGATCAGAGCTCAGACTAGTTTCACTTCTCAGGAAATAAAACTCAGTCAGTCGTCGACAGCGAGTGTTGAAATGGCGCAGAAAGGAGTTCATCTGGACCGTGAGTCTTTCTCTTGTTCCATCTGTTTGGATCTTCTGAAGGATCCGGTGGCTGTTTCCTGTGGACACAGCTTCTGCATGAGCTGTATTCAATCCTACTGGGATACTGAGGATGAGAAGAAGATCTACAGCTGTCCTCAGTGCAGAGAGACTTTCATACAGAGGCCTGTCCCAATAAAAAACATTGTGTTAGCAGGTTTAGTGGAGGAACTGAAGAAGAGCGGACTCCAAGCTGCTCCTGATGGTTCCTCTGATGCTGGACCTGAAGATGTGGCCTGTGACGTCTGCAGTGGGAGAAAACTGAAAGCTGTCAAGTCCTGTCTGGTCTGTTTGATCTCATTTTGTGAAAAACACCTCCAGCCTCATTATGAATCTCCTGCCTATGCTAAACACAAGCTGGTGGAGCCCTCTAAGAAGCTCCAGGAGAACATCTGCTCTCGTCATGATGAGGTGATGAAGATGTTCTGTCGCACTGATCAACAGTCTATCTGTTATCTCTGCTCTGTGGACGAACACAAAGGCCACGACACAGTCTCAGCTGCAGCAGAAAGGACTGAGAGGCAGAAAGATCTGGAGGAGAGTCGAGAAAACATCCAGCAGAGAATCCAGGACAGAGAAGAAGATGTGAAGCTGCTCCAACAGGAGGTGGAGGCTATCAACGGCTCTGCTGATAAAGCTGTGGAGCACAGCCAGGAGATCTTCAGCCAGCTGATCCGTCTGATGGAGAAACGCCGCTCTGAGGTGGAGCAGCAGGTCAGATCCCAGCAGGAACGTGAAGTGAGTCGAGTCAAAGAGCTTCAGGAGAAACTGGAGCAGGAGATCACTGAGCTGAAGAGGAAAGACGCTGATCTGCAGAAGCTCTCACTCACAGAGGACCACAACCAGTTTCTGAACAGCTACCCCTCACTGTCAGAACCGGGTCAACCTGCAGATTCATCCAGAATCAACATCCGTCCTCTGAGATACTTTGAGGAGGTGACAGCAGCTGTGTCAGAGATCAGAGATAAACTCCAGGATCTTCTGACAGAGACGTGGACAAACGTCTCACAGGCAGTGACTGATGTGGATGTTTTACTGTCAGAACCACCAGGACCAGAACCAGAACCCAAGACCAGAGCTGGTTTCTTAAGATATTCACAAAGAATCACACTGGATCCAAACACAGCACACAGATATCTGTTATTATCTGATGGAAACAGAAGAGCAACAAGGACAGAAGAAGAACAGTCTTATCCTGATCATCCAGACAGATTCACTGATTATAATTGGCAGGTCCTGAGTAGAGAGAGTCTGACTGGACGTTGTTACTGGGAGGTGGACTGGAGAGGGGTCGGGGTTGGTGTAGCAGTCGCATACAAGACTATCAGGAGAGGAGGGGAATCTTTGGATTGTTTATTTGGAGTCAATGACAAATCTTGGAGTTTAGACTGTGATAAAAACAGTTATAGATTTGGTCACAACAACGTCTTCACTCGTGTCTCAGGTCCTCTGTCCTCCAGAGTTGGAGTGTACCTGGATCACAGAGCAGGTATTCTGTCCTTCTACAGCGTCTCTGAAACCATGACTCTCCTCCACAGAGTCCAGACCACATTCACTGAACCTCTACATGCTGGACTGGGGTTAGACTACTGGTTTGGAGACTCTGCTGAGTTTATAGAAGTGAAATAAAGAGAATTTTGAGTCCATCAGACCAAAATCATGGACTGAGATCCTTGAACTCTTGAAATGTTCTGGTTTGTAAATGTTTGTGGATCAGTCTCACCAAAAACTCTGGGTTTAGTTCTTCATTTCAGCTTTTTGATTCTTTTCTAAAGATGCTGATTTGGTCGCAGCTTTAAGGACAGTGATTGTGGAGAACTTTGATTGTTTGTATTTCTCATGTTGAAAAATCTTCATCAAGTTTGATATCAACAACATCAAGATGATGGTTTGTTCAAATCACCTTCAGTTGGTGCAGATGTTGAAGGTCTGAGACTTTAGAAAAAAGTGAGGTCAAAATCACAGAAAAAGGACGACCTTATTTCCTGTCCCAAATCCAAGCGTCTAAAGTCTTTCCAGTCGTCCCCAAAAACTCTTCAGATGATCTGTTTCTTTCTCTGTTTGCTGAATATTTGTGTTCATGTGATCGATGGATATTTCTGTCTGCTTCTGTTGGATCAGTGTGTTTGTAAAGACATCTAGAATCAGACTTTGGACAGATCTACATGTTGTTATGAGCTTTTCAATCACTCTAAAAATAATAATCACATTTATTAGTCCGACTGTTTGGATGTTTCTGACTCAGCTCAGATTGTGGTCAAGTCTCTGATTGTGGGTAAAAAAATCATAAAAATCCTCAAACTGAGTCACTGAAATCACCTCGTCTGTTTGTCTTTATTGTGTCTGTTTCTGCTGGATGTCATGTTACCGCTCCGTCCAAGTTTATTTTTGACCATAAAAGAGAAATGAGACTTATTTCTGTGGTCAAACTCACGTCTCTCACTTCTGTCAGTCCAAACTTAGAGATACAGACAGAGAGAGATTTGGATTTAAAGACAAACTTCATGTAAAAACGACTTTAATCCCGTTAATCCCTGACTCTTTAGAGTTAATCTGGATTTTAAACGTGTTTAAAGTTGTTTCACATTTTGTAAAGTTTTAAGTCCACATCAACTCAGAACTCCAGGGTCCTGGTCCAGGATCAGGAAACTCTGATCCGTGTCCTGATTTGTGAGTCCAATAAAAAGTTCGTTATGATTCCGACTTTTAGATTTCTTATTCCGATAAAAGCGGCGCTGCTTCATCTGTGTGGTGCAGACGTTCGTAGACACGCCCACAGCCGGCTGTAAACACCAGAGGAGATAACGACAGTAAGTTCACAGTCCAAGTTCATGGAGTCACGAGTTCATGATGGAGGACAGCATGTGAGAGACGAACCAAGTTCAGGTTTATGAACCGATTATGGGTCAGTCCAGCTGATCTCTAGTCTAAGGAAAGAAGTCTGGTCCACAAGAAGAAAACCGACTTAAAGGTGAAGTAGACAGGAATCTGTTAAAGAAGCATCTTTTTATTTGGTGGTTTTTATACAAAAAATCTTCTAATATCAGTCAATAGTTATTAGTTATTGATGACATTTGGTAATATATCGATATCTCTGTGTTCACTTACGTCTGTGGAGGTAGACCGGACAAGAGCTAAAAAGCCGGGTCAACATAAACGATGGGGGACGCTTGGGGATCTTGGTGACCCTGTAACCTTTCTGCTGGACAGGTAAACCGCTTTAACAAAGTAAGACAAGTGTCTGTAACAGAAGTGTTTCTTGTCAAACGGACCTGCTGTAGCGTGTTGTAGCGCCATCGCTAAACTGTCCTCCCTCGGGTCCTGGACTATGTCACTTTATCCTCGTTGTAGAAGTCCTGCAAACATTGATACGATACGAAACGATACAAGCGAGCAGGAGCGTCTGTTTGTGGGCGGGACTTGGAGAGGAGGAGTTGAGGGGAAAACTGGTTGGAGGGGTAGAGTTTACATTCAAGATTTCTCCTAAAAACTGGAACTAACTCAGATCCTGACTACCGCACCTTTAAGGGGTCTTTCTTTGGTTGATATTGACCCCGTCCTTGTCTTGTCCCTGCAGGTTTTCTTCAGAGGAGCGTCAGTCAACGCTATAAGAGGATTCCCCATGAGCGCCACCATGTTCCTGACCTACGAACTCTCCCTGCAGTTCTTCAGGAGTCTCTAAAACGAAGGAAACGTCCCGGTGATAAAAGGTGCTCCGAAGTTGTGTCACCCCGTCGGTGAGCTAGCTGCTTTTGAACTAATGCTAACTCGCACCGACGACAACCAAGCCTTAAAACCGGACCACGACCACAGCGCCCCCAAGTGGAACAAAACAACTGGTGGATCAGTGACTTTTTTGTCTTTTTGTTTTTTAAAATCTTGTCTTAAAAGTTTTAGGACGCAGTGAAAAAATCAAGTGCTCGGACGCCAAAGTCATCCATGTTTCTGCGAGTTAGTCCGACTGAAACCACTTTAGCACTTAACCAGACTAACGCTGAAACACTTCAATCCTGCACTTTTTCAGACACTATTTATTCCTCCTCTAATCAGATATGGAGATGATTCATTATGATTGTCTTACAGTTATTTCAGAGACTGTGATATTGACACCGACATAGGTCATATATCGTCACCCGTGAAGGCGAACACTAACTTTGTCTGTTAACTGATGATTAGTAACACAGCTGTAATCGGTGTATACGGCACGGTTAGTAATTATTGGAGGATGGGACACGTGGATGATTTTGGTTTCTGCTGAAAATGAACCAAAGACCCCCGTGTGCGTGTCTGTGTGTGTGTTTGTTACCGTGACAACAAAACGACCTGAAACTTTCTTTTTTCTTTTCTCCTCGAAGAAAAGCGATTCGACGAGACTGTTTTTATTCAGAGTTTGAAAACTTTTTGAGAGTAAAAGTGCACAACAGTTTTTTAGACCCACTTGACTGTAAAAAGTTTTCTTTAATTCACTTAAACGTTTTCGCTAATTTCTCCAAATTTGTGTTTTTATCCTGCAAATCAACACGTCAATGATAACAGTGTTTTATTCACCTGAAGAAGGGAGCAGTGCACTTTGATTTCATCGAAATATAGAGCTAACGTTGAATAGATTTAAATGTTTTTATAAAAGGATGTGACATTTTCAACAACAGCGAGTTTGAACTTTAATCATCTCCATGTTTCAGTCGCAACTTTCTTTTAGCTGCTCCAACATCGATCTGTGGAGCAGCATACGTTGTTGAAAATGACGCATCCTTTCGTATGTGAAACTCGTGTTAGCATACTTGTATATAATATGTGTGTTTCTTACATTAAGAAAGTTTATAGAGTTATTCGAACTTCACTTTAACGTCGCAGTTACATGACTGTCTGTCAAACCACGTACAGAAACTGTTAGTTTGGTAACAGATGCTGCTTTTAAAGATTCGCCGTCGATGTGAAAAGAGGGCGGAAACTTCAAAAGTGGTGTGAACTGTTCCCGTCGTAGAAAGGATTGTTACGATTTCAGAGTAAATACCGTCCAAAAACAAACCCCGCCTCTGCAGGTGAAACAGCTTTTATATCATGTAAATAATGTGTAAATATGTGGAAACATTCCAGATGCTGGAGAGCTACAAGTGTCTGACTGTAAATAAATAAAGATTTTAACGCATCAACACGAGCTGTCATGTTTCCGTTCTGTCAGAGTCATGTGACCAGCCGCCATGGGCAGTTTACTCTTCTTAAACCAGGAATACTGCCTCAGGTGTTCCTCAAGGTTCAGTGTCGGGCCCAGTTTTGTTTTCACAGAGGCTCCTGTCATCGATATGCAGACGACTCACAGATAGCCGCCATCCTGAGACCTGAAGACCCTCGACGCTCTGGAGGTCGACCCAGACCTTCTAAGGTGTTCCTGGGTCTACCACGAGGATCCTCCCAGTTGGATGGACAGTACATGGGTTCTTTTTGTTGATTCTTGATGTTTTGGTAAATTGTTGTCGGTTCCTGAGCTTTGTCCCAAATGTACGCTCCACTTTATTCCACCTGATAGAAATCTGAGGAAAGGTCAAAATCAGAAAATTCTGAGAAACAATGAAACAGTCGGTTAAAAGAGGAAAAGCTTCACCTTTACTTGACCGTATTTTAGCAGAATAGACTTCAGTAATGTTAGAACAAATACAAACAGCAAATTTTTTTAGCTTTGGTAGATGTAACTCCTATGAGTGCTAATTATTATTATTTCAATTTCCTCTTAAATTTTTTCCCTTTATTGTTTCTATAAGAGAATAAAATACAAAAAAGAGGAAAAGCCTTTTTTTTTTTTTTTTTAAGGCTCAGACAGAAGACTCCTTACAGCTTCCGCTCAGTTGCCTGCGCTGTTGCAAGATCACCATTAGATGGCAGCATTTCACTACAAAATACCATCATTGTCTGTGGTGTGGTGTTTCAGTGTCTCTGAGATCTTGAAGACAAAAAAAATATTTGATTTCTTTTTTCGGCATTTTTTAACAAATTCTGTTCCTTTTATTTATTTGTACATTTTTTTGGCATTTTTGTCAGGCATTTTGTTTTTAACAGGTGAAGAAACATCCAGAATCAACCCCATGATCACTGACCAAGCAGAATTTTCCACCATGCATTGAGGTGAAAATTTAAAAAGCATTTAAACTTTTAAACATTTGACGAACTTGCAAATTTAGACGGGAAAATTAAGATAAAACAACCAAACTGACCAGGAAGATCTGTGCAAAAGTATTGAACAACTTAAAACACATTTTAAGGGTCTAAATAAAACAATTACAGTTTAATCAGAACAACATTTAAACTGCGGCTTTAACTGATACAACACTCAAGTAAATTAGAATTTAGAGGCACTTTGTCCGGGTATTTTAAAGACTGAAGGAGAATTTATCATGTGGTTTGACTTTAAAACAAGATGAAAGTGATCATACAAATAATGTTGTTTTAACTCTAAGCAGATATGGATGTATCTAGTAGATCTGGAGTATTTTCAGTACACCTCGTGGAAACAGGATTTTTAACTCCCTCTGGTCTATATGGAGGACGGTGTGTGTGCGTGTGTGTGTGTGTGTGCTTATTTGTCCAGCAGGTGTCAGTGTTCACCCATGCTAACTCTTAAAAATGTCCACTTTATGTGTTGGCCTTTTTAAGAGTAAAGTACAGCCTTTGCTGTTGATGAATTATTATTTACTTGCTTTCGTTTCTGGACGTAAATCAGTGAGTATAAATGCCGATCCTCAATCTTCATGTAGCTATGGCGTAGAGAGTCCGTGCACTTTATTTATTTTTCAGCTTAAAGTAGAAATATTTGAAGGAAAGACACGAGTACCTTTTTACAAACCTTTTCTTTAATTAGTGTGATGCATTTCGTTTCCAAAAAGAACAGTTTAATGGATGAGACAGTTTTACAGTGATCGGGCTCCACATAGAGTATATGACATGCACTAAAGGAATAAACAGCAGAAGAACTCATATTTTACATTCCTAACCTATGCACCCTGAAAATATTGTCACCCTGAATTCAAAGAAGGACCCTCTCGGTTCAATAGTGAACATTTTATTAAATATATATTTTCTTTTTTTGTTAGAATACTTTTAATAGTTTCCCCTTTTTTCCACTGTTTACCGCATGTTTGTGTATTTCAGCCCTTCTCTAGACAGTAAAGTAAAACAGTTACTGACCAAGAGGAAGTCACATCATCAGAAAACTTGCAAATAAAGCCAATTATGGAAGAAATGGAAATTTAAAGGGATCGCTGCCGGGGAGGAAACCCCCCCCTTACGTCACAAGCTCGGTGGCTAACATCTTCATCCCTCACCCGTTCACTTTTAGACGGACGGTGGGATGAAGAAAAAGCAGGTAGTTGAAGGATGTGACTCTTTTCATGTCTTATGGATTTAAACATTTACTAGTGCAAATGCTAAAAAGACTGGAATGTTTTCAGTTTGTTTTCACAGTCGTAGTTGTGCTGATGAGAGGTCTGCACAATCTCCGCTTCTACGGCAGGGGAAGTCAACGTGGCCGCTTGACGAAACAGTCGCCATTAAGACACGTTTACTTCCACTTCTGGTTTTACTGGCAGGAATCAGCAGGGCAGTTACCATAATATTTGTTAATGTGCGTACAAATGTCCTAATATTATCATGTTAATATAGTGATCAGAGAAACAAAAACAACCCAAGCTCTGATATTTTTCAGTTTAAGCTCTAAAAGTTCAATTTAAAGCTCCTGTGAGAACTCTTGGTTGTGTCGATTCTGGCGCCCCCTGTGGACATAAGTGTCCTTACAGTGATTCTCAGTCTGCTTCAGGTCTAGTCCACTTGTTGGCTCTACTTTTCAGTTGGTTTTGGATTTGGATCTGTGCATCTTAACCTGCAGTATGAACGCAGCCTTAGTCGAATCAAAATCACACGAGATGTTATGAGAGTAAAGTCGCGATAAAACCGAAGTTTAAGTTCACGATAAGGTTATCACGTTCACTGCTGTAGATCATAACAAGGCATCAGAGTTGATGTCAGTCTTGCAAACATCCAAAAACTCCTCACAGAAGCTTTAAAACAAAAACAAAAAACAAGTTTTATTTTTATTTTAGCAAACCTCCGACAAAAATCCCTTTGAGTTTGAGACACATCTCCAAATCCAGGGGATAAACTTTGTAAACTGTGGTTAGAAAAGGCAGTACCAAGCTAAGCCTGTCTCTCCGTCTTCTTCGAGTTTCTGCGCTCCTGACAACAGAAAATGTTTCGATCGTCCAGTTTTTCAGTTTGACTTTGAAAGAAAATCAAACGAGGATTTGATGTGGTTGTTAAATGTCATCGAGGCTTTTTCAAGTCAACATCCTACTTCTTTACGGAACATATACAGTCACGTATCCTTATTACTGATAAAAAAAAAACAACCCCACCTGTAATATCGTCTACGAACCCAAGGATTTATCTACACCGAGGAGTCACGGCTCCACAAACACTGAAGTTTCTCATGCAACCAGAATGAATCGAAACGACAACACCGCACAACAAGACGAGCACGGATTGGACGGATGGGTTAGCACTGACCTCACACACAGACGACGTGGTTTTAGCCCTTTTCAAAGGCAGTTCACACACCGTGACGCCTTGAGATGAGTCCCACAGGGGGACCGGTTTACACACAGGATGTATGGCTGTATTTTCCATGAAGGGGCCCGTGAATTTAACTCAGAACAATGGTCCCTGTTCTCTATACAGAAACAAGGCCTGCATTAACATAATCGCAATCCTAGATGGGAGTGACCTGGTCTACGGTGCAGCACAGACGACAGTAACCCTCATGTTAACGTGAGAATAAAGAAAACTGCGATTTTCTTCAAGCACCAACCTAACTAAAAGAAACGTCTAATTTTCTGCATGATTTGACTTCAGACACTCATGCATCACACCAACATGGGCCCTTTGTTTACAGGGACGAGATTCAACACCCCACAAATCGTACTGAGTAAACGAAAACAAAGTTCTGAATCTATACTTTTTAAAACGACTAATTTACAGTATCTACTCTTTTCTTAGAAATTGCACGTTTCCCTTTTTCTCTTTAAAAGCCTTCGACTAACTCAGGAGTCGGCGTCTTCAGGCCGTGATCATAGAGGATGGAAGTGAGCTCTGCCGATGGAAGAAAACGGCACAATTCAACTCGACTTTGACAACAACACACACAAGTTTCTCTCATAAATTTCCTTTTACTTTGTCAATATTAAAATGATCGATTAAGTTCTCCACATGTTAATACAAGACTGCAGGTTTGGATTTCAGCCGTCAAATAAGATTTGTCAAATAAAAAACTTTGACTTTTGGTGCAAATATTTGGTTCCATCAGTGGTGCTTCAGTTTTAACAGCCGAGTTTGAGACAGTAACGTTTCACCAGTTGAAAGTTTAATTTCGGCATAATGTACAATCCCACAGAGCTCCCGTATGATCACGGCCTTAAGCTTCACCGAGCCTCAAACGACATTTAACACCCAACGCTCAACAAACCCGCCGCACCGCCCGTCTTTCTGGATCTATGGCACAAATTCTGCTGCCTGGAGATCGAAACAGAAACAGGAAGTTGTCTATTTTCTATTTTTATAACCTGTTTTTTTGTCTTTTTGACACGTGTCGTACTTTCTCGACTACCAAACATCTGCATGCTCAACATTTGACGGAATGTGTAAGTTTTTTTTTCTTTTGTTTTTTTTTTTCTAGACGCGGCACAACATAGAAGCCGCCCATGTCTCTGCCTGTGCACAAAACAGATTAAAAGACACGTTAACATCAAATAAACCAGGACTATATGAGCCGACATCGTCACAGACACATAGTAAGACGCACACGTTAAAACACACGCACACACACACACTTACAGAACATGTGTCGTACACAGAGACAGATAACACAATGGCTTTTTTTTCTACATACATGTTCCTTGTGTAAACGTTAGTATACGGGACGTAAAGACGGTGAGGATTTACAAACAGATATGCAGTTTTTTTTAATCTTCCTTGAAAGAAAACAAACAAACACTTAAATTTCCATTTTAATGTCGACATATTCTCTTTTTTTAATTATTGCGATCTAAATGATATGGCTTTGTCTAGTGAAAAGTCCTATCCGAGCTAGAAAATAAGAAAAGTTTATGTTTTTACAGTGCTTATGAAAACTTTATAGGCAGTCATATTAACCCTAAAAGTTTTTTAATTTACAAAATCATAGAACGATAAATTAATCGTACACTGTTGCACCAGGTCATTTAGAAATCACCAACATGCTTCGTTTTGTCAATACATGTCCGCACGTGGAGGTATCATGACTAAATAGACGGTTTCCGTTAACAGTACGCCTGTTTGAGCGCTGTGAAAAAAACACGATATTTCAACGTGTTCGCAGTCCCAAATCGTCCAAAATGGCAGCTTGGTCAAGGTGCTACTGTACGAAATATGGCGATCTCGGTGCCACTGCGGCGTCCTTTCAGGAAAGGTTTGAAATAAAGGCGACGCGTCAGGGTGGAGTTTCCAAATTAGCGTAGGTGTGTTACAGGTTTCAGTCGGGCTTTATTTTTCTGAACCTGTAAACACATTAAAAAATATATGGGGAGGATGTGAATTTTGGGGCAACAAAAATACTCAGAGATCGGTTGAGATTTACGATCATTCGGGGTTTTACGAATAAGCGGATGCATGTAGCAGCATCTACCGCATGAACCAAACCCCTACTTCCTGATCACGGGTATCGCAAATTTGATTTTTCGTTAGTTTGTATTTCTTTTTCATTTTTAGGTCAAATCAACTTTATTCCTTTTTAAGGCTGGATTTTTAGTTTGCAGTTTCTTTAACTCTGAGTTTTGTCTGTCAGAGGCGAGACCTCCCAAGATACTGGACATTTGATTAAAAAAACAAACCCTAAAAACGTCATATTATTTGGTTATTTACTTCTTTAGATTCACAACTTTTGTTACACTTAATTGGACGGGTGTTTTCACACAATAATAACGCAGCATTAATGCTAATGTAAGCTAACGTATTTCATGCCGCTCCAGTAGCGTTAGCGCCGAGGTTAAAATCTTTTTCTATCTATTTTAGCTGAAACTTTCATGACGTCTATAGACGCCAACACCAAAACAATGAAGCTTGTCCAGAAATGAATCTACGCCATATTTCGGGGATTCAGCTCCTGGCCTAAGCTGCCATATCTGAAGATCGGGAGTGTTGAACAGCGTGATAGTACGTTGGATAAGAAGATGCAAGACGTGGAATATACTCAGCTCTAAGCGAGCTCTTCAGGCAGTGAAGTGCGACATCTCGCACAGGTTTTTCTAAGGCTCAGTCTACAGTGTTCTAGTTTGATTTAGCCACAGAATACTCTCGGAGAAATACCATCTTCTTCATAGTTTCACGGTGGTCTTTGGGATGCATGCACTCGCTGAACGCTCGCCGGGTTCGCACCTACGATTTGACACCAGCATGCGGGTCTTTAGTTTTGGTGGTAACAACAGAAATAGTAATGTCTCACCAGGGTTTCTTTGGTTTTTTGATGTTGATGTACTTGGATCAGTGTAAGCTAACATTTTAAAAACATGAGAGGTGGCATTAAAATAACTCGGCGGCACATTCACAGGAAGTAAGACAGCATGTAAAAAATCCAGACACTGTCTGGGATTTGCATTCATGTGAAGATTAAGTGTGAAAATACGAGTTTAACACAGAACCACGTGACAGCGGATGACCAGAGATGGAGAGAAAGGAAATAATAACGAGTACAGAACTGGCTAACCCCACCGTTTCCAAGAGTTCAATGTTTGATTGTCTACGGGGACCAAACTCATCAAAATTACCATGACTTAGTTAGAGCGTTGAGTAAATATAGATTTATTTTGGATCCAAACCAGGTGACATGAGTCTGCTTCGCTCGCATGAGTGAAATCTGCAGTGAAATAAAATGTAGTCATACCTTGTGACCGAAGACGTACTTGGACTTGAGTTCTTGGCTCGTTCAGGCTTATTAGCTGAGAGGTCAATGTCGGAGGAAAATTACGTTTTTCTTTTTTGCAACTAACAGTTTTCAGGAAGCTCAAAGCTTTACAGGTGGTCGTTTTATGGACTGTTAGGACTTTCCAGAAGGACCTGGATTGAACATTGGTTTCTGAAAATTAAAGAATCTACCAACTTGAAATCTGGAAAATAAAAGTTATCCGTGACTCGAATGCCTCGCCTACATTTAACCAACAGCCGTTCACCTGTTTGACTCGAAATGAAACCCTCATCGACAATTCCTCTGCTGGAGGAGATGATATGAAGGCACATGTCCTAAAAACGTAAATGTAGACTAGATTATTTGACTTTTTTTTTATAATATAAAGACCTTCACCAGGTTCATAAAAGTAGAAAACACCCATTAAAGTAAACACAACATGCTCCATCTACTGGGAAACATGGTGGCAGTGTTGTTAGAGGGACCCCAAAGGAAAAAACCTCCGGGTATAAATCAGAACGAGGACAAAAACTGTACTTATTGTAAGAAATGTGCTGAGTGGCAGTTGAGAGGTTGTACAGCAATAGTGGGAAATAAAAAGGGAAGAGTCGTCGAAGAGTAGAAAAGAACAACCCCAAGATTTCTAGAAAGGCAGTGTGAAGCCTCTAACAGTTTGGCAAGAAACCCACCCCCTCCAACCCACCCCTCCATCAGCTCCCACGCTCGAACCCTGCCTGCTGTCGAAACTGACCCCCTCTGCGTCCCTTTTTCATTCGTCCCAGTCCACCCACAGTCCCCGACACAAAGACCCCCGCCTCCCTTTGCCCCGCAGCCCGGCACAGGCCGGACTGGACCCTGAATTTAGGGTTCGTTTGATTTCTATGTTGTGGTTTTTACTTCTTGAACATGTCCTGTAGAGGTCCGGGGAGAAACTTGAGGACGGTGTCGAGGATGCTCTCCTCGTCCTCTTCGTCATCGTCTCCGCAGCCCCGCGGGATGGCCTTCTTTGGGCGGGTCAGTGACCCCTCGCAGGCCTGCTCCATGGCTGCTTTCTCCTCCGCCTCCTTCTCCTCCTTCTTCTTCAGTCCATACTGAACAGAGAGAGGAAAATCAGAGTGATTCGTTTCAACAGCTCTGATTTTAACCGGCTGAATTATCTTCTTGATGTTTCTGAAAGGTTTGTTTTGTTTGGATAAACCCAATACGACCCGCTAAGAACACATGAATGTGTCCGCTGCTTTCTTACCTTGTCCCTGATGGTCTGCCGTACTTTTTCCCTCTCGGCCTCCATGCGGGCGTGTTTGGCCTTCCTCTCCTCCTCCTGCTGCCTCAGAGCCTCCTGCCGCTCCTCCTCCTTCTTGGCTGCATCAGGGTCCTTCTCCTCCTCCCCGCCCAGCATCTTCCCCATGTCTTTGGTGGCCCCTGAACAGAGTTAAAAACACAGAAAGAAGGCGGTGAACAGGAGCTGATATGACTGTCTGTCGTATTAAAGCATAAAAACTCAAAGCATCAGCAGTTCTGGGGATTATGTGACCGTGGGGTTCCTGAAAGATCCTTCAGAGGACTTGGAAAACAAACGGAGGAAGAGCCAGCTGGAGAAGCTTCAAAAACCACAGAGACAGAGAGAAATATGTCCGTCCAGCTGGTGTCAACCATCTGTCTGCATGATCTACACTTCAAGATATTCAACCTCCCTTTACTGAACGATTAAACTGAGAGGTGAACTTTAGAGCGTTTTTTCACTACAACACAAACGGCTGAAAAAACAAAAGAACTGAAACTGGGGATGCATGATACTGTGACCATGGTAGATGATAGATTCAAGAGTTAATGATCCACATCAGCAGATGTGAACATTTCTGCAGATATAATTAAATATATAATAAAAAGAGGAAAGGATGATGAATCAATGATGTGTACATGCTGATTATCAAATCAAAATCAAATCAAATTTTATTTATATAGCGCCAATTCACAACAGTCGTCATCTCAAGACGCTTTTCAAGGAACAAGAGCAGGTCTGGACCACGCTCATTGTTTGATGATCAAGAACCATCAAGATGGTATGGTAGCTGAAGGAGAAGATTCTGAAGCTCTGATAGGAGATGAATTACTCAATATATACGGATTCTGATATCAATAAGGAGGAGAGAGGAGCAGGAGGAGGAAAACAGGGAGAGGAGAGGAGATGGAGAGAGGAGAGGAAATAAAGAGAGGAGAGGAGGGAGGGGAGAGCAGGTAGAGGAGCAGAAGGAGGAGAGCAGGGAGAGGAATGGGAGGAGGAGAGAAGAGAGAAGGGAGGGAAGAGCAGGTACAGGAGGAGGAAGAGGAGAGAGGAGAGCAGGGAGAGGAGAGCAGGAGAAGTCAGGTGTAGCGTCTGAAAATCAGAGGGACTCAATGATCACAAATCTGCGGAGAAATTATTGATGATTACAAAACTCAGAGCCAAAGCTCTCAGAGTTTGTGACGTTTGGTCGTTTTAGTAGGTAAGACTCTGAACAGTTAGTCAGACAGACATGATTCGATAAACGACGACTGTTTATTTACTGATCATTTTTATTTCCAATAATTCAGAGTTTGATATCAATATCAATCAGAATCCTTTTGATTTTCAGTTTTTCCTGTAAATAAATGCAGAGAGACTGAAAAGAGAAAAAGTCAATCAGGCCGTTAACGATGAACTGAATAAATCCTCAAAGTTTGAACTGACAGTAAAAACACAATGAAAGTTAAAAACATGAGTCTCAGCGTCAGGCTGTGGGGTCTCATTTTTTGTTTTTTTAATTTCTGTCACAAGACTGTTGAGCAGTTTACACCCTGAGCAGATTTCCTGAAGTTAAGGGCGTCTCTACGTCTCCATCCGTCTCTCTCTCTCTCTCTCTCTCTCTCCTCTTAACCAGGCTCACCTCTTTATCAGTGACAGCTGCTCTGTAGACGTGAAAGCGACTCCCCCGGGTCAGAGATATTGCTGCTGTTAGCCCCGTCTGATCGATAGTAAATACAGGACCACCTGAGCGTGTATGAATTATGGATCCTCCAGCGGAGAGAAAACTTCATCAGGGTATCGATCTGCTGCTGAGAGGAGGCCGGCTGGCAGGCCGGTTTGCCGTGTTGTACTTTTCTTTAACCAGACTCAGAATACGAGCTGAATGAGATTATTTCAGGATTTTGACACAGTCGTAGTTCATAAAAAGTTGTAGATTTGACAGTTTAACTCCTCACTCTGAGTCGATTTCAGCTGTTTCCTCTGATGTCTTAAAGTTTCTGATATTCTTGAGTGAAGAGGTTTTTGAGAATATTATGCACAGAGCAGCAGAGACTCTTAAAGCCACTACAGTCATTAAAAATGAATCCTGCAGCACTGGCTCCTACACGCTGAAATATTGCAACCATTTGGCGTTATGTGGCGGTAAAAACCTGCCTCTTCAACGAGCCAAACGAGAGCATTTCTGAGGGACTGGAGTGAATTACTCAGAGAAATGCGACTTTAAGGACCAGTTCCGTCTCGGCTTTATGAGCCCAGCGGTGGCCGGTTCTGTCAGAGGTCCTAATTGGCCTGCAGCGCTGTGTGGCGGCAGAAAATCTGAGATGACAAATTAGCGCTCAGCTGGAGGGAGGTGAGGGGGTGGGGGAGGTCGGTGAAACATTCCCCAGGACTCGCTGGGGAGCCGGGTTAAGGTCAGACTGTCCGCTGTGTGTACTTCAGTGTGTAAAAACACTAAGACACACAACATATGTATGAGGATTGTGTGCTTGTGTGTGTGCAGACACCCTCAGAGGAATTATACAGAGCAGGAAAACGCCGTAAATTTGACAGGATCATTGTTAGCTTTGCAAAGGTGCGTAAAAACGTAAATAGCTTTATCCAGTCTGTTTCTGCAGACACGTCTTTGTTGTCAAAACACAAAAACTCTGAGACACGACGATGCGATGGCTCCTTAACGGCGCCGACACGTGCTCAAACAGCCAAAATACAGACGGTTCAGACACGGTGTGGATATAATTTATTCAGCAGCTCTAGTTCAGGCTGATTCAGGAGTTTGGCTGCGTGAGAGGAATAAAAGCACTTATGATCATTTCTGACTGAGCGATTCTGAGTGAAGCTGCTCCGCACCTCTGATCGAACTCATTCAGGGCGAAAACTAAAAGTAAAGTTATGTTTTTACACGTCTTCAGACATTCACAGCATGCATTTGTCCATGAATGTCAGGTTTGGGCATCTGGGGCTTTAAATCCCCGTTTTAACTCCAGACTCAGTGTGCAGAAATAGAAAAGAAATGTTAATTCTTAAGTCGTAAACCTTACCGCTCTTTTCTTCACTGCACGCAAACTTTTGTTGGAAAAGTAGAAAATGAAAGGTGGCAGAGACAGTCTGAGCTGAAAATGACCAAGATTGATGAAGTGAGAGTTAAAAACGGACCAGACTTCCTTTCTTTCCTGCTGATGGATGGTGAGGTTTAAAAACGGAGCTCATTTAAATAATATATGACCTCTGATGCTAAATTAGGGCCTCAAAAGTCTCCACAAAAATGCTCGGATATGTGGGAGGTACAGCGGCGCCATGTTCACGTCAGCCGGAGGTTTGAGCTCGGATCCAAACCCCTGCACATTATTGTCATAAGGTTTGCTTCTTCCCAGACTCTGCGGTCCACTCATCAACATCAGCCTGTGGTTCTGTTATTGCAGCGTCCTCGCCTGCTGCGGAAATGAAACGGCGAGCTCTACCTGCCCCAGCACGCTGATGTCTCCGAGATTATCAGACTGTTATCTTTCATATGAGCTTCTTTATGAGAAGAGGCGAGAGATTCACAGGTTTGATAGCGATGTAAAAGCAGGATCTACATGTCGGGAACAAAATACTGGATGGCACCTTCGAGGAGATGAAGCTCTGATAACGTCTTATCACCTGCAGAAACGTGAAACACAAACATGACGTCTTTCACCTCAGGACTGGATTAGTTCTGTCCAGAAGGTTCCTGAAGATATTTGCAAATCAAACGTTGCTTCCTGCACGAGAGTCCAAACATGTTCAGGTGAATCTCATCTGTTAAAGAGGTTCCTTTAAATATTTTACATCGCTGCAATCTGAATGAAAACTAACTGTCAGAAGATGCTGCACACAGCGGATACCCTCAGTTTTTTCAAGAACATGCAGAGAGATTTTCTAAAGAGGCAAAGCCGGTACTCTGGTGTTTCTGCGTCTTTAATAAGGTATTTTACTGTGTTTATTTTGGGGCTTGATCCCTCTGGGTTGTCTGATTTACTTTCATGTGGTAGATAGTTTTCCTGTCTGTGAAACTTGAGTGTACGCTTCATCATTTATGCGATATACACTCACCGGCCACTTTATTAGGTACACCTGTCCAACTGCTCGTTAACACTTAATTTCTAATCAGCCAATCACATGGCGGCAACTTAGTGCATTTAGGCATGTAGACATGGTCAAGACAATCTCCTGCAGTTCAAACCGAGCATCAGTATGGGGAAGAAAGGTGATTTGAGTGACTTTGAACGTGGCATGGTTGTTGGTGCCAGAAGGGCTGGTCTGAGTATTTCAGAAACTGCTGATCTACTGGGATTTTCACGCACAACCATCTCTAGGGTTTACAGAGAATGGTCCGAAAAAGAAAAAATATCCAGTGAGCGGCAGTTCTGTGGGCGGAAATGCCTTGTTGATGCCAGAGGTCAGAGGAGAATGGCCAGACTGGTTCGAGCTGATAGAAAGGCAACAGTGACTCAAATAACCACCCGTTACAACCAAGGTAGGCAGAAGAGCATCTCTGAACGCACAGTACGTCGAACTTTGAGGCAGATGGGCTACAGCAGCAGAAGACCACGCCGGGTGCCACTCCTTTCAGCTAAGAACAGGAAACTGAGGCTACAATTTGCACAAGCTCATCGAAATTGGACAATAGAAGATTGGAAAAACGTTGCCTGGTCTGATGAGTCTCGATTTCTGCTGCGACATTCGGATGGTAGGGTCAGAATTTGGCGTCAACAACATGAAAGCATGGATCCATCCTGCCTTGTATCAACGGTTCAGGCTGGTGGTGGTGGTGTCATGGTGTGGGGAATATTTTCTTGGCACTCTTTGGGCCCCTTGGTACCAATTGAGCATCGTTGCAACGCCACAGCCTACCTGAGTATTGTTGCTGACCATGTCCATCCCTTTATGACCACAATGTACCCAACTTCTGATGGCTACTTTCAGCAGGATAATGCGCCATGTCATAAAGCTGGAATCATCTCAGACTGGTTTCTTGAACATGACAATGAGTTCACTGTACTCAAATGGCCTCCACAGTCACCAGATCTCAATCCAATAGAGCATCTTTGGGATGTGGTGGAACGGGAGATTCGCATCATGGATGTGCAGCCGACAAATCTGCGGCAACTGTGTGATGCCATCATGTCAATATGGACCAAGCTCTCTGAGGAATGCTTCCAGCACCTTGTTGAATCTATGCCACGAAGAATTGAGGCAGTTCTGAAGGCAAAAGGGGGTCCAACCCGTTACTAGCATGGTGTACCTGATAAAGTGGCCGGTGAGTGTATAACCAGCTCAGTGGTGTGCTACCTTTCCTGGAGATGGACTGAAGCGCCTCTCTGGACCAGTTTTCAAACTTTTTGTTCCCCCGACTTGTTTTCACACCCATCTACGTGATTTCCATGTTCCTGATTAGAGTCAACACGGCCGGTGCTGTCCTTGACTGATTGATGTAACACAACACGGAGACTAATGAATCCAATTTCTCATTTAACAACCAGGAAATACAATCTGTGACCTGCAGCTGAAATCTATACCTCAGTCCGAACCGATGAAATGTTCAGGAGGTTTCTAACATCTAATTACATTAGTGTGTGTGTGTGTGTGTGTGTGTGTGTGTGTGTGTGTGTGTGTGTGTGTGTGTGTGTGTGTCAGGATAATTAAATTAAAGTTGAAGTGCAGCTGAATTGGACAAAGTGAACGGCTTCATGTGAAGAGTGTTCGTGCTCGTATCTTCATGAAATTAGTCTCTGACTGTGTTCGTGTTTCTGCGGAGGACAGAAAATATCACACGTTGAAATATCGTAATATTCTTTAACATGATTCTGTCCTGGTTAGCTGAAGTGTTTTGTTGATATTTAGGCCCCTCAGTGTCAGGATTAGAGCCCACAGTGCAGCTCTGAGCAGCAGTGTGAGGAGGCCCCCCCCAAAAGGCCGATATCACCGTCATCTAAAGTAAATAAAAACACATTATTCCCATCCTTATCAACAGCAAATCAAATCTAAAAGATCCTCTGGTGAGTGTTAAATGTGAATTCTGTTATGATTAATCTATTAGGGATCCATTTAAAAAATGTTAGCGTTTAATTTGCATGAAATAATAGACTTCTACATGGTTTTATTTTTATTTAATATTATTTACTTATATTTTTCTTTTCTTTCATCATAATTTCATTCAGTTGGATATAAATCCAAAAGTCCCATGAGAAAATATTTTACTGCTTCCTCTAAATCGATATATTCAAATATTCACTGACGTTTTGAGTGTCATTTTACTTTTGTGATATCGATCCACCTCCAATAACTCATTCTTCATGTTCCTTCAGTCAGAATTAGAAATATAAAACTGCTCCAGCCGATAACTAAAACCCGGAAAGGGCCCGGCCACAGATCGAATTCTAGTCTTAAATTGAGGCTTTATGGTACTTTTTAAATATTAATTCTTTATCGCGAAAAACATCACTTTTAAAAGTCAGTCTTGGCTAAAAATGGTTAAAAAATTTACATAAAAAAATGAATTAAAGCAGAAATGACATTGAACGATAAAAGCAGACCCATAGTGAAAATTATGTTTAAGAAATCAAACACTTGAGAGTGTGTTTAATCAATATCGGCCACTTTGGTTATTTGTAGGCATGAGCTATAGCTGGATTGATATCCTGACACGCCCACATAAACGCAGCACTCTCATTGGACATCTCATCTCAAAATGCTATCACTCCCCTCGAGACCACGACGATGACGACGACTGAAACCTCATCTCTGAGAGTGTGTGTGAGTTTCTCCATGTGTGTTTCTGTGTGTATATTCATGGCCAGTTGTGTCCCAATGAAATAAATGCCACATTGTTCCAGGAGAAAAGGTCACAGCAGTATAGACAGCACCTCCACGGAGGCTAAATCACCCGTATGGATGGGTAGATGGAGAGGAAACCGAGAGCAGAGGAGGGAGGACATTGGCTGCAAATAAATGGAAAGTATGGGATGGAGGGATGGAGTAATAGACAGCCGGGGTTACGAGAATATGAATGCAAACAAACCAATCTGCACCACACCCAGCAGGAGGGACAAAAGGATGGATGGAAAACGACGGAGGAGAGTGAATCGCATCAAACCAGAGAGAATGGATGAGCGAATTGGAAAAGAAAAAGGGATGGCGTAACGGAGGGAAGGAAAATTACCCCGGCTGAAGCCCGAACAAAACACGGAGGAGCGGGAAACAAGAGAGGATGGATGGATAAAGACAGAGATGGATGGAGCGACAGAGCAGAATCTAACGAAACAAAGACTACATGTTCGTTTATTTCACTTAATTTGCTGCTTTAAAGCAGCTCTGTTACTCAAACCCTCCCTGACATGTCCAGAAATAGTCTTCCAGTTGGGAGGAGATCTGGCCTTTTTGTTCCATGAAGCCCGGGGTCAGGATTAGATTAGATTATTCTCAGATCTAATTTATTGGAAAAGGTTTTTTTTATGCTTCTGCCTGTTCCAGTTATGTGTGAAAAGTAGATTAAAAAAATACGCCGCGGGAAAACAACTCTGAAAAGTCTGTATATTTCTGTTTGTGGAGTTAAACTCTGGAACAGCCTGGACGTCACTTTAAAAATGTCCAATAACATAAAAATATTTAAATCAAACTCTAGAGAAGAACTATTAAAAGATGCATATAAACTAAATTAACAAAAAACATGGTTTTATACTAGATATGATTGCTTAAAAGTAATATTAATTCTGAATAGTATAACACTGATTATTATTATAAAATTCAAGTAATTATAATAAGTAACCTATTGAGTGTTGAGCGGTTATCTTTGTGTATAAAATGTATGTATTTAAACAGATATTTGTAATTTATAAAAATAGATTTTTTCTTTTTTTAAATCTCTAATTTGCAGGGAAGGGTCAGGACTAGATAAACTCTTTGCTTCATTCTGTTCTTCTCAAACGGTGTATTTTGACATACATATGTTATCTAATTTATCTTTAACATGTACATTTTTTTGGTCTACATATGTATTATTTTGTTCAGTGTTTTTGTTTTGTAGTTGTTTCTTTTTTGTTGTTGTTGCTGTGAAAGTTTGACATTTTAACATGGGGCTCTATGGGGATTCACTCACTTTAAGAATGAGCCTCGTGTGGCAGCTGGAGGAACTACAGTTTTTTTGGCTCAAACTTCTTTTTCTCTCCAAATAAAAGGTTGGCACTTGGACATTAATTTGGATGTATTTCCAACAAAGCCGTCTCTGGGGTGTTCGTATTTAAAAAGCTTGACGTTTTCGCTGCATTGAATCTGTTTCCCTCCTCTGTTGGTTGTTTCACTTCTTCAGTCTCCTCCTATCTATGCCTGGAAGTGTCGTGTTCTCCATGCAGAAATGAACAGCCACTAATCTACATAATGCCCGTGCCGTGGTGTTCATGAATACATATTTTTTAAAGCTCTGCTGATCTTGCCAGTGCATGCCAATCCACATGAGCATATATGTAACACGAGCAGTGAGGCATGAAATTACACCTCCACTCTTGTATTTTCCTCCTGTATGCAGTCGGTTTGGACAAACACGACATGTGTTGCTTTTAAAAGAAGGGGGGTTCATCTAACCTGATCTCTATACATCATAGGTGAGGGGTCTCTCGGAGTTTGATCACCCAAACTCTGTAAATCTGTGGAGAGAAGTTTTCAAAATAAAACTGTGAACTCAATTCAAGAAGAGAAGTTGAAAATGCTAAAATGAGGGACGAAAAGTGAGTTACAAAAGGGGACCTGAGGGCAGCGGAGCAGGCACTGCGGATGTTGAGACCCAGCTGGACAGACGGTCAATATCAAGAGAGGGAACAGCAAGCACCCAGACCCAATTACTGAATTTAATTTGGCCCTGGTCTGACTCAGGTCGGAGTAAAACAGTTCAGAAAAACAATCTATCAAGCTGCAATATTCAAGAAAGGAGGAAGAAATGAGATAAAGAAACAAAGGTCCAGATGTGTAAAGAGAGCAGGGGATCTAAAGGTGAAATGAGAAAGTGGGGATGAGAGGAAGACGAGGGAGGAAGTGAAAAAGAGAGAGAGAGAGAGAGAGAGAGCAGGCTGAGCTGTGAAGGGATAAATCTCATTTCATCCCGGCTGCTGGTCAGAGCTGATGAAACTAGATGAGAGAGTTGATTTAAAGGGACGCTGACCTCTGGACCCCCGGGGGCCCCTTACCCAGGAGAACCTTCACACGGCCTGTTTTATGTGGCTCTTACTGAATGAGTCCAACCTCAGCAAATGTTTATGTCACACAGGGAGTAAATAAAGAGCAGAGGGCGGGCCGTAAACCTCATAAAGTTACACCCTCTACGACTGTAATCCGGTAATTCTTGAGATTTCTATTCGCAAAATCTACTTAAATATGCGGCGTCTGTGCTCTGGGTCTGTTTACAGCATTGGAAATGTTCTGGTTCTTGGGTGTGAGGGCAGAACTGACCAATTATGAATTATGAAGGAAAACAGCGTGTATGGAGAGCAAAAGCACGCAGAACATTTCTATACATAACTGCATGCAGAGTGTCCCTATCGACCAGCTTTTCACAACTTCAGATCATTACAAATGGGGCCCAGTCAAGGTGAAAGTCAAAAGCATTGGTGCTACTGTAGATGCTAACAGACTACCAGCAAACACAATGTTTGCAGGACTTCTACAACGAGGATAAAGTGACATAGTCCAGGACCCGAGGGAGGACAGTTTAGCGATGGCGCTACAACACGCTACAGCAGGTCCGTTTGACAAGAAACACTTCTGTTACAGACACTTGTCTTACTTTGTTAAAGCGGTTTACCTGTCCAGCAGAAAGGTTACAGGGTCACCAAGATCCCCAAGCGTCCCCCATCGTTTATGTTGACCCGGCTTTTTAGCTCTTGTCTGGTCTACCTCCGTTTTAAGCGCCCGTTATTCCTCCAGAGTCTCTGGTATTTACTTTTGAAATTTCACAGAACACAGCGATATCGTGATAGTACCAAATGTCATCAATGACTAATAGCTATTGATTGATATTAAAAGCTTAAAAAAAGATGCTTCTTAAACCGAATCCTGCGGACCCCACCCTTAACGGAGACGATCAAACTAACGATGAAAATCTTTGTCCACAAATATCATCTAGTTAAAAAAGTCGGCTGTATTGGAGAGTTCAAACAGTCACTAATCATTTATCTGCAACAAGCACATCAGTCTGAACTCTAACCACCTCCTTTCATCTCTTTTACTGTTATTGGATGATTTTCCACCTGGTCTATGACAGTATGAAGTCTGTTAATGGTCTTGTATGCTAAGGTTTCATGAATAGAAGACGGCACATGGCACATGGCACACACACACACACACACACACACACACACACACACACACACACACGACGGCCTCTTAGGAAATCACCAGAGCACGTGTATATGAGGAGTACTTACCACCTAAAGCTTGTTTCATCACAAAATCCATGGTTCCTAGTCGGTTTGGTTCTTCTTCTCCTGATTAAAGAGAGCTGAGCATGTAGCCACCAAGTCTGGGATCTCTGGGCGTCTCAAACCGTCTCACTGTCCTCCTCCTCTGTCCAAACGTCTTCACTGATTCTCCTCCGGACCTGCGAGGGAAGCAAAATTTGAAACTCAATTAGGCAAACTAACAAATCCGACAGTGTTCAGCTCACATTTACACGGTCAATACGTCAATAAAGACTCAAAATACAACAATGGATCTCCAATACGTCAGGCGTCCTGGACCCTGCAGGGCAGAGGGTCTGTGGACATTAAAACATCAGATAATGGGATCTTCTTAACACTCTCCAACCCTGTGACAGGAAAGCCATTCTGGGAAGTACTAAATCAATACTGAGGCCATTTGCTCAAAGTCACCTATCTGTCTGCAACCCAACCCCAAAGCATCAGTCCTCTTTATCGCTGGAAGGTCGTAAACATTTAGTGGGAAAGAAAACGGCGCGCTCTCATAAATCTATCAAACTGAGGACTCGTGAAACATTGGCATCGTATATACTCGTGTTAGAAGGGACAACTATTTGTAAATAAAATAGGGAAACTGAAAAAATCATCTCATTTATATTTTACAAGCAGCACAGTCCAGCGTCTCTGTTACAAAGCCCCCCCGCCAACAATATCCAACCCAGCTGCTCATGCAGTCCGTGGTTTTGGTTTTCTGCAAACATGGAAAATGAAACAAGAACAGACATGAAGTTCAATCAAAGATTCAAATTTCTTTTAGGATGAAAAACTCAAACATGAAACATCTACAATCAAAGTTTGAAGACGTAACGCAGCGTTGAACAAAACCAAACAGCTTCAAGATCATAAATCACTTTATATTTTCTTGTTTTACCTTATTTAAGTTTGTGTTCACAGGTTTTGGAGCAAGAACTACCAAAGTCCACAACAGTGAGGATTTATTCTCCAAAACAAGAAGATTACAGATCATACAGGATGCTGATTTAGGACCTCAGAAGTTCATTATTCTTATGATCAGGGATGTTGAAATAGCAGATTTTTCGTTGAATTACAAACATACGAAACAGGATAAAATATAAAACTAAATAAAAAGGTGAAGATGCTGTTTGATCCAAGTTCTCGTTCCACAATGTAAAATAGGTGATGCAAATATCGTGGATTGTACTGGTGAATGAAAGGCTGTTCAACAGATTACTCCTTTTATTTGCTTCCCATGAGATGTGTGGAGGTCTGATTATCCAATCAGTTTATCTGATCAATCTCAACCGTGTTTGTTAAAAATCGACCAAAGTGGTGTGAAGGATTTCCCGTCCTCTCTCGTGTTAATTCATACGCTTTACGACTTTCATAGACATGATAATAGCGTTAAACGAGTAAACGTAATATATTTACTGGGTAGACAACTTTATCAGCATTTAGCTTTAGCTTTCACCTGGCCATCCATCCATCCATCCATCCACCACGATGATCTCTTGCAGAGACAGACTCTCCCGTTAATTCTGACTTTCTCCATCTTGCCTCTCTCATAAGAAATCCGTCCTTCAGGGATCATCGCCTTTCCAAAACAACAGAGCTCCACTGACAGCTGATAGCCTCCTTTAATATCTTTAATGTGAACGAATCTCTTGGCTACATCTGACCTCATCACTCACTGCTGGTTGAATTTCACAACTCATTGTCCTTCACTGAAATGACACCCTGTTGTGTCTCTTTTGTCCGCCTGTTTTCTCTCCTTGTTGCCCTTTAGTCTACGTGATAAACCATCCAACTGCACCGCTGTCAACTGAGATAAAATCCCCACGTTTATTGCACCTGCTGAACCAGAACAACACTCCCATTCCCCTCCTTCTCCCCTCGCCGAGCATGCGGTGTCATTTCGCCTCGTCGATATTTGCTGGAGCTGAACAGCTGTTGGAGGAGATGAGATGAGACGGGGCGGCAGATCGAGCTGCACAGCTTCATTCTGGGAGGGGACGACAACGCGCTCGTAACTATGACTGGGAGGTGAAGAGACGACATTTCATTATCAAAAACCGAAATTTACACCGATGTACAAGCCCAGAAACACACACTCTGCACACTTGTGTGAAGATATAAGGCTGAGGATGGACCCATTTGGAGATTAAACCATCACTCAAGGAGGCTGCACACACACCCGTTCAGAGAGCAGGTAGCTTTTACTTACTAGGCTTTACTAGACTTAGAAAAGGAGATTGTACTAGATCAGGGGTGTCAAACTCAACCACAGCAAGGGCCATAATCTGGATTTAGGTCTAACCTGAGCGCCCAAACAGGGTCAACATTTTACCAAAACTGTCAACTTCCTTTTCAAAGATATGTAACAAAAACAGCAACGATTATAAATCATTTGGAAATTCAAAAAAGGTTAAAAAAAAATAAGTTTTTATTTTATTTTAATTTTTATTTATTAGTTTAAAAGATCTGAGCATGATATTAAAAATAGAAAAATAATGCTTTTAAAGAGCAAATACACGAGGAGAAGAATGTTGAAATCAGAGTGAAACATGAGGAAACAAAATCCAGACTGAAGTTCAAAAAGGAAGAGTCAGTGAGGTCAGGTAAGTGAGACGCAGAGAGTGAATGTACAATTTAAGACTTTTCATTTCCCACGTTTAAAAGATTTAAAAGATGCTTCATTGTTTATCCCTCAGATCTTGTGCAGATCCTTAAGACAGATGAGCAAATACAAAACGGATCCATGAGTTTGTTCATTGTTAGTTTCGTTACCGTGCACACAATTTAATCTACCAAACTGATTTGACTTGGTATTATTATATGTGGCCTTTGTTCAGTCTTAAATCAATCAGTGTGTGTGTGTGTGTGTGTGTGTGTGTGGCCTCTGTTTTTTTAAGTATACATTTCTCTTATCGTTATAGAAACAAACTCAAGGACGCTCTATTGGAATAAAGGAGAGATGCAGCTGTCAGACAAGGACATCCGGAAGAAAAAGGCAGAAACAAACACGATATAGACCCTTATTAAATCGGTGTATTCTTCTCCTAACCTTGACATTTAAGTCTCAATCCCTAAAAACCATCTGTAGTCAGTGATCGACATGTCAAGGCAGAAATGAAACTCCCTTTTTAGGCACAAAAACTGATATTTCGTGGTTCCAGTTAGTTTGAAATGAACTAACATGAACTCTTCAAAACACATACAAGGATAATATCAGAATAAGTCAAACAAATCCATCTCTTTTTGGATCAGTAAATTCCCTTTATTATACTCCTTACTTTCATATCTGTCTACTTTATATCATCTCTCTCTTCTCGTTTTCTTTCCCTCTTTTAATCACAGTTTTCATGACCTTCTTCATCCTCTTTTTCAGAGAAGACACCTACAACCCTCTGGACACGTTAAACCAGGTGGTGACCTAATACGGAGGTGAGCCATCCAGAGTAGAAGCATTTCTTAAATCTAACTGGAGCATTTTATGAGAAATCAGTACTGTGTGTTCAAACCGCTCCAACACAAACAATTCCTCGCTGTTTTTATCCCTTTTTTTTCCTGCATAGTACATCCTCTCCGACACAGCAGAGCCAGAGCGACACAATCATAAAAAACCTTCATCTGAGGAGGAAAACAATTCATCATGGCTTTATCATGAGGAACGGAGGAGCGTCACTCTACCTGCCTCCATTTACATCCTCATAGGAACCCGAGGCCTGAACAGCGTCTGGTTATGTAAGACTTTGTCAGTAGGCGTTTGGAGCTCCAACAGACTGAACTTTCATTCTGGTGATGGTGGAGGGGCTTTAAAACCTTATATAACCCTCCTTTTCTTTCATACAAGGCCAGATATACCATACAAACACAGAAGACAGCACCCAAGGCCATGCACCACCTCCCCCCTCCATTCATCTCCCATCCCCCAGCACCCAACCATTCTTCCTTCCATCCCACACCACCCTTTCTTCTTCCTCTTCTCCTTCTTTTTTAATTTCATAATCCGGGTGCTGGCAGTGGTGCGTGACGTGGGATAATGTTATCAGAGCGGGGCAGGACGGCGCGCTGATCCTATCCAGTTAATTGGAAGTTGTTTCCGAGTTTCACGGCTGGAGACGAGGACGAGAGCGGCTCGGGAAGGCAAGCATGAGTCTGTCAACACAACATGATTGTGACAGGCGAAGGAGCCGAGTACGAGGGGGAGAATGAGACACAGAAATGGAGAGAAAAGCTCTAGATGTGTGCGAGTTAGGTTCAGGGATGACAGGTCCATTACAGGAGGTACAACCAGCATGTAGAGACACAAACTGGTTCCACTGGTGCCGCCTTTGCCTCCTGTAATGATATGGTTATCTTGTGAAAAAAAGACAGCTCAGATTTGGGATTTTTTAACTATTGCAAAAATACCTCAGTGAGGACTAACGCGGTTCATGGAACCAACTAAAGCGTCAGTGGGCAGGAACTATATTTAGCAAAAACTAAGTTTGAATGAGACAGATGAGATCTTTTGTGTAAATCACTATTTGATACGGCGATGCAAAAACATCAGTCGTGATAGTAAGTTCCTTTTCCTCCGTGACAACAATGTTTGATGTTATATTTGCCAGAAAAAGCACAATTTTCACGTCGGTGGAGGCCAAAGAAAATATAGTTTGTGCTCTTCTGAGAACTGTTTTGTTACTGGAGTACAAACCATTTACTTTTGCCGCTCCGCTACGGTCAGCACGTATATTCTTCTCTGACACAGTAAACAAAGTTGCGGCACATTTTTCATCTTGTTTATCCTGAATGAAACGGCGCTGCTCTCTGTACAGAATGTCAGAGTCAGAGTGCCACCAAAGACAGAGAATAAATCCTGGAGACGTCTGTGAATGAATTAATGATGAGCTGCTAATGCCGGGCCTCGCTCTCAGACCTGCCAGGCAGCGACTTCACAGCCCTGCTACATTATTTATTCATGTGACTATGTGGTGATAAATTATTCCCTCAGCACAGACTGCAAGGCAGAGCATGATACATGACTCCATTCCATTTTTTCTTTCTTTAAAAGTCAGCGACCCGACTCGGATGTTGGCGCAGATTGTGTGAAATGATGTTTCGATGAGGGAGCTCATTTCAGCTTAAATATTTCATATTCTAATAATAACTAACGTGGTTTATTATAGCGCTGACTTCCAGTGATTTAGACCCTGTGACAAATTAAATATCACACCATTTTATCACGTCTTTCTATTTCTGCACTGGCCTTTAATCAATAAGACATCCTGCATTTTTTACTTGTCCTGCTTTTTTTGACGGACATTTATTTGTCTCACTTCCTCTTGTGCCATTTGGCATTTTTGGTCGTGTGGTTCAGAAATGAACAGAGGTGGCGGACTGAGGCACTTAATGTCCCCAAATTAAAATTCAGCTTTGGACAACAAATCGAAACGTTTTTGTGCTGGATCACAGCACCACCATCATGCAAGCATCGCAAACGTGAAGAGACCCAGAAAGGCACCCCCTCTTAGGTGAAACCAGGTCAACAACCCCGTTAGAGTCTGAAAAAAAATGCATAATACCGCCTCTTTACAGGTGATGCAACAAAATGGTCTCTTAGTAGTTTTTTTTTTATGAATACTTTACACTTCAGTAAAAATTTTCTGGAACTGAAAATCTGTAAATGAAAACTCTACATTTCATCTGTCTATGCAACTGTGTCGCATGCTGACCATAAAGTACAGTAATGAAAAGTATTCAACATATGGTATACAAATGTATCATCTGTACTTATAGGTCTATACGGAGTTAAATGTGGATGATGTTCACGTGTCGTCAGCCGCTGTCATACACTGTAAATGAACTGAGAGGGAATCACTTCAGGAAACCAAATCACTAAAAACTATGTAGTGCATATGCCAAGCCAGTCAGTGGCACTATAACGCTGCCCCAGAAATGCACCAAAGGCAGAAGAAGAGTACGGAGCATGTGTACAAAGGTGTTTTGGCTGGACTCGGGCAGGTGCCTTTACTCATTCAGTGCCACTGACGGATTTTGAAGGATTTTTCCTTTTTTTTTTTGGTTTTCCGCCAGAGGGTGCTCTCCCCAACATGTGAATAAGTTTGGGGTTGTTCTGAACGCAGAAAAGCGGAAAAATACATCATAACCATGTTACAATAACAAAAACAAGTACTTGCCAGTGAGAAGTGTGCCATCAAGTGTGCCATTTAGCCTCGTTGTGGAGTGTTTTTTCTCTATGAGGAGAGTAGGAAAATGGCAAAGTCCTTAGCCAAGAGCAAATGGTCTCGGCGCATCAGCTCCTGTAGGCACTGCACTACCATCTCTGAATCCAGTGGAGATCCCATTACCGGACCTTCACATCATCAGCAGAAAATCAAAGAAATAATTTTCCAGCATATTGTCGTGCTGCCGGTGCCGGTACTGGTGAGCAGCATCCAGCAACAGTCACAACAGCAACAGGACACAAGAAGTACATGTGGTTAACGTCACAGCGTCAGGTTCTCAAGAGCCAATACGACTCCCAGCCATCACAAAGTGACCTCTCACAATCGAATCTCGAATCTTGGCTAATAAAAATGTGTTTTTTCCAGATTGGCAAAGATTATATGACATTTGTGATATATATATTTGTGACTTTTATGATATGATATTTTTCCAAATCGGCAAAGATGATATACCACGCTGCATTGCGCAGGCAATAACTAAACACAGTAGAGGGTTAGAGACTAACTTTTTTGAAAGAAGAGAATCACCTCTTTCTTTTGAGACGCTGAACTTAATTCTAGTTCAAGCACAAGATATTCTGTGGGTCCTGAAAGATGTGGAAATTTCTATTGCGGTTAATGGTGGCAGTAGGTGAAAACTGTATAAATGAAAAACTGTAGTCATATACAGAGTAATGCACTCTTTTCAAATAGTACTGTATTGTACTTTTGTATTGTATTAGTATTGCAGTCACCTAAAACACCATTTCTGTGTGGATGAAACGCCAATACGACAAAAAATATTTGCATCTGCTGCTGAATTTGTAACCATTTAGGAGGGGCCTGAATTTTGGGCCTGATTCCGTGAAGACACGGCAGCTTATTCCTCTGTCAGCATTTCTCTCTCACACAAAGAGAGGAGGGAGAAAAAGAATGAATGGAGCCGGTGTTTGTGTTGATTCACACTCACTGTTGCACTCCATCTGTCCGTCTGTCTCTATCCTTTGTTTCACTCTGCCAACATCTTTTCCTTCTTTTATAGTTTCCACCTCTCGCTGTGTTCCTCACTTGTAATTTTCACAGGCGATGTTTTTATTCCTGCCTTTAAACGTTCACTCGTTTTCAACAGTGTACATTTGACAGAAGCAGTAAAATAAAAAAATCTAAAAATGCAAATTCAGGGGCGCGCAGATGGCCTGCGGGTTAGCACACCCCATGTATGGGGACCACGATCCCCGCAACAGTCGTGGATTTCGAGTCCAGCCCGAACATGTGCTGCATGTCCTCCCCCCTCTCTCTTTCTCCCTTTATTTCCACACTGTCCTATCAATAAAGGTAGATCAGTGTGTTTCTGCCTGATATTCGAACTCTTGCTTTGAGACAAAAACAGTTTAAGGAGATAGACATACAGATGCAGGTTTCTCTGGTTATGCAGCTAAAGCTCACTGAAGCAGTTTGTTGACTATCATCTAATTAATGGAGCAATTATCAGTTACAGCAGAGAGCCGCGCTCAGCCATCTGTTCACATGAACAATGAAATTGCTACGGCACCCAGGCGGTTAGACAAACAGTCAATCTGAGGAGAACAACATAAACTGAGCCTTCTTTCAAAGCTGGATTCCCGATTATTATCTTACCTTATCCTACTTTTATTCACTCAACACACTATGATTTAAGTACGAATGTGATTATTAATAGATTACCAAAAAGTTACAAGCTGACTTCAAGTACACACATTGCACTAAGGCTGTTTTTGACGTGCCTGTAGGTGTAATGTCAACGCCGAAGTTAAGAAGGTTTGCCTACTTGACTTTTTAATAAAAACTGAAAAAGCAATGGCTGCAAAATTTTTACTGAATTATCCTGTTAGTCCTGTTTGAATATCTATCTATGAATACTATAAATAATTTTCAGAATGGTCAGAGATAAATGTTTGTGTTTTTAAGAATTTACAACCTAATATGTAACTGCTTTGAATTAAGAGTAAATGTTTCCTTATGAACGCAGACTGAAGGTCAAAACACTCCTCTTCCTGGAATGTAGAAAAGCTGGATTTCCCCTCCCTCCTCTCTCACACAGCTCACTCCACTCTGCTCACTCACTTCCTTGTTCCCTCCCCTTCAGATCTACAGTTTGAGGTTGGGTGTAACCGTCGTGTCCTGATCTGATCCTGCTGACTCACACATGTTGTTGAGATCAGAGCTCAGACTAGTTTCACTTCTCAGGAAATTAAACTCAGTCAGTCGTCGTCGACAGCGAGTATTAAAATGGCGCAGAAAGGAGTTCATCTGGACCGGGAGTCTTTCTCTTGTTCCATCTGTTTGGATCTTCTGAAGGATCCGGTTGCTGTTCCCTGTGGACACAGCTTCTGCATGAGCTGTATTCAAACCTTCTGGGATAAAGTGGATGAGAAGAAGATCTACAGCTGTCCTCAGTGCAGACACACCTTCACACCGAGGCCTGTCCTGATGAAAAACACCATGTTAGCAGGTTTGGTGGAGGAACTGAAGAAGAGCGGACTCCAAGCTGCTCCTGATGATCCCTCTGAGGCTGGACCGGAAGATGTGGCCTGTGACATCTGCAGTGGGAGAAAACTGAAAGCTGTCAAGTCCTGTCTTCAATGTCTGGCTTCTTACTGTCAGATTCACCTCCAGCCTCATTATGAATCACCTACATTTAAGAAACACAAGCTGGTGGAGCCCTCCAAGAAGCTCCAGGAGAACATCTGCTCTTGTCATGATAAGGTGATGAAGATGTTCTGCCGCACTGATCAACAGTCTATCTGTTATCTCTGCTCTGTGGACCAACACAAAGGTCACGACACAGTCTCAGCTGCAGCAGAAAGGACTGAGAGGCAGAAAGATCTGGAGGAGAGTCGAGAAAACATCCAGCAGAGAATCCAGGACAGAGAAGAAGATGTGAAGCTGCTCCAACAGGAGGTGGAGGCTATCAACGGCTCTGCTGATAAAGCAGTGGAGCACAGCCAGAAGATCTTCAGCCAGCTGATCCGTCTCATGGAGAAACGCCGCTCTGACATGGAGCAGCAGGTCAGATCCCAGCAGGAACGTGAAGTGAGTCGAGTCAAAGAGCTTCAGGAGAAACTGGAGCAGGAGATCACTGAGCTGAAGAGGAAAGACGCTGATCTGCAGAAGCTCTCACTCACAGAGGACCACAACCAGTTTCTGCACAGCTACCCCTCACTGTCAGAACCGGGTCAACCTGCAGACTCATCCAGGATCAACATCCGTCCTCTGAGATACTTTGAGGAGGTGACAGCAGCTGTGTCAGAGGTCAGAGATAAACTCCAGGATCTTCTGACAGAGACGTGGACAAACGTCTCACAGGCTGTGACTGAAGTGGATGTTTTACTGGTAGAACCACCAGAACCAGCAGAACCCAAGACCAGAGCTGGTTTCTTAAGATACTCACGAAGAATCACACTAGATCCAAACACAGCACACAAATATCTGTTATTAACGGATGGAAACAGAAGAGCAACAAAGACAAAAAAAAAACAGTTTTATCCAGATCATCCAGACAGATTTACTGATTATGAACAGGTTCTGAGTAGAGAGAGTCTGACTGGACGTTGTTACTGGGAGGTGGACTGGAGAGGGGACGGGGTTCTTGTAGCAGTCGCATACAAGACTATCGGCAGAGCAGGGCCCTTAAAGTATTGTAGATTTGGATTGAATGACAAATCTTGGAGGTTAGAAAGTTATAAAAATGGCTATAGCTTTATGCACAACGACGTCAGCACTTTTATCTCAGGTCCTCAGTCCTCCAGAGTAGGAGTGTACCTGGATCACAGAGCAGGTATTCTGTCCTTCTACAGCGTCTCTAAAACCATGACTCTCCTCCACAGAGTCCAGACCACATTCACTGAGCCGCTACATGCTGGACTGTGGTTACTCCACACTTATGGAGACTCTGCTGAGTTTATTGAACTGAAATAAAAAATATATATATATATATACAAATTTTAAGTAAATCAGACCAAAAACATGTAATGAGATCATTGAACTCTTGAAATGTTTTGGTTTGTAAATGTTTGTGAATCATCTTCACATCAAGAACTTTGATCTTCAGGTCCTGATGCTCGCTCTCTCCTGATTTTCAGAAGCACTGGTTTTGTAGTGAGTAGTTTTTAATAGAGTTGGTGGGTGATGGTGGATTAGTTGAGACTATGGTGTCTTGATTTTTAATGATGTTCTAAAAATGTTTGAAAAAAATAGCCCCAACTGTGTCTGTTTGCTGAGGGAGATCTTTCATATATTTGTGTTTTGGTCACAGCACACAAATATTCAGACGAGATTGTTGTTTGCATGATCATGAATTTACATTTACTTTATTCTTCAAATATTTTAGGATGTTTTTGCATTTATTTGATCAGACAGAAAATATACAGAGAGGAGAAAGGACATGCACTGACTCATATTAGCACTGTGGATTGATCCTCGGACCGAGTGTGACAAGGACTGTCACTTTACCAACTGAGTAAAACTTGCAGCTCTGTTAAAAAAATTTTCCTCAGCTTCAGTTTGTGCAGATTTTTGAAGGTCTGATACTTTAGAAAACTACTTCATAATGTGACGTTTTTGTAAAGACATCTATCACGACTCTTTTCTGTGAATGAAAATGAGCTTTTTTGTAACTGTAATAATAATCACATTAATTTTTGAAACTTGTTATTTTTCTGATTCAACTGAGATTGTGGTGAAGGAGCTGAATGTTTCAGTAAAAAAAATAAATAAAAAAATAAATTAAATTGAGTCACTGAGAGCTCCTCGTTTGTGTCTGCTGTGTCATGTATTTATGTGGTCTCCAGGATTTTCATGAACTTTTCAGTCACTGTATAACGAGTTTTGGTCACAGGAAACTTGGTGAATGCTGCCAGCGGGCTCTTCTTTTTATTAAAGCTCCATCAGTGACACACACATCCTTCAAATCACATCCACCTACAGTCATGCGACCACATAATCTCAAACTGTTCAAAAAAGATGTAATTAATGTAAGATGCAATTTTTAAAATTATTTCACATGGTGTTGAAGTTTTCTTTCAGTTTTTAATCGCACATAAACTGAACTTTTTTATCCTCTAAAGGGGCGTGGCAGAAAAAGTTTAGACGTCACTGATGGGACCAAAGTTATGACTGTGAAACGAGCTCACGCTGTGGTCTGAGAAATCACTTTTATCAAAGTAATCTTTTCATGGTTACTGAAAGCTTTTCTTATTTACCAGCTTTAAAACTATGAAAACTTTCATAAGTACTTACCTGGAGTAATCATGTAAGTTTTCTGGTACTTACATAGTAAAGTGCTTTTAGTTACCCTATTAATACTAGATAAATACCGAATAAATAGAGGACTTAAAAGGAAGGATTAATGAAAAGTTAATAGCTGACTTCAAGCGCACACATTGGACTAAAGCTCTGTTATTGACGTGCCTGTAGGTGTAAAGTCAGCGCCTTTGTTCAAAAAGTTTGTCTTGTTGACTTTTTAATAAAAACTGATAAAGCAATGGCTGCAGAATTTCTACTGAATTATCCTGATAGTCCTGTTTGAATATCTAAATATCTATAAATATATTTTATTTATAGATATTACCTCCCAATAATCCACAATAGAGAAATAACTAGAGCATTTCCAAGTAAGCTAGCATAAAATAATTTTCAGAAAGGTCAGAGATAAATGTTTGTGTTTTTAAGAATTTACAACCTAATATGTAACTGCTTTGAGAGTAAATGTTTCCTTATGAACGCAGACTAAAGGCCAAAACACTCCTCTTCCTGGAATGTAGAAAAGCTCGATCTCCCCTCCCTCCTCTCTCACACAGCTCACTCCACTCTGCTCACTCACTTCCTTGCTCCCTCCCCTTCAGATCTACAGTTGAGGTGGCTATAACCTCTGTGTGCTGAGCTGATCCTGCTGACTCACACATGTTGTTGAGATCAGAGCTCAGACTAGTTTCACTTTTCAGGAAATAAAACTCAGTCAGTCGTCGACAGCGAGTGTTGAAATGGCGCAGAAAGGAGTTCATCTGGACCGTGAGTCTTTCTCTTGTTCCATCTGTTTGGATCTTCTGAAGGATCCGGTGACTGTTTCCTGTGGACACAGCTTCTGCATGAGCTGTATTCAATCCTACTGGGATAAAGAGGTTGAGAAGAAGATCTACAGCTGTCCTCAGTGCAGAGAGACTTTCACACCGAGGCCTGTCCCAATAAAAAACATTGTGTTAGCAGGTTTAGTGGAGGAAGTGAAGAAGAGCGGACTCCAAGCTGCTCCTGATGATCCCTCTGATGCTGGACCTGAAGATGTGGCCTGTGACATCTGCAGTGGGAGAAAACTGAAAGCTGTCAAGTCCTGTCTGGTCTGTTTAATCTCATTTTGTGAAAAACACCTCCAGCCTCATCATGAATCTCCTGCCTATGCTAAACACAAGCTGGTGGAGCCCTCCAAGAAGCTCCAGGAGAACATCTGCTCTCGTCATGATGAGGTGATGAAGATGTTCTGCCGCACTGATCAACAGTCTATCTGTTATCTCTGCCCTGTGGACCAACACAAAGGCCACGACACAGTCTCAGCTGCAGCAGAAAGGACTGAGAGGCAGAAAGATCTGGAGGAGAGTCGAGAAAACATCCAGCAGAGAATCCAGGACAGAGAAGAAGATGTGAAGCTGCTCCAACAGGAGGTGGAGGCTATCAACGGCTCTGCTGATAAAGCTGTGGAGCACAGCCAGAAGATCTTCAGCCAGCTGATCCGTCTGATGGAGAAACGCCGCTCTGACGTGGAGCAGCAGGTCAGATCCCAGCAGGAACGTGAAGTGAGTCGAGTCAAAGACCTTCAGGAGAGACTGGAGCAGGAGATCACTGAGCTGAAGAGGAAAGACGCTGATCTGCAGAAGCTCTCACTCACAGAGGACCACAACCAGTTTCTGCACAGCTACCCCTCACTGTCAGGACCGGGTCAACCTGCAGACTCACCCAGAATCAACATCCGTCCTCTGAGATACTTTGATGAGGTGACAGCAGCTGTGTCAGAGCTCAGAGAGAAACTCCAGGATCTTCTGACAGAGACGTGGACAAACGTCTCACAGGCAGTGACTGAAGTGGATGTTTTACTGTCAGAACCACCAGAACCAGCAGAACCCAAGACCAGAGCTGGTTTCTTAAGATATTCACGAAGAATCACACTGGATCCAAACACAGTAAACAGAGGGCTGTTATTATCTGATGGAAACAGAAGAGCAACAAAGACAGAACAACCACAGTCTTATCCTGATCATCCAGACAGATTCACTTTTTATAAACAGGTCCTGAGTAGAGAGAGTCTGACTGGACGTTGTTACTGGGAGGTGGACTGGAGAGGGGATGGGGTTAGGGTAGCAGTCGCATACAAGACTATCAGCAGAGTAGGAAACTCAAATGATTGTAGATTTGGGTACAATGACAAATCTTGGAGGTTAGACGGTGATAAAGACGGTTATGAATTTGTGCACAACAAAGTCTGCACTCCTGTCCCAGGTCCTCGGTCCTCCAGAGTAGGAGTGTACCTGGATCACAGAGCAGGTATTCTGTCCTTCTACAGCGTCTCTGAAACCATGACTCTCCTCCACAGAGTCCAGACCACATTCACTGAACCTCTACATGCTGGACTGTTACCCTATGGAGACTCTGCTGAGTTTATTGAACTGAAATAAAAATTAATCTTGAGTCAATCAGACCAAAAACATGTAATGAGATTACTGAACTCTTGAAATGTTCTAGTTTGTAAATGTTTGTGAATCATTTTCACATCAAGAACTCTGATCTTAAGTTCCTAATACTCGCTCTCTCCTGATTTTCAGAAGAACTGGTTTTGTAGTGAGTAGTTTTGAATAGAGTTGGTGGGTGATGGTGGATTAGTTGAGACTGTGGTGTCTTTATTTTTAATGATGCTCTAAAAATGTTTGAAAAATAGACCCAACTCTGTCTGATAAAAGGGAGATCTTTTATTTGTTGTTTGCTTTTTGGTCACAGCACACGAATGTTAAGCCTTGTGTCCAGATGAGACTGTTGTTTGCATGATCATGAATTTACATTTACTTTATTTTTTAAATACTTTGGGATGCTTTGGCATTTATTTGATCAGACAGGAAATGTAGAGAGAGGAGAAAGGACATGCACTAAATCATGTCAGGATGGGGATTGATCCTTGGTTGGACTATGATGAGGACTGTCACTTTACTGTGTAAAACCTGCAGTCCCTTAAAAAAAGATGTTCCTCAGCTTCAGTTTGTGCAGATTTTTAAGGTCTGATACTTTAGAAAAATACTTTAAAATGTAACACATTTGTAAAGACATCTATAATTACTCTTTTCTGCAAATGAGTCTTCAAATGAGCTTTTCTGTAACTGTAATAATAATCACATTAATTTGTAAAACTGCTTTTATTTTTTTGCCTTGGCTGAGATTGTGGTGAAGCAGCTGATTGTCTCGGTAAAAAAAAAGAAAATTAAATTAAATTGAGTCACTGAGAGCTCCTCGTCTGTGTCTGCTGTGTCATGTATTCATATAGTTTGCAGGCATCAACCATATAATGAGTTTTGTACACAGAAAACTTGGTGAATGCTGCCAGCGGGCTCATTGTTTTATTAAAGCTGCATCAGTGACACACAAAGCTTTCAAATTTACATCCAGCTATCGTCATGCGACCTCACATAATCTCACAATGTACAACGAGGTGTAAAAAATGTAAAAAAAATTGTAATTGTTCATTTATTTCACATGGTGCTGAAGTTTTCTTTCAGTTTTTAATCGCACATAAACTGAACTTTTTTATTCTCTAAAGGGGCGTGGCAGAAAAAGTTTAGACGTCACTGATGGGACCAAAGTTATGACTGTGAAACGAGCTCACGCTGTGGTCTGAGAAATCACTTTTATCAAAGAAGTCTTTTCATGGTTACTGAAAGCTTTTCTTATTTACCAGCTTTAAAACTATGAAAAACTTTTATAAGTACTTATCTGGAGTAATCATGTAAGTTTGCTGGTACTTACATAGTAAAGTGCTTTTAGTTACCCTGTTATTACCAGGTAAAAACCTAATAAATAGACTTTAAAAGGAAGGATTAACGAAAAGTTAGGAGCTGACTTCAAGTGCACACATTGGACTAAAGCTCTGTTATTGATGTGCCTGTAGGTGTAAAGTCAGCGCCTTAGTTCAAAAAGTTTGTCTATTTGACTTTTTAATAAAAACTGATAAAGCAATGGTTGCAAAATTTCTACTGAATTATCCTGATAGTCCTGTTTGAATATCTAAATATCTATAAATATATTTTATTTATAGATATTACCTCCCAATAATCCAAAATAGAGAAATAACTAGAGCATTTCCAAGTAAGCTAGCATAAAATAATTTTCAGAAAGGTCAGAGATAAATGTTTGTGTTTTTAAGAATTTACAACCTAATATGTAACTGCTTTGAGAGTAAATGTTTCCTTATGACACAGACTAAAGGCCAAAACACTCCTCTTCCTGGAATGTAGAAAAGCTCGGTTTCCCCTCCCTCCTCTCTCACACAGCTCACTCCACTCTGCTCACTCACTTCCTTGCTCCCTCCCCTTCAGATCTACAGTTTGAGGTGGCTATAACCTCTGTGTGCTGAGCTGATCCTGCTGACTCACACATGTTGTTGAGATCAGAGCTCAGACTAGTTTCACTTTTCAGGAAAGAAAACCCAGTCAGTCGTCGTCGACAGCGAGTGTTGAAATGGCGCAAAAAGGAGTTCATCTGGACCGGGAGTCTTTCTCTTGTTCCATCTGTTTGGATCTTCTGAAGGATCCGGTGGCTGTTTCCTGTGGACACAGCTTCTGCATGAGCTGTATCCAATCCTACTGGGATACTGAGGATGAGAAGAAGATCTACAGCTGTCCTCAGTGCAGACAGACTTTCACACCGAGGCCTGTCCCAATAAAAAACATCGTGTTAGCAGGTTTAGTGGAGGAAGTGAAGAAGAGTGGACTCCAAGCTGCTCCTGATGATCCCTCTGATGCTGGACCTGAAGATGTGGCCTGTGACGTCTGCAGTGGGAGAAAACTGAAAGCTGTCAAGTCCTGTTTGTTCTGTTTGATCTCATTTTGTGAAAAACACCTCCAGCCTCATTATGAATCTCCTGCCTATGCTAAACACAAGCTGGTGGAGCCCTCCAGGAAGCTCCAGGAGAACATCTGCTCTCGTCATGATGAGGTGATGAAGATGTTCTGCCGCACTGATCAACAGTCTATCTGTTATCTCTGCTCTGTGGACCAACACAAAGGTCACGACACAGTCTCAGCTGCAGCAGAAAGGACTGAGAGGCAGAAAGATCTGGAGGAGAGTCGAGAAAACATCCAGCAGAGAATCCAGGACAGAGAAGAAGATGTGAAGCTGCTCCAACAGGAGGTGGAGGCTATCAACGGTTCTGCTGATAAAGCTGTGGAGCACAGCCAGGAGATCTTCAGCCAGCTGATCCGTCTCATGGAAAAACGCCGCTCTGAGGTGGAGCAGCAGGTCAGATCCCAGCAGGAACGTGAAGTGAGTCGAGTCAAAGACCTTCAGGAGAAGCTGGAGCAGGAGATCACTGAGCTGAAGAGGAAAGACGCTGATCTGCAGAAGCTCTCACTCACAGAGGACCACATCCAGTTTCTGCACAGCTACCCCTCACTGTCAGAACCGGGTCAACCTGCAGACTCATCCAGAATCAACATCCGTCCTCTGAGATACTTCGAGGAGGTGACAGCAGCTGTGTCAGAGGTCAGAGAGAAACTCCAGGATCTTCTGACAGAGACGTGGACAAACGTCTCACAGGCAGTGACTGAAGTGGATGTTTTACTGTCAGAACCACCAGGACCAGCAGAACCCAAGACCAGAGCTGGTTTCTTAAGATATTCACGAAGAATCACACTGGATCCAAACACAGTAAACAGAGGGCTGTTATTATCTGATGGAAACAGAAGAGCAACAAGGACAGAAGTACTACATGATTATTCTTATCACCCAGACAGATTCACTAATTATCGTCAGGTCCTGAGTAGAGAGAGTCTGACTGGACGTTGTTACTGGGAGATGGAGCTGAGAGGGGACAAGGTTCTTGTAGCAGTCGCATACAAGACTATCAGCAGAGCAGGGGACTCAGTCGATTGTAGATTTGGATTGAATGACAAATCTTGGAGGTTAGACTGTGATAAAAATGGCTATAGCTTAATGCACAACAACGTCAGCGCTCCTATCTCAGGTCCTTGGTCCTCCAGAGTAGGAGTGTACCTGGATCACAGAGCAGGTATTCTGTCCTTCTACAGCGTCTCTGAAACCATGACTCTCCTCCACAGAGTCCAGACCACATTCACTCAGCCGCTACATGCTGGACTGTGGTTACACTGGTCGATTGGAGATTCTGCTGAGTTTATTGAACTGAAATAAACAGAATTTTGAGTCAATCAGACCAAAAACATGTAATGAGATCATTGAACTCTTGAAATGTTCTGGTTTGTAAATGTTTGTGGATCATTTTCACATCAAGAACTCTGATCTTCAGTTCCTGATGCTCGCTTTTGTCCTGATTTTCAGAAGCACTGATTTTGTAGTGAGTAGTTTTGAAAAGAGTTGGTGGGTGATGGTGGATTAGTTGAGACTGTGGTGTCTTTATTTTTGATGATGTTCCAAAAATGTTTGAAAAATAGACCCAACTGTGTCTGATATGTTTGTTGAGGGAGATCTTTTATTTGTTGTTAGCTTTTTGGTCACAGCACATGAATGTTAAGCCTTGTGTCCAGATGAGACTGTTGTTTGCATCATCATGAATTTACATTTACTTTATTCTTCAAATATTTTGGGATGTTTTGTCATTTATTTGATCAGACAGAAAATGTAGAGAGAGGAGAAAGGACATGCACTAAATCATGTCAGGATTGGGGATTGATCCTCGGTCCCAGTGTGACAAGGACTGTCGCTTTACCAACTGAGTAAAACCTGCAGCTGTGTTAAAAAAATGTTCCTCAGCTTCAGTTTGTGCAGAATTTGAAGGTCCGATACTTAAGAAAACTACTTTAAAATGTGACGTATTTGTAAAGACATCTATCATGACTCTTTTCTGTGAATGGGTGTTCAAATGAGGTTTTCTGTAACTGTAATAATAATCACATTAATTTTTGAAACTTATTTTTCTGATTCAACTGAGATTGTGGTGAAGCAGCTGATTGTTTCAGTAAAAAAAAAATAATTAAAAATTAACTGAGTCACTGAGAGCTCCTCGTCTGTGTCTGCTGTGTCATATAATTATGTGGTCTCCAGGATCTCCATATAACGATCATAACGATCAATCATATAACGAGTTTTGTTCACAGGAAACTTCAGTCTGCATTGTGACTTTGGATGAACATCTTTTCTCTTAAGCCCTGAAAGAATAAAATCTGAACAGATTTACATGCTGCTTCACCTTCTTCATATCACACCTGCATTTGTTGTTTTACCTGCTAAGAAAAGTGTGGATTGAGAGGGCGTGTCGTGTTCAATCTGAACAATCTGAACCGGCCGGTAAATTAACAGTGAATCAAGAGTGATAACAGGGTGGAAGTAAAAAGATAACTGATCTGTTATAACAGCATGAAGTTTTGTACGAATCGTGTAAGGGATTAACACACAAACAGCATCAGGGAACAGTGGGGAAAACGACCTGAAAAAGGCGACTGGTGATACAGTAAACAGAGAACAGACGGTGACATTTTCAGGAGGACTCATTCAGCCTGAAGAGAAAAAATTACAAACACAAAAGACGGGATGACGCTCATTTTCTGACATTTCATCATCCGCTTATATTCCGCTTATATTTCGCATTTCGCACTGACGTAAAATGTCATTGGTCCGTCCATCAGACTCATCCGTACAGTTTTCATCTGTCATATCACTCTGCACACTTCATCCACTCTCTCCATCCATCCTTCATCCATCCATCCATCCAACATTCATCACTCTGCTCTTGTGCACTTGTCATGTTTGCGAGTCGTCCGTTAAATCATTTCATCTATCACCCACTTTTCCTCCAAATCGTTCTTTACGCAGCCCTTTTGTTGACCACTTCATCCCTCCATCTATCACTCGCTCCTCTGCCCATTTACCCCTCAATCCACTTCATCCATCTCGTTCCACCTTTAATTTTGTTTATTCATAAATCTCTATCCTTCATCTATCGGTTTACCTCCACCTACTCATCCATCAACCTGCAGCTTCTTTGCTTTCATTAAAGCGTCCTTCAGTTAAGTGCACCATTCATTAATCCCTCATTCATCCTATCATTTCTCTCATCCATCGCTCGTGTTTTCATTAGTCTGGTCTTTCATTCATCAACCACTCTTGTGACGATTAATTAACCCATTCATGCGCAGACTCTACCATCTAGCCATCCAGCAGTTACCACATTTTAGTCATAATTAAGTGTGCCGAGACTCATCCTTTCACGCAAACACTTTAAAAGGACAACAAAATCTACTTTTTCTCAACAATAAGCAATTATAAGTCACACATTAACCCTTAGATGCAAGACTGATCGGACCCTAAACTCTAACCTCACCGTGTCAAAAACAAGCAGACACAGAATTAACACATTTTAGGCCATTTTGGCTCAGAAGTACCTTTTTTTATTTCAAATTTCCTTTTGGTCCACTCAGGAATGATTTCACAACTGCATCTATGTCATTTTAAAAAGACTTGAAACATTTTGTGTATTTGTGTTTGCGTGTGTTGAAGAAAATTTGAGTTAGCACTGCTTGATACTTAGCTACATCAGTGCATGCTAAAGTTCAGCATTATTAATCAATGTTAATTTCGCGTTACATGGATTTGGTGTGAATGGACGTTTTTGACCTGGAGATGCTTCGACAGGTCAAAAATCATAATGTGTTATTTTTTATTACCAGGCTTTCTGACTAGTAACCAAGCTGTGTTAAATACTTGATTATGATTGGTTCAAAAATGTCAATTTCAGTGAAGGCAGACTGCATTTAAGATATTTTAAAGACAAAAACAGACATGAAACAGAGTCAGAGAGCTGGAAATGAGAGGAAAAATGCTCAAGTTAAGGAAAGGAGGACCTCATACAGGTGCTGCAGTTATTTTTATGCATTTGTTCAGAGTGACAAAAGAAAAATTTAGTGTTTCAATTCAACTGTTGATAAAAATTTTCAGTTTAATGTTGATCCGACCTGCATGTTTGCTGTTGTCAAGGAAACACTACCAGCCCTGAAAACTGAGGGGCTGGTTTTTACAGTATTTCCACAGCAGAGCTCCATGATTGGATCTCAGCCATTGTTGTTGGGAGCGATCTCACTGGTCAAAGGCTGCTCTTCTTTGTGTCTTTTTCACAAACCTGAAGAGTTAGAAGTCAACAGATTTTTACAGATTGAAATTTTAACTCAAAGATTTGGGGTATTTGATTTGAGTAGCTCCACGCCTGCGCCATTAGATCTCCGTTGACACATGCTCAGTTGGAAGTCGATCTGAACGCACCACATGCCTCTGCTTCAGTCTCTTTGCGTAATTATTGTGAATGAACTGACTAAATTGGATAAATGCTTATTGCTCTTGACAGCAACAGCAACCTTTAAGTTATTTTGTTTTTCTACACTTAAGAACCACGGAGCACACTGTCACTGTAGATCACAATGCTGACGCCTGGAAATGGAGCTAACGACGCCACTCAACCATACCCCATTGACTCTGGCTACTTCACTAGCCTTATATATGTAGCTACACCTCCTCCTCCTCCTCCTCCTCCTCCTCCTCCCTCCTCAGGCTGTGGAGGATGGAGGGGGAGGAAGTAGCTATATATCACCAATGAGGCATTTGTCCATTTGTCTTGCGGTTGGTTGGCTGAAGGAAGAGAAAGACAGAAAGGAGGCAAGGATGAGAGGGGGTGCTGGGGGATAAAGGGAGGAGGGAGGGTAAGGAAGAAAAATGAAGGCATAGCAAAGAGGGGAGGATACAGAGCAGGGGAAGATGATTGGGTGGGAAAATATGGAGAACTAGTCCCCTCTATTTTATGACTTTTTAGCACGATATCAATATTTAAATTTTTCATAAACATAGCTATCATAAACACCTAAATATTGGGGCAGTCTTAGTCTGAATAGATTACAGTTCGGTCTCAGAGACCTCAGAGACGTCCAAATCCAAAAGATGAATGTGGCCTTTTTGGGATTGAAGTGTTGAATTAACCTTTAGCTAATCAAGAAATCAGCAGATGTGGAGATGAGGTAAACTAGAAAACAGCTAATGATGCCCCTCGTTAGGCCTAATCAGAAAATGAAACTCAGACTTGACAAAGTCAAAAGAGATGGTACAGACTCAGACCAAACTTTCAGGGTGTTCACGTTTAACCAGCAAAAAAAAAAGGACATTGTAATATGACCTGCTGTCCTGACAATGACTGGTTCAAAACTGCAGTTATTACACTTTTGCATCAGCTTCAGTTTTCAAACACTCAGTTAGCACTAAGAAAAGAAACAGAAACAACAAAGGTTTATTGTTCACACTAAGATATCTGACAAATTTCTGGATTTTGTTTTAAAGTTCACTTTCTCCACTTTCTGTGATATTTAATGACTGTTAATTCATTTCATAATTGAAAAGTAAACATTTGGTACTGTAATAATAGTAAAGAAACAATAAACATAAAAATCAAGATTATAGTCAAAATAGTCTTGATAATAAATTTTGAAAACTTTTAAACATTTATATATATAAATATATATATATATATATATATATATATATATATATATATATATATATATATATACGTGTGTGTGTGTGTATAATATATATTACAGAGAAATCATGTAATTTTACCTTTAAATCAACAGTTCATTTCAGGTTTGCAGATCATGTATGAGCTGTGTGTTGTTTGAGCTGCTGTTTCTTTTTACATGCACTTCAGCTGGATTTACAGTATGTGTGTGTGTATACATATATATATATGTGTGTGTGTGTATGTGTATATATATATATATATATATATATACATACATACAAATATATTTTAACAGTATATAACATTCACACACACGCTGTAAATGTAAAGAAGCAGCACTCTAAACAACACACAGCTCATACATGATCAGCTAACCTAAAATTAACTGTTGATTTAAAGGTGAAATTACATGATTTCCCTGTAATACTATCTCACAGCACTGTTTCTGTTTTGTCCTTCAAGTCAAAGTCAAACCACGTCTTTAAACCACAAAACAGCCCCAAAGAGGTACAGTTTTTTTTTGTTTTTTTTTTTGGCTTTGACAAAATTAAAAATCAAAATGTTAATTTGATATCTAATTTACTATCACTGTCCCACAAAATGAGAGAGAAAAGCCAGTGAGAATCAAGACACAATTTTGCTGCTTTGTAAACAATACAATACATTAGCATACTAGTACACTGCAATTTTTTAACACGTCTGTGGTTTTGATTTTTTACTTCAGTTCAATAAACTCGGCAGAGTCTCGATAACGATAGAATAACATCAGTCCAGCATGTAGCGGCTGAGTGAATGTGGTCTGGACTCTGTGGAGGAGAGTCATGGTTTTAGAGACGCTGTAGAAGGACAGAATACCTGCTCTGTGATCCAGATACACTCCTACTCTGGCGGACCGAGGACCTGACACAGGAGTGTGGACATCGTTGTGCACGAATTCAACACCGCTTTTGTTACAGTCTAACATCCAAGATTTGTCATTGTACCCAAATCTACAGTCCTCTAAGTCCCCTACTCTGCTGACAGTCTTGTATGCAACTGCTACACGTCTTACAACAGTCTTATCAGGATAAGACTGTTGTTTTTCTGTAAATGTTGCTTTTCTGTTTCCATCAGATAATAATAATTCTGTGTTTACTGTGTTTGGATCCAGTGTGATCCTTCGTGAAAATCTTAAGAAATCAGCTCTGGTCTTGGGTTCTGGTTCTGGTGGTTCTAACAGTAAAACATCTACATCGGTCACTGCCTGTGAGACATTTGTCCACATCTCTGTCAGAAGATCCTGGAGTTTCTCTCTGACCTCTGACACAGCTGCTGTCACCTCCTCAAAGTATCTCTGAGGACGGATGTTGATTCTGGATGAGTCTGCAGGTTGACCCGGTTCTGACAGTAAGGGGTAGCTGTGCAGAAACTGGTTGTGGTCCTCTGTGAGTGAGAGCTTCTGCAGATCAGCGTCTTTCCTCTTCAGCTCAGTGATCTCCTGCTCCAGTTTCTTCTGAAGCTCTTTGACTCGACTCACTTCACGTTCCTGCTGGGATCTGACCTGCTGCTCCATGTCAGAGCGGCGTTTCTCCATCAGACGGATCAGCTGGCTGAAGATCTCCTGGCTGTGCTCCACAGCTTTATCAGCAGAGCCATTGATAGCCTCCACCTCCTGTTGGAGCAGCTTCACATCTTCTTCTCTGTTCTTGATTCTCTGATGGATGTTTTCTCGACTCTCCTCCAGATCTTTCTGCCTCTCAGTCCTTTCTGCTGCAGCTGAGACTGTGTCATGGCCTTTGTGTTGGTCCACAGAGCAGAGATAACAGATAGACTGTTGATCAGTGCGGCAGAAGATCTTCATCACCTCATCATGACGAGAGCAGATGTTCTCCTGGAGCGTCTTGGAGGGCTCCACCAGCTTGTGTTTCTTTAATGGAGGTAATTCAAAATGAGGCTGGAGGTGTTTTTCACAAAATGAGATCAAACAGACCAGACAGGACTTGACAGCTTTCAGTTTTCTCCCACTGCAGAAATCACAGACCACATCTTCAGGTCCAGCTTCATAGAGATCATCAGGAGCAGCTTGGAGTCCGCTCTTCTTCAGTTCCTCCACTAAACCTGCTAACATGGTGTTTTTCATAAGGACAGGCCTCGGTATGAAGGTCCGCCTGCACTGAGGACAGCTGTAGATCTTCTTCTCATCCTCTTTATCCCAGTAGGTTTGAATACAGCTCATGCAGAAGCTGTGTCCACAGGGAACAGTCACTGGATCAGTCAGAAGATCCAAACAGATGGAACAAGAGAAAGATTCCTGGTCCAGCTGAACTCCTTTCTGCGCCATTTCAACACTCGCTGTCGATGACTGACTAAGTTTCACTTCCTAGTCTGAGCTCTGATCTCAACAACATGTGTGAGTCAGCAGGATCAGCTCAGCACACGGCGGTTACACCCAACCCCAACTGTAGATCTGAAGGGGAGGGAACAAGGAAGTGAGTGTGCAGAGTGGAGAGAGCTGTGTGAGAGAGGAGGGAGGGGGAATCCAGGTTTTCTATAATCCAGAAAGAGGAGTGTTTTTACTGTCGGCCTGCATTTATAAGGAAACATTCGTTCTTGATTCAATATGTAACATTTTAGGTTGTAAATTCTTAAAAACAAACATTTATCTCTGACCGTTCTGGAAATTCTTCGTGGTTTTCTACTGACAAAACAAAAAAAAACGAAAAGATCACCATCCCAACACTTAAGAGTCTGCTGAATGTTCCCAGTGAAGTTGAGACTGCAGTTAGGACTCTTTTATGATAGAACCATGCTGTTGTAATACCAGCAAAATGTTGTTTTTCTTCCCCCTGAAATATAAAAGGTCTCTGGTTACACCAGAAGTTTAAGCTCCCCTTCAAAGAGGAGCATCTATGACCTCCAAAAACTATATTAACTTTTGATTTATCATCTTCAGAACGTTTTGGGCTTTGCCTTTTTACAAAGAGTAGTTATTCATCATGATCTTTGGGCCTTTCCTGGGATTTCCACTTCAGAGTCACGTCTGCTTTGTATGTGGTGCCACCTAAGGGCCCAAAGATCATGGCCATCCAAAAAAGTGTCCAATCCGGTGGACAGACAGGTGATTGCGTAGCGCCTTCAGCCTGATCAGAAGAACACACTATGACACCTACAATCTCTCTAGGTTCAGAAAGCTGGTAATAGTTATTCAAACACAATAGCATGAAGTTAACAACTGTAATATTTTGCAGTGTATTAGTCTTTTTAGACACTGAATCTTGCTGCTCTTTTAACAGAATGAAATGGAAATAAAGAACCTCCTGGTGGATCTTACCCAGGTAAATGTTTGTGTTATGTTCTTATCTGTATCACAGGTGAAGTGAGGTGATGTCTGAGGTTTCTCGCCGTGGATCCCACGGTTGGCCAGACTGTGCACCATTCTGTCTGAGCCGCTCGTCCTTTTTGGCTTGCCACCAAACCGCCTGGGTTCGAAATCTGAATAAAGTCCTAATCCAGCAACAAAAAAAACAGTCTACACATGAGCGCAGAACAAACATCCATTTCTATCTATTCAAATCACGACATCTTTCTACTTTCTCTATTACTCTATTTCACTCTATAACTTCAATATCTATATCTATATGCAGGATGTACAGCATTCAAACCATTATAAATTAGTCTGTATGTTTTTACAGTATGGGATAAGTATTTTATCATGACAATTACCTATTTTAACATAAATGCACTTATTTATTCAAATAAAGTACTACTAATATTTTAAACAGCTCTATTAATCGATATTTATCTTTCAAACATCAATATTTATCTTTTAACCCATAGATTATTTATCTTTTTAACTCTTTTAACCTTAAATTAACAGTATTAATCTTCTTTTTTAACCAACATGAGGTTCAGTGCGGTAAAACATGCTGTGCACATTACTTTAACCAAAAACACTCACAATTTGCATCATATCAACATAAATAATCATCACATGTCATCTCTTTCTCTTTCATATGCTACAGTCGCGGCAATTTAGCTAAACCAGCTTCACCATTCACATTCCCATTACAGGTAATACTAGAATGAGCATAGCGGCGCTAGCCGCGATTAGCGTTAGCTTCACGCTAGCTCGCTAACGATCCTTTTAAAGCTATTTTCCAAAGTTCACAATGACACTGCAGGTTACACAGAAGGTTTAAAATATTAGGAAACATATTGCTGACTCCGACTGGTTAGTTTAACATACTTCTATGAAAGGAATTTTCTCACTTCATGCTAGTATCAACAGCTAACTTCAAGGCCTAGCTCCTTAGCATGTAGCATATTTCTTATCTGAGTTCTCACAGAGGATTAACACGGTGAAACCGGCTCCTCTCTCTCACGCTCACTCACACGACTTTCCCTTTATCAAGATACTGCCCGAGGATTAATCATTAATTTATGTGTTTTTTATCACGTTACCAGGGCTCTCAAGTTTTGAACTAAGCTTAGAGTGAGATTTCCTTGGGGGGGGGGGGGGAGTATAATTATCTCTTAAATACAACGGAGTATAAGGGGCACAATTAGAAAAAAAGCGCTTTTTAATCTCAAAGAATAAAGTTATTATTTGGGAGAATAAAGTCATTAATATCTCAGTATTAAGTCGTAAAGTTACCTGTTGTGAAGGAGAGTTGTTAAAATCAGCACTGTGGAGCATTTAGATGAATTGTACTTTAGTATAGGTGTCACAAACATGGAGATACTTAATCCTTTGGTATATGAGCATTACACTGTCATGAGTATCAGAACTTATATTTTAGATATATGAGAAATGCTGCTTTTGCGGAGGGGAAAATGGCTGGAAATGGCTGTACAGAGACTAAATCCGTCAATACAGCTGTTAATAGCAATAGCATAGGGCTTTAGTTTATCATATGAGTTTATATGCCATGAGGTGTTGAGATCTCTGCATGTGTAGGTTACTGACTTACTGTAATCATCGGGTCTATCTCGTCCTTATAAATAACCTGCTCTATTACGGCGAGTGTCTGTCTTCTTCTGTAGTCAAACCGCAAGATATCAAAATCTACCCGGATACAGCAATGCTGCTTTTTGATTGGCTGTTCAGTAGATATACTTTATTTGATTGGCTTGCGCGTGGCACGCAGCTTCTGAACTCTCTGAGAAACTCAGTTGATTCCTACCTGTTCCATAGTTAAAGAGGTGCAACTTGGTGGACATCACCGTGTTCATTTAAATGCGTGAGAAATACAATGTGTTGCGTGTGAGCGTGTGAACGGGTGGGAATGCGTGTGTCTCACGCTGATTGCGTGAGACTTGAGAGCCCTGCGTTACATACCCCGGTTTGTCAGCTCGTTTATGGGCCGGTGCTCTTGTCAGTAGCTCGTCTATGAGCAAGATGGCGCTCTGCACGTTCAACGGTCATGACACTGAGCATGGGGCTGATGCTCCACCATAAAATCACATAAATTTATTTAGTAACCATGTGGGTTACAAATGTCATAATTTACTCTATCAACAACAGAGTAACGGGAGATCTTCTTGAGCTGTATAGTATTTCTAAACTTCTGTCAACCAGATTCATTTAAAATAAAAATCTCACACACTTACACTGTCTGGCAGGAAGGGGGATAACTTGCCAACATGTTGAATTATGTGTTTAGATAGCTATTTTCCTCTGGGACAGCAGAGGGAAGATGTACGACAAAGTATTAGGACCACATTAAGATAAAAAAAATTAAGACTGATTACTTACGAGAATAAAGTCGTAGCTAATGTCTATTCAAACCTGTTGTTAGTTATTTAAATGAGCGCTGTGAAGCATTTAGATGAATTGAACTAAAGTAGCTAGGTTTCACAAACAAGGAGATACTAAATCCTTTGGTGTTTCAGCATCATATTGTCATAAGTATCAGGACATACGCAAGAAATGCATCTTTTCCACAGAAAGAACCAGGAAGACTTGTAGGAAATCGCTGTTTTTGAGGAGGGGGAAAAGGCTGGAAATGGCTGTGCAGAGGTTAAATCCCTCAATGCAGCCGTTTATAGCAATAGTTTCAAATGGCTTTAGTTTATCGTATGAATCTTTGCCATGAGGTGTTGGTGCCTCTGTAGGTGGAGGTTGCTGCCGGTGTTGTGCCCGCATCAGAGACAGATGTGGTGCTCGTCGGAGCTCACAGATAACTCTGCAGTTCCTCCTCCACAAAAGCAGCTTTAAGACTTTATTTAATTAACGTCTTAATTCTCGTAAATAATGATTTTATTATGACTTTATTCTCGTTAGTAATTACTTTAATCTCAGTCTTTTTTTTTTTTTTCTTAATGTGGCCCTAATACTCTGTCTATGTGTATAATTATAATAAAAGTTTGAAGTTTGCTCCTGCTAAAATGCATTAACTCAAATCTCAAAAATCTGAGTTCACATAAACTGTATGGTGCAGGATAAAAGTGCTGATCAGCTGCAGAAGGAGCAGAATATACTGAATTAGTCATGACGAGCTGTGTGGCTCAGTGTTCGTTCTTCTTCGTCTGTTTGTAGACGACAGAAGTCCTCAGAGAGACAAACTATAAATGATGTATGCAGAGGCAAGTGGTTTGTCTTTTTCATGGGCGCAGATCTGGGTCAAAAGGACTTTACCGAGTCGGGGCAGAAAGGTCGGCGTGCTGCAAAACCAGTCACAATAAGGAGTTCTGCAGTAATGTTTTTCTATCAAACAATTTCGGATCATAAGAAGAAACCATTAAGTATTAAGGTTAAGCAGGCCACTAATTTTAATGATATTCACAGACAGACAGGCCATTAGCAGAGGCTGAGATGGGCCTATGAAGGCTGACAGGCATCATTAGGGCTCGGGTTGGCTCAGTGTGTTACTCTGTGACAGAGATAGAAACAAAAATAGGCCTTTTGTTCAGATTAGATCTTCTATTTGGCAGAAACAGCGTCAGTATAATGTCACTGATGAGTGTCAGTGCATTCAGCTACTACGGTTTCCTTCTGCCATTATCCAGTTAGTCCAGTATATGCCCAAACCACTGACTGTAGAAAGAGATGGACGGCCTGTAAGCTCCCCAAGAAGGATCAAAAAGTGAAGCCAACATATTTAGAGTTGTAGTGTAATGGTCTAAAGGCCCCGCCTCAAAGTTAACAAATCGGACACAGGTCCAAAAAAAAAAAAAAAAAAAACAGAACATAATTTTTTTCCTTAAACATGGTACAAGGCCGTCTCTCTTTAAAAACATAACATGCTGTTGGTGCTCAGACACTGAACATCTACATCAATTCATTTGGCTGTTTTTAAAGGCCGCCCAATGAGACTTTAAATGCAAGCAGCAGTAAACCAGCAGCAACGACCCAAAGACTAGTTTTTAAACCACCTCAGATATGTTTGGATTCTTCCTTTTTTTGCACAGATATTATTCTGTTAAACTCAAACTCAAAAGGTGCAAAATTACTACACAGCGTTCATCTTTCTCCTCTTCTCGAAGAATCTCGTATCAGAACATTGTGTCAAAGGTATTTCGAGAAACGGAGCAGTGATGTGCACTTTGAAGTAAACGTGCGGTTATAAATGCAGCCGGTCTTTTCCTGTCAATAAGAACTCTTTGTGCTTCTCCTTCACTCCATCGGGGTCAGGAGGGCTGTGGTAAGTAGCCAGCGGCATACTGGGAAGGTGGGCGGTGATGCCGTGTGGGCGGGTGGTTTGCTACGCCTGCCAACTGTTCGAGTAAGGTGATGAATGTTGCTGCGAGATGGAGAGCCGGGCTGAAAACAATAACTCAAAACAGAAAAACAATAGCGTAAGAGAGCTCTGATGAATATTTTAACTCTGTTCTACATTTTATTGACAGTAAAGTTGCAACAATACAATGTGCAACAATACATAAAGAGTCTCAGTGGTATTCTCCATTGGTTTCTGGAAGCACAAAGACTGTCAAATATTAGAAATCCTGACTCAGACTCCCTCAGTCAAATTAGCAACACATCTGAATTTGCTTCATATGTATAATTACCTCAAAACAGAAGAGTAAGTAAGTAAGTAAAGTTTATTAATAGAGTGCTTTTCGCAAAGCGCTGTCGATAAAATAAGTGCAATTTGATAAATATAAAACGGTACAAAAAAAAAGATAGGTTCATATACATACACAAATACGAAGACAGTACAGGTAAATATGGAAATAAGTGCAGATATAAAAGAAAGGTAAAAGAGACAAACAAAACCCTGTTCATTAAAAGCTTGACTAAATAAAAGAGTTTTCAACTGATTTTTAAAGGTTTCCACTGAGTCGATCAAACGGAGCGAGAGGGGCAAATCGTTCCAGAGTCTGGAAGCCCCCGAGTTTTAGAACGGGTCTTCTGCACCATTAGGGTGTTCCGGCCTGACGACCTAAGGGTGCGCCCTGGGGAGTAGGGGCACAACAAATCAGTGACTGACTGGTGAAAACTGACTGATGAAGATGCAATAAGACAGAAGTGATGTGAGCAGACTTGGGCGTGTCTCAGAGGTCTGGCAGCTGAGTTTTGGACAAACTGGAGTCTCTTTATCGCTGCTTTATTTTGAAGAAGAGTGATAAAAACAATCCTGCACAATCAAGCAAAAAACAAACGGGCTTTCTGAAGGCAAAGGTCAGAGCTAAAACATTCACACAGATGCATGCATGGGTCTAAATTACATGGTAGGATTGGCCCCGTCTGCAGAAAACTGTAGCCTAGCGTGCAAACCGTCTCTCTCTGCAGCTGTGACATTTATATCAAACAACTGCACTTTGTAATTCTGAAGGAAAAGAGGTTATAGAGACCCAAACTGTTTTGGTACCGGGTTATTAACATGTTTAATTCTAGTGCAAAAACAGGAACTTAGTTATAGGGCATGAGGAGTCAGCCTGAAGCCACTTAAGTTAAGAGCTTTCTTTAAATTCAGAATCAGTACAGTGGTCCACATTGGGCTGAAATGATAATAAGAGTGTGTGTCTGAGCATCAGGGGTGAGGGGCATGGGGTTTCTGTGGGTGGGGGGAGTATATAATCAAGTTACGCTCAACATAGCTCTTCCTCCTCGACAAAGTGGATGTGACAGCAGGAACAATGGATGATTAGCATTAAGCACAGAGCTGGAAACTCACAGTGGGTCGCTCACTGCCCCACTCAGACAGGAAGATCCGCAGAGAGTTAAAAATACTGCAAGATCTGAGAAAAGCTCTCCATACAATGAGGTTATTTTAAGAGACTATATGAGCCAACTGTGGAGCTTATTGCATTCGTGGCAGCACGAGGCTGTTTGGCTAATCAACCAGCAGAAGAAAGAAGCAGAACTGTTGAATGGATCAAATACGGAGAGTTTCTTCTTTTATTTTAAGACTACATCTCAATTTGTAGCTTTTCCTGTGTCCAGTCCTTATGTAGCCCCTATCTGATTCTGGTTCATGACCTGTTTCTGTTTCAGTGAAATGAGACATTGCTGTCACGCTGCCAGAACAGAGTCCTGAACAGGGTAACGGGGCCAAGATTTGCCCCATTTCTTGTCACTTGCTGACAGCGTGAGAAGCTTCACGCTAAACGTACTGACAGCTGGGTGTTAAACAGGACTTCAGAGGCCTTGGTGAAGTGGCAGCTTGCCAAAACAGTGTAATGCCTGAACACAGTGTGACTCGGGTTCCCGTGCAAGCGCAGGAATGATCTGTTTTTATTTCTTTGAAATGGTATTTATGAAGTGAACTAGCCCTGCTTCATGGCGGCGTTGTGCGGGCAGGCCTAAAGTTATTAAACGTCACCGTGAAACCTGCTGTGCAGTTAATTAGCTGGAGATTCTGGACAGTGGCGTTCATTACACGGCTGACTGAGCAGTGAATCCATGTGTTTTCTGAGGGTTGACATACCAGGCTCAGTAAAGCTGAAGCTAAATCGCAGAGACACACGTTGGACATGGAGACTCTTAACTGGGATGTGTTTTATGGATCCTGAATAAAGAACAAAAAAGGTTTGGTTTGGCCCACTGAGCGATATATCATCCAGTTTCTCCTCTGCCTCCAACTTGTCCAATACACATTTTAAAACTGAGTTCCCCTGTGCTCTGTTTCCTGTCTTGATCTGAACCTAAATGAATGAGAATTAGGCGTTCAGCCCAGTATTTTGCGTTGTTGTAAGGTTCGGAACACAACGCAACCACGACAAGACATGACTCGACACAAAATGCATGCACTGCACCCTTGCTTTAAATTTCTGTACCCTCAACTACGTCTAGACTTTATTTTTTCTTCCTTTCTTACAAGTAGTTAAGGGTTAAAATGACAAAAGTGAGCAAGTTCCTGTTTAATCTTCATAGATAAGCCTGGTCTTTAATGTTTCCATTCTGCCTAAGGTACCAGGCCTTTATTTGAAGCAGGCTTGTATTAGAGGCAGGTCTTTATTTTAAATTCCCTCTGTTCAGAGAATAGTAATATCTCATATTTTAGTACACACTTGATTCAAGATGTTTAACGCCCAACAAACTGCACAGCTGAGGAATTATCATTTCTGTGCACCATTGACGGTAAATGTAAGCTGTTTGAGGAGAAGACAGAGCACACAATCTGCTGTATGAGTGCCCAGCCCTAGCTTTTCTGCACGTTTTTATTCTTGAACACACAAAATTTACTCCTTTCCAAAAGTGACATATTCTGAACTACAAACAGCACACGAGCAAAAGAGAGTAAGAGATATTGCTGGGGGGACTGAAGAGGTTGTAGTAATGTCCTGCTCTTTAGACCTGGAGCTCACAAAAGCCCAATAAATATCTGAGTGGCTGTTAAAAAGCAATACAAGTCTAAATATTTCACTGTGACTCACCTAATGGATAAGAAAAGTGAAATCTGTCACAGGTACGAGACACACTGGGAGCCGTGGAGGCGCCGGTGACTCAGACAGGTTTTAGGATGAGTCATCGATTCAGATCCAGGGCTGATCAGTGAGACGGGAGAGGAGGTGGGAGACAGACAGGTAAGAGGGTGGACAGTTAGACCGCCGTATGTTCGATTTCCTCCTACTGCTCCTTCATATCTGACCCTTAGTGACCCTCATCGAGAAAATGTTCCCCATCAAAAAAACGGCGCAGAAACCTGAAGCAACACTCAAACTCCCATAAATCTTAGCACCTCTCCCTTCACTCATCCTGTTTGGTCATAATTTCTGGATAATGTATGAGTTAGTGAATTTTTTATACCGTCATGCGCAGACTGAGAGTGGATAATGAATAAAACAGTAAAGCTGCCCTCACACAGACACACTCCCTCGTTTCTGGACTGGATCTGTAGATGAAGTCGCAGACAGAGAGGTGAGAAGTGTCCCCGAGTAAAAAGAGTGAGATTCACTCTAAATAAAGAACTGCAGGCTGATTTATTGGAGGTGTTTTTTTTTCTTAAAGTGCACAGTTGGTAATAAATAAAACATCTTTTATGAGTATCGCTCCTGAAGTGCGAATCCTGTTGAGAGAGCATGACGACACACTCCTCACACACACTCTCCCTTCATTACAAGCTACAGATGTTTGACTTCATGAGGGATGTGTTCCGAGAGAAGCATTTAGAGATGGTTTGAAGCATTTCTTCAGCGTGAACCAGCTCTACTTCTTTAACCACAGACCCTCTTATGCTTCAGACTTAAGACCTCAATCACTGACTGTGTTCTTCTGCACAATCACAGACAGATACTTGGTTTAAAAGCCCAGAATATTCTGTGTTAGCGGGCCAGATTAAGTTACCTACCAAAACAATCAACAAACACATTAGCAAGAGGCTAACAGGTGACCCTGCGTATGCTTTAAGCCGCCCCTTCTCCCTTGTTGCCTGGCGTACCCTCTTCAGCTCACACGGTTAAGTATCGGTATCGGTGCCGCGATAGCTGCGTCTATAAAGGTCCGTCTACAGCGAGACAAACAGCGAGAAGATCAGCATGTAGGATGAATCAGTCTGTGCATCTGTCACTCAGACCTCTCCCTGCTCCAGAGCACAAAACAAGAGATCCAACCAGAGATCCTCCCTCTGCTGAGCACAGTCATACTATCTACTGAGAACAGGGGGGGAGATGCAGCCCTGATAACAGGGACTCATCCTCAGTCAGAGCCTGGATTCAAAGCAGCAACAACAGATAACGCTCGTCATCTGATGAGCTACAAAGGTCTTTGTTGGGCTGACATGAGAAATAGGATCCAGGAAAAAGCAGTCAACAGAAACACGAAAAGATGACCAACCAATTACCATCAACTCCAGATGCATAAATTAATAATTTCTCTTTATTTTCAAAACATATCAGAACAGAAAATGTCCCTTTATGCTGCTACGGTTATTAACTTTTATCAGCCGGTGTTGATTTTATGTTGATAATATCATGAATCCCAATGCATTATTGGATTAAAAAATGCATTAAACACAATCGTCGATCATTTTATCTCATATCCAGGTAGAAAAAAACAAAAGAACAACAGGATAAATATCTATCTCTGAACCCTGAGCCCACAGAGCTGCACATTTTCAGATCACTTATTTCCTCCTCCAGCAGCCCGGAGGAAAACTAAAGAGCTCTTTACAGGACGCTCTCCTCTCCACGATGAAGTCTCTGTCACTGTTGGGTTCCTCTGGATGAAGCGTGTCAATACAGGAAACCTTTTACTACGTTTTCTTTGTTTGCAGACGGAAAGCTTGGACTGATCATCACTCCTGCAGCTTTTAAGATTATGTTTAAATGCTCAACAGATAAAAAAGAGATGAAAAAAATATTAATAATGTATTTTAAATTTCTTTTTCTAAAGGCTGCTGTATTGTTTAAGTTTTGCATAAAATCCTGAGCATAATTATGGTAAAATAAACATTTTTCCTGGATACTCATCCGTCTGGATGAGGATTCAATGACAGTTTTTGGATGAAATGTTTGAGAAATGTAGCGCAGTAAACCATTTTAAGTGTCTTTTAATCATTTTTAATGAAAATATAAGAGATCCTGGTTCAAATATGTCTGATTCTGAGGGTCTGCAGGGAAAAACTGATATCAAACACGACATGTTCTGGAGGAAGAGTGCCCAGCTCACCCAAAGAGTAAATACTGACATCAACTCTGCCATTACTGTTTGTGAAACACAATGGCTCAGTCACGGTGTGTGATTGGCTACTGAAAGCTCTCACACCCATTCACACCAACACACACATCCATGCGCGTAAGCGAGCCCTCACACGCTCTCTGTGCACGGAAACACACACACCTACACACCAACACTATGGCAGCCCCCACACACAGCTGCCGGTGCATTACATAAAGCTAATCAATGCACTGACAACTATAAATAATTCAGCTTCACCACCATCCATCCATCCATCCATCGGCAGCTGAGATGCTGCAGCAGCGGAGGAGGAGGAGGAGGACCGGAGCCGGCGGCCAGGCCCTCCTCCTCAGTCAGCAGCGCGGGAATACCGCCTCATCCTCATCCTCATCCTCATCAGTGATTCCGGTGAAAAACACTCCGCTGCAGCCTCCTCTGTCTCCGACTCTTACTCGCACCTACAGGCGAGATATGGCGACGGGAGAGGCCGATTTCACCTGAGTAAAAGGATAAAAACACGGAGCAGGAGGAGAGGGAGAGGGGAGTGAACCCGGACTGGGACTTTGTGCAAAAACTGGAAAACAAAACCCTGATTCTTTAGGAGGAAGGCGCGTCTTCCTGCAGAGCCGCTTCCGCATGTTGCACTGAAAAGCATCTAAACAGGTGCAGCTGTCTCATACCTGCAGGATTCATGTGTGACCACCTTTAAACACGCATTCACACGCACACACACCAGCAGTTCACGCCTAAAACCCTGCGCACCCGCACATTACCCATCATCCCCGATTTCAAACCCCTTTTTTTTTCCAGAGACACAAACAAACAAAGCAGGCATGGCAGTAACCGAGCAACCCCTCTGCACCTTCAACGACAACAGCAGCAGCAGCGATGAACGGTGTGTTTGATTTACTGACCTGAAGCGAAGAGACCGAGGCTGAGAAAGGAATCCCGACCAGTCTGCGGCCAAACCCCCGTTTGATGCCTGTCCTATATCCTCTCTCTCTCTCTCTCTCTCTCTCTCTCTCTCTCTCTCTCTCTCCGTCTCCACCACCCCCTCCTGCGCACTATTACCTCACAGCCTCCACTCCGTTACTCCAGGCGAGAGAGAGAGAGAGAGAGAGAGAGAGACATATGGATGGCGACTGACTCTTCATCAGCAGCCCAGGCCCACAACAGGTCTCTTTCCTTCTTTTGTTTGAGTTCTGCAGAGAAATGGTGAGAAACAGTCTGTCTGCATCTGTGATGGTGAAAAACTCTCCAAATTCAGCTGTAAAGTCACAATAACGTCGAAATTAAATCAAGATTTCATCCTACGATCAACTAAAAAGTCATCAGTCCTGTTGCTGAACTGATGGTTGGGAGTATTAGATGGATAAGTCACAGTGGTTGCTGTATTGTTCACCAAGTAGGGGAGACCGGGACTTGTTGTCGCACTTTTTACACGCATATATTTCTTGGAATCAATCGATCATATATAAACAAAATCTGTACCAGATGAAAGACCAAAGTCTCAGGTTTATATTTCATATTCATGTCAATGTCATATCTTGTGTCAGTGCAGAGTTATAAACAATCAAAGTGTGAACATGTGACATGTTGCCCCACCATCGGGTAAGGTGTCTCACTATATGGGGTAAGATGTCACAGTGGATTTAGCAGCTAATAAAAAAAGGACAAATTATTGTTGTTCTAATTTTTTGTTTTACATGAATTGAACATTAAAGTCAGACACAGAAAATATTTATCACTGAGTTAAAGGAAAAGTCATTAAACAAACGTTAACATAAAATATTATCAACATGCTCTTTAGTTTGGAGATCAGTCTGACTCTGTATTTCAGCTGGGGTGAATGTTTTTGCAGTACTGAGATATTAAAGTCCTTTATTGTCCTCTAGATTGATTTATTAGCGAGGGTCACCTGTCTGACTGTCCTCAGCATCACGTCAGGAACTTAAGTTTATTTTAAAATATATAAAGTTATTTTTTCTAATTTGAGTTGTGCAAAATGGTTAATTCATGCTCATCTCAGCAAACAACACGACCCCTGACCATGTAAAGGAAGAAAACTAGTATTCCACTTTTTAGTTGCGCCCTCTGGTGGCAAAGATAATTGCAACGTGACAAAACAAGCCCCGGTCTCCCCTACTTTGTTTAAACTTGTATTAGTAGGCTCGATAATTCTAATGTCTATCTAAGTTTCTGCTTCACGTTGACAACCGTTGCCATGGCTACACTTACCTCCTTTGTGCCTTGCCTCCTAATTGGCTATCATATTGTCTCACCTGACAATGGACAGCTTAAGGATTTTGAAGAGATGCTCGTCAGCCATGAGTGTAGGCTCCTGCATATGGTACGGGGTCACCGAGACTGCGTCAGGATTTCAGAGAGAGGAAAATAAAGAGGAAGTTACTGAGGAACAGATGCGACTAAGAAAAGGGGGCGGGGCTTCTGCATTTTTTTCAAATATAGTAATAATAATAATAATAACAATAATACTGTGGCGTCTGCGTTCAGGTATCATCGGCTGTCAGAGCAGCTGGTTTCGCTGCCTGTTTGTGCGGGAGGCTGCTGATGTGAAGCTGTGTGTAACACTAATGCACTCATTGTTAAAGTGTCATTACCAGGCTCATTTATCACTGAGCAAACACACACACACACACACACACACACAGACACACACAGAAACACACACTCGGGCAAACAGAGACACTGAGCAAACAGAGAGGACAGGTGGTGCCTGCTGCTCACCATCGCAGCACGCCAACAACACGACCCGATCAAAACCGGCCTCACGATCAGCTTCTGAGCGAAACAAACAGAAAGCAACAAGTGGAAAAAAGGGAAAATGTTTGAGATTTGACAGCAGGTGTGTGTTTTTTTTAATAGAAATGTAAAGACAGGTTCATTCCAGTATGCGGAGTACAGACCCAACTCTCCAACATTCAAGGACATTTTCAGGGTGATATATAACTAGGACTTCTTTAACATTTCCTCACTTCTCCTCCAGAAATCAAAAATATTCCTTTTTTATGACCTTCTTCACTCATTTCCCTTCAAAATTATCCTCAACTCAAGTCTCGTACATCATAAGAGACTGAACCTCACACTTGGATGACGATTATTGAAATCAGGGGGCAGTTTGTCTTTTGATAAAATCCCCCTGCTGAAGAGAGGAATCTGCTTCAACGACGATCTGATCCATCCACACCCACATATACACAACTCACTGGTCTGCAAAAAACAACAGGAGCACGCTGAAGTGAACATTGCACTGTATGTTTTCAATCTGGCATGCATGAGGCGGCTGTAGGCTGTTTCATGACAAAAACAGGCATCAGAATGAAATTGCATTAAGCTGTGATGCCTGTAAACAGCCATCTCCTGCAAGATAAAGTGCTAATTAATCTGATTTGGGTCTGTTTGTGTCCAGAGTGCATTTGGTCTTCAGGTCTGAACAGTCTGCAGGCTGAGAGAGCTGGAAATTTCTCCTTCTGCTGTTTTTGCAGATGAAAAGGCAGAAATGTGTTGTTTTTTCCTCCAAAACAACCCGAGGTGGTCAAACTTTATCAAGATTATTGTTGCTGTAAAATACTGTGACTTTAAATCAGTCTTTAAATTTGGAAGGCAACAATTATTGGCTTTTATATTAATGGGATATTACAGTGTTTTTGGAGTGAAGTTAAAGGTGAGGTAGGCAGGATTCTGTTAAAGAAGCATCTTTTTTTGTGGTGTAAAGACAAAAAAGTTTTAATATCAGTCAATAGTTATTAGTTATTGATGACATTTGGTAATATAATGATATCGCTGTGTTCTCTTACGTCTGTGTAGTCAATATTTTAACAAAGCCGTTCTCTACCTCCCCAAACCTGATTGGTTGTGAGGCAGACGCTGCTCCCCCGTGTCGTTCAGGAGCCCAAACAAAGTTAGCATGCTACAATATCGGACAGTAGAAACCAACCAGAAAGTTCGGAAAATTGTCTGAATCCTCCTTTGGCCTCGACTGCCGACACAAGCAAGAAAACAAAGTAAATACCGGAGACTCTGGAGGAATAACGGGCGCTTAAAACTGAGGTAGACCGGACAAGAGCTAAAAAGCCGGGTCAACATAAACGATGGGGGACGCTTGGGGATCTTGGTGACCCTGTAACCTTTCTGCTGGACAGGTAAACCGCTTTAACAAAGTAAGACAAGTGTCTGTAACAGAAGTGTTTCTTGTCAAACGGACCTGCTGTAGCGTGTTGTAGCGCCATCGCTAAACTGTCCTCCCTCGGGTCCTGGACTATGTCACTTTATCCTAGTTGTAGAAGTCCTGCAAACATTGTGTTTGCTGGTAGTCTGTTGGCATCTACAGTAGCACCAATGCTTTTGACTTTCACCTTGACTGGGCCCCATTTGTAATGATCTGAAGTATTTATCTGCATTATATCTGAATTTAATCGGAACGATACGAGCGAGCAGGAGTGTCTGTTTGTGGGCGGGGCTTGAGGGGAGAGGAGGAGCTGAGGGGAAAACTAGTTGGGAGGGGTAGAGTTTACATACATTTCTATCTCTCCAATCTAACCTTTGTTTTCTTTTATCTCCAATCTTATTTTAGCTTTGAATGTAACTTTTAATCTGTTAAATGTCTTTTACGCTGTTTTTACTTTTTAAATTGTGTTGAATGTTTTGCCTGCTTGTTTCATGTAAAGCACCTTGAATTGCCCTGCTGCTGAAATGTGCTATACAAATAAACTTGACTTGACTTGACTTGACTCAAGATTTCTCCTAAAAACTGGAACTTCCCCAGATCCTGACTACAACACCTTTAAGCGTGTTAGCAGAAATAGATACCAGTTCGGACCCTTAAACGAGAAACTGCCGACAGAAACAAGAAGCTAGGTATGCTACCACGTAATTTAGCTAAAGTTGAGAGAATCTGAGTAAAGCACTCATCTCTGTTCATGTGTCATTTTCAGCACTTCATTTGCCTGTTTGTTTTTACACTGTTTGCAGAAATATAGCATGCATCCCTGTTCAAATAGCTCCTGTGATTACATCACAACAGGAGCTAAGTCAAATCGTTTTGCAGGTCGGCTTCAGAAACAACGCAGAGGCTTTTTTCACTTCCACAGTCTCAGGATTTCCAGGCTGGAGAATGAGTGCAGTGTACTCGTCTTATATAACCCTGTCAGGGAGCTCGAGATCTACCCAGTATACCAGGAACTCCTCCAAAGGGAGGCATTCAGGAGGCCTCAGAATCCAAACTGTGTTGTCACCATAATTTTCTTTTTCTTCAAGCATCAGTACAAAAAAAAAACAGACATCAGCTTTTGTTTTCCTCGTGTGAACCACGAGATATGTCTCAGTTCTGGTAAAAATAAAACCGAGCTCCTGTTTCATCCAGGACACAAACACCGCCTTCTTAGGTAAAGTCTTTAAAGTTTGCAGACCTATAATCTGTGCCGTAACCATGAATGTTCCTCCAAAAGAGACTTGGTGATTCATGAGGCATACCTGCAGAAAAATAAAATAAAAATTAATCTATGCTGCAAAGTGTCTCTCTGAGCGTCTATCTAAACACATCAGTAGAAAATGTTTTCAGCCAGCGCTCACCTAAATGAGATTACCTCTGAGGAAAATCTGATCGTGTTTCTGACGTTGAGAAAGGTTCTTATTTTTTTTTTTTTTAGCAGCCCTGCGATCAGTGTGTCCCACCAAACAGCAGCTGTAGCAGCGCGGACCAGATGTCGCTGCCAAACACATCAGGTTCGATTAAACTGAATAATTCAAACACAGAAGACAGTCTGTGTTTGTGCTCCATCTGCTCACACGGTTAAAGACGCTTTATCAAGTTTTCACACGGCAAACAAATCTGTGAGGGGAAGACGAGACGCCAGCGAATACTTTCAACTTGAGGTGTAAAAAAAAAACAGTTAAAAATATTAAACAGCAATTTTCAAAATAATTAAAATTCTGAAATTAAAGATGAGTTTTTTTCCCCTGTGTTTAACGGCTCAGATAAAACTCTACTGTTGTTCATTTAACTTTAAAAGGATCCTCCAAAAGTAAATAGTATCACAAAGGCAGATGCTTTTATTTTGAAAAGATACAAACTGGAAGAGCAAGAGAGAAATTGTAAAAATGGAAAGTGTAAGATAAGTAAGTGTGTTTAGGCTAGCAGGGATACGGCCAAAGCGAATTCGTCTTAAAGATGACTTGTGATGTTTGGTTAAAAAAAAGGACCAGTAAGTGACTTTCTGAGCTTGTTATTATTGTTTAGAGCTCTCTAGTTGGAGGTTGTTTATAACTGAATACATCATAAGGATGTAATAAATAAGAGTATGTTGATTTTTTTATTTTGAAGCAGCTTTTCTGACCCAAACCGACCATGACTGTGAATTAATAAATGTGCTTTCTTTGATATTTATGGATCCAAGTCTGTTTTTGTCCTTTAAAATATTAACAATACAAACTCTAAAGCAGAGGAGAGAGGCCCTCAGTGTTACCGAAGTGAAGGTCCGTGAAAGAAGCAGGTTAGTGGGGCATCAGCTGTCACCCTGACCGTCTGAAAGGGTTCATATCAGCGAGGTTTCCTAAAAAGAGGTCAAAGTCGTGTCCGTTTGACTGTAAGGAGGAGGAAACAGATGAATAGTCTCTGCCGTCTTTCCTTCTGTCTCTCTGCTTTCTTCTTTGTCTGTGAGCTTCTGTCTCGAACCTTTCATTATCTTCCGTTTTTAAAGAGGGCACTGCTCCACTTACTGTCTCAGTCCATCCTTTCTTCTCCCTCAACCTCCGTCTTTTATTCTTCTGCTAATTCCTCCCTTATCTACACCAACTTCCTCTGTCCTCCCGTCCTACAGTCTCCTCTTCTCTACACCTCTTATTTCAGCTCTCCTTTCATTTCCCTCTCTTCCTCCCGTCCTTTTTTATCTACTTCCCCCTACTTTTTAATTCTCACTTCTCTTATCCTTCCTGCTGCAGTTAAGCAGACTTCACAGAGCTTAACAAATGACTCTTGAAGCCATCTCGAGGATTAAATCTCAACTCCAAAGCTCCGCAGAAGATAGAAGTTTTGGGAAGTTTAGGAAGTGGTCTCAAAATTAAATTTGTGTTTGTGCGCATGATTTCCCCCCTTTTTTAAAGTTGTGTAACTTTCGCTCAATGCATGGCAGCACGTTTCTGCAAGGCGAATGATGAAGGCGTTGTGTGGTTGTGGTCTTAAGCTTTTTACTAGAATTTCATGTCATAACCACTTGAGTGTTATTGCAGCTTTAAGGTCCTCAAACACCGGGAGCGTTGTTCTGGTGTGATTATTTCAGACATCAATATTTTTTTCGAACCCGTATCCTGTCAATTCCATCTTTGAATGTCCCATGTTTGGTGCTCCCTTGCAAAGTCCAAACGGGCAGTTTTGTGGCGTTGAGGGAGACGCTTTAAAGACGTTTTTTTGTTTTTGAAGCCCTTCCTTCGCAGATGTCGTCTGATTGTTATTAGGCTGCAGTCAGCGCTGGTGAGATTTTTTGGGGTCTACCACTTAATTTTTTTGTTCAATAATCCTTCATATCTTTTGAGAAATGAAAAATGACTGTCTCACTGCGTCCAACCTCAGCATCGATGGCACGTTGTAAGAGGCCTTGTTTATGCAGCTCATCAATCCGACCACACTGTTCAAAGGCTGTGAGCTTTTCTGCAATGAAGAGATGTTGACAGTGTGAGACTGCTCGACAAGAAATGACATGGAATCCAAACTTTCGCACAGATTTGGGCTTTTAAAGACTGCGGTCTTAAACTTTAGATCAGCTGATGAACCGACTAGTTCAGTTAAATTGTTGTTTTCAATAAATTACCTGCTCAACACTTTTTGTCTCTTGTTCCCATTTCTTCTTTTTACATTTTGAAGCTCTACTAAGAACCGTCTTCAGGTCCAACAGTGATAAATATACATTCTTGCAATTTTTCAACCGGTCTTAAGATTTTGATCAGGAGTGTATTACAACGATAACGACCTGAAGGACGACTTGTGGAGAGTCATAGCGTCGCATTTCTCATATGACGATGGTTTGTGAGCTTTAACAGTTTGATAAACGTCTTTGTTTTAACTTTCATCTGTGCTAAGTAACTTTAGCTCGTAAGCTAACCTGTTCAGATACAACATACCATGAGTATTTTCACTGTAATAGTCAGGCGCATCATAATTCGCCTCAGAATATTTCGTAATTTCTTGTTATATATTTGCGTCGTTCCCGGTGTGTAAGGACCTTTAGAATGATATTTTCAGCTAACTCTGACAGATGCGTACTCCTAATTTGGGGCACAGGTGGATGCGTAATGATAAATGATGTTTGCACTAGTACTGACAAAAGCCTGAAGACATAAAAAGAGGATTTTTAAACACCCTGAAAGTTGAACTATCTTCATCAAACCCCTGAATCTGTGAGTTTCCTCTGAGCATCTGCTCCTGGACGGCTTCGGTAAAGCAGCGTCTATATTTGTGTCGGGTATTTTTGGTCCTTCCTCCTCCTCTTCCCCGCCGCGCTGTGTTACAGCTCTGATTAGATCATTAGTCACACAGAGGAGTCCAGTTTATCATCGGCGAACAAGCCATCGCTCCCGCTCCGCTGAGCGATCCATCATTGTTGGAAGTTGCTTTTTTGTTGGGGATAGTTTGGAGAAAAAGAAGATAAGATTAATCACCGCAGCATCCTGTTCTCATTACAGCAGGCGAACAGGAGAAAGAGGGAGGCCGGTGGTCGCAGAAAACAACTCGTTAGATTTGATAGAGAAACACCGGGTTTCATATTTGATTAATCAGTCTGGATCTGAGAGGAAAGGCAGATACAACAAGCCTTTTTGTTCGGTATTATACTTTTAGAAATGTGTTTTAACTCTCAGATTGAAGCTCGTCAGACTCATTCTTACCTTATTCCACATGCACTTTAATTTGGGATTACTGCTTTTGCTAAGGGATTAAACTTTTCAACAACATATCACTTAATCTTGCCGAGGAATCAAATCAGTTTATTGTGACTTCTTATGGAGAAAATGACAATTAAACCAACATCGAAAGAAATCAAAATCATCTCCAGAAGATGCACATCACAAATTTCAATAACTGAGAAGATGTCGTATATTTTTTCTTAACCCTTTGTATTTTAAAAGTTGTAGTTCATGCACATGTTTGGTGTAGGAAAAGGACAGAGATGCTAAGATGCCCGTTCGACATAGCTCTACTTTAGCCAGATTTATCTTCACTGTATTGGCGACTCATCCAACAATGAGCGTGGTCTAGACCTGCTCTTCTTTAGGAAACGTGTTGGGATAACGACTGGTGTGATTTGGCGCTATACGAATAAAATATAAATTGCATAAAATTTGATTTGACTTTTAAGATTGTTTGGGGACTTTTTTTCCTCCCTTTGAAATACTTGTAGCACGTTTTACAAACTGTAGTTGTGTTATCCTCTGAGCTGGAGACACATCTGTTTTCTTTTGACTGTTAACATGGAAGCTGGTCTAAAAGAACAACGATCAAAAACTCAAAACTTCCATTAAATCTGGTTCTCTTGGATGCTGCCGTTGATGCATCATCACTGGGGGTGCAGACAGCAGCTACAGTGAGCTGAGGGAGTCTAATGACGGTCAGCTCTATAAACCAGATCTTGTACGTGAATGACATACTGGTGCTGAAAGAGCCGGTTCTTGCTGAGTTGAATAATCTGGATCTCTAAAAAGTTCCTTTATTCCCATCTGGATCATCTGAACTGAAGTTGTTCTTCTTAGAAACGACGACAGATTTAATCCCTGCTCTTACACAAACAACAGGAGTATGCAGCCTAATCAGAGGGTTATGTGGATATAATGGACTTGGATCAAGGAGACTAGCGATCAGAAAATTGGACCATACATGTTTGATGTTAAAGCTCCAGTGAGGAACTTTTGTTTTCCGTCCATTCTTGTGTCTCTGTGGTCAAAGAGTATTTGCTCGGATGACACCTCGACCCTCAGACTTAAAAAAACTCCCAAATGAAAACAGTCAGTTTCATCACAGATGGTCTTGATGAATTTAAGAGTTTTCCTGAATGTGAAAAAACTCCTTACAGGAGCTTTAATGCTATTTTAAAAGGCATCATCTTCGAGTCACAGTAAACAGGAAAAGCACGATTTTAACCGCCTCCTCTGCCTGTTAAAGCTGAACTCGTCTTCGTTATGTGTAACAACTGACACATGCTTTGACAGAGTGTTAAAGCTCATTAAAAAGTAATTGAATGTTTCTTTTATTGTTTTTTTTTTGGATGAAAAATAAAATATTTGTATTATCTTTAAAACAAATGCAGCAGAAGAAAGTTTGCAGAGTGAGAAAGAAAAAGTCCTCACGTCCCTTTTTAATCGGTGAGTCAGGAGGAAACAATGAAAATGTCAAATCTACTGTCCATGAGATGGATGCTGCTGTCCTCACTTTCTCTCCTTCACTCTATTATCCCTCACTTTTCTCCGTCTACAGCTCTCTCTCTCCCACGCTTCAGTGTGTGTGTGTCCTCTTGCTTCTCGTCTTTATTCGAGTGTTTGGCTCAGCCAGGCGAACGCTGCCTCTGTCAGCAGTTCGTCGCCCGCACAGGAAGAAAAGTCCTGACACCCGCACCTCCAGTTTAAGCAGTAATCTGTATCCTCGCCGCCTATCTCCCCCGAGGCCAAAACCACAAATTAAAACCCTGGATGCGGACAGTCAGGATCAGCGTTTGTCAGAGTTGTTATGAGTGATAAACTCTGAGACACGAGGAACCTGCAGCTGGAGTCCAAATTATATATCCAGCACAGACACACACTGAGGGGAAAATGGCGTGTTTTTATCTTCCTGCACAGATTTGCACGCAGCATCATGACGCTTTCTTAGCTTTTCCTGCGTCATATTCACACTTACAGCTGAGGGAGTACAACAACTTGGAAAACATGAACCCCCTAATAACTTTTCAAAATGGAGTTGAACAGAAAAAAGAGGACTTGAGCACAAACCAGTCTGACAGTAACAACATGTCAACATCACAACCAGGGGGGAGAAACATTTACATTCTGTCTAATAAATTTCTAAAGTTTGTCCACAGCTCCATAGGGATTGCTGGAGGAGGTGGGATTTATGACCTATACTGCAGCCCGTCACCAGAGGGCGCTGTTCTTGTGGTGGCTTCACCAAGCAACGAGGCAGACAGCGTCAAATCTATAAACGGTCTATGGTTTTCTCTCCTTCTTGTGTTATATTGTAACACAACACTGAGCTAATTGCGCTGATTGAGTTAATTAGCTTGTTACGAAGTGCACACGAGTCGATTTTGTAACATGGAGGCTCCAGCGTAGAAGTATAACGTGCTCGCGACTGCATCAGTTACTATGGCGCAGGTACGACGCTGAAGCATAAACCAGGCTTTAGGAAGTTAGCTACAGATCCGCACTAGCTGTTAGCATGGCTGCAGGGACCCAGGAGCAGCAAATGTAAACTACAAAAGAGGGTTAGGACTACATGAAGAGAAACAAAATGATTACAGGAAGGTGATTAAAGCTGAAATTTCAAGATTAAAAAAACGAAATTAAGTCAATAAAGTTGAATTTTTTACTTTGCCTCTGTTATTCTGGTCCCAGCCTTGGGGAACAGGTGGAGAAAACACTTTAATCCAGGAGACACAAAAACATGATAGCTCTGATAGAGGCTCCTGAAAACCAGCCTTAAACACGTCTCTTTGATTCACCTCAGATCCTATTAAAAAAAAATCAATCATTTTAATCTGGAGACAACAATCAACTCTTAAACCGATAATTGGCACCACAAAGCGAACTGCACTTTAATTGGTAACTGAAGCGGCTCACAGTAAACAGATCAACTTTTTTCTGACTTTCCTAACTTTCCATTCCTGCACATTTGTGTCCTTATTGTCACATTTTTTCAAACAGATGAAAGTTTCGGTGTCTGGTTGTTTTGGTCGTCTCCCCTCAGGCTGAAATAAAGCAGATTAAACCACCTTTTAGAGGCAAAAGTGTGTAAGAGAGTGTGTGACTGAGCTTGAAAGATTCTCATTTCACCAAAACTCCAGAAATCAATGAGGAAGCCTCATGTCAATGCAGCGCTGCAATTACCCCGAATGTCTGAAGTGGCTTTTAACAGATCCAGAGACTAATTCATTTAGACTGATGCAAATGGACGGGTGGGTCTGATTACCTCCCTGCACACAGCTGCCCTTCGTTAACACACACATGAACACACACACATAGACACGAACAGAAGGATGAACACGCAAACATCTCATCTCTGATACGCTCATGCAAATCCACAAACAGACTCATGCCTGATTTTAGACACACGTCTGACAGGATTAGTATCTGAATGGATTGATCAGCATGCGCGAGCACATCTGAGCGCCGGCCGGGGGGACCGAAGATGATCGCCTGCTGCTCGGTGGATGAGATTATCGATCAGAGTGAAGCTGGATTGAAGCTGAAAGCTCGTATGTGACACGGTTTCAATTTCCTGGTGTTTACGGTGTTAAGTACATTAAGAGGACATGAGTGTTAACAGGCTGTGAGCCGCCCCTCCCTTTTCATCTGGGGACCATAATAATAATAAAGATAATAATCAAGAGATTTTTAATGCAAATGCTCCTTCTTGGTGATCTTGACTTTTTTTTTAATCTCTGAAATTCTTGAACAAATAAAAAAAAAAAAAGCAGAAACGACTCCTCAGATCAAACTGAAAAAAAAGTATAAAAAAGGTGACAAGTCCAGTCAGGACAACAGTGCATGTATGTGCTATTTCTGCTCATACAGACAAAACACAGGTAACTCGAAACAGACACTTAAAGGTGAGGTAGGCAGGAATCTGTTAAAGAAGCATCTTTTCTTTGTGGCGTATATACAAAAAGGCTTTGAATATCAGTCAATAGTTATTAGTTATTGATGACATTTGGTAATATAACGATATCTCTGTGTTCTCTTATGTCTGTGTAGTCAACCCACTCTTTCTGACTGTAAACAAAGCCGTTCTCCACCTCCTCTAACCTGATTGGTTGTGAGGCAGACGCTGCTCCCCCGTGTCGTTCAGGAGCCCAAACAAAGTTAGCGTGCTACAATATCGGACAGTAGAAACCAACCAGAAAGTTCGGAAAATCGTCTGAATCCTCCTTTGGCCACGACTGCCGACACAAGCGAGAAAACAAAGTAAATACCGGAGACTCTGGAGGAATAACGGGCGCTTAAAACGGAGGTAGACCGGACAAGAGCTAAAAAGCCGGGTCAACATAAACGATGGGGGACGCTTGGGGATCTTGGTGACCCTGTAACCTTTCTGCTGGACAGGGAAACCGCTTTAACAAAGTAAGACAAGTGTCTGTAACAGAAGTGTTTCTTGTCAAACGGACCTGCTGTAGCGTGTTGTAGCGCCATCGCTAAACTGTCCTCCCTCGGGTCCTGGACTATGTCACTTTATCCTCGTTGTAGAAGTCCTGCAAATATTGTGTTTGCTGGTAGTCTGTTGGCATCTACAGTAGCACCAATGCTTTTGACTTTCACCTTGACTGGGCCCCATTTGTAATGATCTGAAGTATTTATCTGCATTATATCTGAATTTAATTGGAACGATACGAGCGAGCAGGAGCGTCTGTTTGTGGGCGGGGCTTGAGGGGAGAGGAGGAGCTGAGGGGAAAACTGGTTGGGAGGAGTAGAGTTTACATTCAAGATTTCACCTGAAAACTGGAGCTTCATCAGATCCTGACTACCCAGTCTTTAATTAAGAGCGTATAAATCAGCTAACTCTTACACGTACATACCTTTTGGATCTGTTCAACTACTTAAAGTGATATCGATACACGTTCAAAATCATGATGTTTCTGTTTCCGGGCATTTATCAACATCCTCCAGGTTTGACCTGAAGCCCCAAATCATGTCTGTTTCCTTTCTTTGCTTTTAATCCCCCTGTAGAGTCTGTTTTTTTTTTCACCTTTGAACACAGAAATACTAAATAATATTTCAAAACTGAAGATGCTGCGATGTTATTCCAGGAGGGCAAAACTCACAATTCAAAAACATTTCCAGGTCATGTTTGGATGCTATCTTCTGTACCGAGTGACATTTTTCCAGCCGTTTGAAAAGGTTAATCATGAATTTACGTTGTGTGTACACTGCAGGATTAATATAACGCTCCTGTCATTATCCGCTGAGCTTAAGAGGCACATAAAAACGCCAAAGCAGCCGTGATTTGTGGGCCATTAGTGGGTGAAACGGTGAGGTTTCTTTGTGTAGAGCAGGACATTAGAAGTGAAACCACAAGGACCTGTCTGCTTACACAATGAGACAGGCGGATGGAGGGTTTTTGATTTATTATCCCTCAAAGCTCTCAGGCAATCACATCCATGGATATTGAATGACCCTCTTCACAATGTCTGGGCTTCAATAAATAACAGCTGGGATCAGCTCGGAGACTGATGGGACGACACGCTCAAGGGCCATTCAGCTCCATCAGACCACAATGCAGAATTCAACAGCAGGAGCTTGACTCGTGTCGTTTGCATGTGAGCGACAGAAACGCAGCGCTCGGCCGCCGTGTTTGGGGTCAAATCAGAAGGTAAAAACTCTGAAAGCTTCTCACAGTGAAGAGTTTAATCAGAGGAGCGGTTCAGGTGTGTTATCTGAAGGCTGCAGAGTGTTTGCTTTGTTTGTTCGTCTCCGGTGGAGATCAGCTCCATTAACACTAATTAGACAGGGGCTGCAGATTGCTTTGTGATCTCTCCTCACAGATTACAGAGTCCAAACATCCTGCAGCCTGCTGGTCTGAGGCTCCGGACAAAGGGAGCAGACACCTGCTGCCGGTCCGGGCAGAGAGCCACCAGTCCGGGCTCACACTGTGTGTGTCACAACAAAGGCCGATTTAGAGGTCCAGAGAAAACGGACTCGCTGACACGCCCACTGTCATCCATTAAAGCAGCACAGACTCAATTCTCTGTATTGATTTTACACACAGAGCAAGAACACAACGTTACAGAGATCTAGTTTGATACTGGGTCGACAAAGATGATACAGCGACGGATTTAAAGATAAGAAACCAAACTAGAACTCCTGAAAAGAGCAGATCCTGATTCATTAATCAGGGATCAGAGACACAATGAAGTAAACACAGTAATTTCAGAATAAGCGACACTAACTGGACTTTCTGTACGTGAACTCCTGAATATTTATCTTTAAATATTGTCGATAAAGGAGGGTTTTAGGAGTTGCATGCTTGTATGCAGGCTGTGCGGGGTTTTGTGTACCTTTAGTGCTGTTTTTGTTCGGTTCAGCCCCCCTCACTGCCTCTTTTTACGACATAAAAACACACACACACCCACGCTGCAGGAAGACGAGCTGGTTCAAGGTCCAAGAGTGTTTTTTTTAAACCGCTCAGGAAAACCTCTGCTCGGACCTTGAACACAAAAACGCAAGTGCTTCATTCTGCAGCTCATTCTAATCCTGTAAATCCAAATGTAAAAAGAAAAATGTAAAAATAAGAAACTGACTGCTTGTATTTTTCAGATTTAACAGACAGAAAACCGCCTTTTTCCCTGAGAATTCACAGAAAAATTAGCCTTAAGACACAATAATCTTACAAAACGACCAATTTTAATACCAAAATAACAAAAGCATATGTTACATAAACGTTATAATACAGCACAGAAGAATGGGGAATGACAGCAGCTGCTCAGAGGAGCTGAGGCAGGAGGTGTGCGCCATCTGCTGGTGGAGAAAAGTAACTGTTTTTCTCTCAAATCCGCTCTGATGGTTTCAATTCAACCTTCTTCTCTCCGGGGATCATAAACTCGCTGGTTTTTTCCCCCGTCTTAGGAGTCGTTGGGGAGACCAAAAAGCTTTACAGTTCCCGCCTCTCTGTTGTTGTCGTATTTGCCCTCTTTGTCGTCGCAGGCGTAGGCGAGCAGCGGCCTCTTAGGATGCCAGGCGACGGTGAAGGTCGGGGAATCGCACTGAACCTCCCACAGCTTCTCTCCTGGACAGGTAGAAGAAAAAGTGGAGGATGTTGTGTCAAATTATAGACAAAAAACAAACCCCAAACTGAAAAGCCTTAAACTCCTGCATGCGTCGACTCTCTTGTATTTCTCAGATCATCAAACTATCGAACATACTAACCTGTTTCCACCTCAGCGATGTCTATAAAGTGATCCTCCGAGGCCGAGGCTAACATCTTTCCATCATGGCTGAAGCTCAGCGTCCTCACCGGCCAGTCCAGCCTGAACATTCATGTCTGAGATCAGTTATTTCACATTAAACCAAACCAGGGAACAAAGTCATGAGGCGATCGCATGTCGTCACGGTGCACACGCCTGACCTGGAGAAGCAGCGGACACACACCAGCTCATCCACGTCCCACAGTGACACCAGCGCGTCTGCACTCCCTGTGGCGAAGTACTTCCCCGTGGGGTCAAACTTGATGCAGATGCAGTTGGACGGGTGAGCGTTGATGGACTGGATGGGCTTCAGCTCCGGGTAGCTGCGAACAAACACACACTGTTCTCACTGCAGCTCTGATTCACAGACTCGGTTTCTAACATGAAAAAGTGACGTAACATTGTCAGGACACCCAGTGCGTTAAAGCGTCATTTGACTCTTCTAACCAAATAAAGGAAGAGGCTTTATCACTGTGGTTTACCCCGACACCTTAGAGATAATACTTCATTTACCTGAGAGGGTTTTCCTTTGGGGATAATCCAGTTCAGATGAATCACATGAGAAAACATGCAGGAAAATCCACACTGCATGTTTCATCCATGTTTGTGCAACTCGATTTGTTTTAAGGGTTAAATTTGTCCTCGTATTGAATAACAAGATGACATGAAAAGTGGGTAAAAACATTCATTAGAGGGAAGAGATGATACATTTGGTTTCCCCAGCAGAGCTCCAGAAATGTGTGGATATTTACTGCTCCACTTAAACACAATATCAGACTGTAAGACTGATGATTTCGAGCTACGTCACTCCCGGGATGGTCACTGAGGGGTGTGGTTTTGGGATAGTTGGCGTTTTTTTTGTGAAATCTCACTGGTGTTTTTGCGGCTTTCATTGTACCTTTTATCTAACCAGCTGATGTCATATGTGTACACTTCATAGCAAACAAAGAACATCAAGCGCGGTCAACAACAATTACGGCTACCTAGGCTCACCTCTCCACCCCAGTGCAGGTGAGACCGCCCCTTATATAACTTACCAGCTTTCAAACTCAGCGCCCATGTGACCCAAACCCAGTGAAACCAATAAAAACAAGACAAAAGTAATTGAACAGAGGATAAGCGATAAGTGAAGCAACATTATGGCTCCTACAGGTGTATTCAGACAATGGTTTGAGGTAAACTCTGATAATTCTGTGTTTTTCACTGTTTCACTCATCCTGTTTTAACTCATTTCAACAATTCACTTTTTTCATTTGAAAGCAAAAGTTTTGGACCTGGATCAGCATGTTTTCTTTCCTTTTTTGAACAATAAATTAAAAACCGGACTGATAATTGAACGCGTCACAGATGCAAGCGAACCTGAACCCCAGCTGCCTTTTTTGTTGAAGGGAAGCAGTCTCTACACACACTATCTGTCACTAACAAGATGCTTCTTAATCCTGAAAAAACTAATCTTGTGATTTTTACAAACTCAGGTTCGGCTACAAAACAGCTGAACCTGAGTCTGTATTTTCTGGGATCCTAAATCGAGGATCCTCCGTCTTTTAAGCCTCGCACAGAGAAACTTGTAAAGAAGTTGAAGCTTCTGTTTCAGGATGAAGTCCTCTGTGTTTGCGTCTTTCTCTTCAGACCCCGGGATAGCCAGTAAACCCTCCTGGGTTTTGGATGAAGTCTCTTTTTTTTCGTCTTCCCTAAAACCATCACCCCAGTAATCTCCAGTAAAATCAACGAAGGTGCGCATCTTCAACTCCAATGTTAAAAGTGTACTACTCAATGGTTCGGCGACGTGGAGAATGACGAAAGAGACATTTATAAATAGCTCATATTTCGGAATGAGGTGGTCGGACAAAATCAACAATAAGGAGCTGTGGCAGAAAGAGAGACAGGAGCCAGTAGAGAGCCAGATCCGGAGGCGGAAGTGGGGCTGGATTGGCCACACTTTGCATAAATCATCAGCTACCATCACACGCCAGGCTCTGACTTGGAAGAGTTATGGTACCAGCTGGGGAGAGGTGGAGAGGATAGCCCAAGACTGTGCTCGATGGAGAAGAGTTGTTGATGGCCTTTGTTCCACAGGGAGCTATGGGCCTCAGTAAGTGAGTAAAACCATCACATTAAGAGATCAAACCCCTAATTAAGTCATTTGGCACAACACAGATGTCTATGTCTCTTAAATGAGCAGCTAAAAGGCCAAAACCCAGCCAGCATTTCTCTGTTACATCCTGCAACAGTTAAAAGAAAAAAAATCGGCTTGATTTCAACAGTATGAAAAAAGGAAAGACAAAAGAGGAGGAGAAGAGAAAGCAAAGGGATCTGTTTTTTTTTTTTTTTAGAGACGCTCTTGTATCTAAAAGAGTTTTTAAGTAACAAAATGTACAAGTTGACATCACACCCTCGGTTTGTAGTGGATTCACACAGCAGCTGACAGGTGTCCGAGCGCGAGAACTGAGTGTGAGCGAAGCACTGCGACACATTTTCATGAATACTTACAAGCTTAGGAAAAAACAAAACAATACAAAGTTTGTTTGCAGATCTGTGTGGTTCTGAATCGGCTTTTCGGTCCTACCTCAGGATGTTGATGCAGCCGTTGCCGTTGGTGAGGAAGAACATGTCGTTGTCGTTGTTCCAGGAGATCTCGTTCACCTCGAACTTGAACTGCTCCTCTGCTTTGGAGCGGTGCGTCTTTGCATCGATGAAGGTCACCACGTCGTCTTTGTTTCCAACAGCGATGGTCTGGCCGTCCGGGCTCCAGCAGATGTTGATATTCTCACCTTCAAAAGATAAGTTATTTATTTATTTTTTAAATTTCCTCATCAATTAGGAGCTTAAACTCATTTAAACGAACCATCTCTGGGTCATATTTTGGGATTTTAACTTCCTCCCACAGCAGACATGAGTTAAATAATCGTCTCTTTGTTTGTTGGTGGAGGGAAACAGAGCAGAAGGGAAGAAGAAGTGAAGCTGATCCGCTCTGTCAGCAGTAGGAGGTGTAATTCAAGACTCGAAACTTGTAACTGTGAAAATGAGCGTCTGGAGTCCTGCTGTTCAGCTTCTGGCTGCAAGTTTGCATTGAAAATAACTTCCAGAGAAGTTCCCTGATACTACTGATATTTTCACTGATGAGAACACAACAAAATGTACACGAGTATCTTACCAATAAACTGAGAATTCTTTAAGGCTAAAACATACAGGATGCGTAATTGGAGCGTGACAGCAGCGTCACGTATCATGCAGAAAGCCATTCTGATCAATGCAGCAAAGCGTATAGAGCGCGTAACAGCTCCGTCGCAGCATCGTATCGAGAGCAGCACTGCTAAAGATACGCGACGAGTCTATTATTGCTGCTCTACGCTTCTAATGCGCAAAAACCCAAACTGTAAAATTACTTTTTCACGTATAGAAGAGGCTCAACGGTCACTGAATTATATCTAGATACGCAGGAAATAGACCAGAGAGAGGAAAAACAACCTGTTGTGAGCGTGTTGTTTCCTCTGCACCACGCTCCTCGACGGAGCAGAGACGCGACGCTGACGGAACGTTCTCAACACAGACCCTGTACGTTAAAAATAGGTCTACTTATTCAGGTCACACTCACCTTTTGTGATGACAGTGGCGATGCATTTTGTGGTTCGGACGTCCCAGATCCGGATGGTCTTGTCTCCAGACGCGGTCACAAACAGGTCCGGGTTTGTCGGGTGCCAGCAGAGCTGATCCACGCTGTCCCCGTGACCTCTGTAGTTATTCTCTTTGACCTGAAATGACGGAGATACTCAAAAGTTCACAGAGAATCGGGAGGATTTTAAACAAATCTCAGGAAACACTTTAAAACGAGAAACAAACACCGTTACACATGCGCCGTTCCCCCTCTACTGCCCTCAGGCTAACGCTAGCACGCTAGCCTCGACTCACCAAACGGTCCTTTTCCAGAACAAACACGCTCGCTGTTTTATCAAATGAGCCGGACGCGAGTCTTCTGCCATCGCAGCTCCACGCCACTGAGTGGACTTTGGCCGTGTGAGCCGGGAACTCTCGACTTTTGTTGTTATTCTTGAAGCTCTCCTGCATCTCCTGGTAGTACTGCGACGCCATCTTGAAAAGCTACGTCACATCAAGAACGACCGTTACCGCCATCTGCTGTTCGGAGGGCCGACTCGATTTAGTTTTTCAGGATTTTAAAATCGTTAAACATACTCTGCTGTCGTCTCCGTAGTAATGTATTATCAATTAGCACTAACTTTAATCCATTTTAATACTTAATTATGTGCCACAGAGGAAAAATCAATCCATCTGTTCACCGCCCCGGACATAAATTCAGCATTTCGTATTCAGTACGCTGATTTTTAATCACAATAATTAAGTAAAATGTGCAAAACCTTTTCTATTTTTGTTCTAACCTGCATCAATCCGCTACAATGTCTACCACACTGCGCCACCGGAGACCATCCACAGTTGGGGATGAGCTCTGCGTGCTTTTATCTTGGTACTTTTGCTCCTGGACTTTAAAATTCATCCTGAATAAGGTTTGAACCCTATGGAAGCCCATTTCCGCCAGTCAAAAAAAAAAAAAGTCATAACTATGAGATAAAAAGTCATAACTATGAGATAAAAACTCAAAATTATGAGATAAAAAGTCATAATTATGAGATTAAAAAGTCATAATTATGAGATAAGAAGTCGAAATTATGAGATTAAAAAGTCAATTATGAGATAAAAAGTCAAAATTATGAGATTAAAAAGTCATAATTATGAGATCAAAAGTCAAAATTATGAGATTAAAAAGTCATAATTATGAGATCAAAAGTCAAAATTATGAGATTAAAAAGTCATAATTGAAATTATGAGATAGTAAGTGTGCATGTTTTATGGCGCTACAGTCGGCTACAAATGTCTCCACAAAGGTCTTTGTTAAGAGTTGGTAAGTGTTATCAGAGCTAGTTTTACATGTAAAGCTGTGTTCTCCAGCATGTTGAAAAGTCATGCGAAAATTGTACACTGTGCAATGATAGTGACGTGCAGTTCTTCATGCTAGCTGTTGCACCGAGGATACAATACAGGTGCTCAACAGTCCTATGGCATTAGCATCGTTTCTCAGAATCGTTAGCTAAACTGGAAAATGACAACTCAGTGCACAGTGTACAATTTTCGCATGACTTTTCAACATGCTGGAGAACACAGTGTTACATGTAAAACTAGCTCTGATAACACTTACCAACTCTTAACAAAGACCTTTGTGGAGACATTTGTAGCAGACTCTAAGTAACAAGATGCAACTCACAGGTAGAAAGTACGGACACTGTTCCTGTCTCAGTGTCACCATCTAGTGGCATAAACGTTACTTCAAAACGATGATTGACTGACAGCTGAAAGATATTGTCAAAATAACGTTGTAATTTGTTTAGCAGCACGGACGGACTGATTAAATGAATAGTAATATTTAATATCTATCAAAGACACCTATAATACTTTCCTAATTTACTGATGAGTATCGTTTGCATGGTGCGTCCAGTGAGGTGAAGTAAGACCTTGAAGACGGCGCCATAAAACATGCGCACTTACTATCTCATAATTTCGACTTTTAATCTCATAATTATGACTTTTTATTCTCATAATTTCGACTTCTTGTTTTTTTTTGACTGGCGGAAATGGGCTTCCATAGAACCCATTACCTCAGGAGTCCCAGTCAATGTTCTTATCCTGTGAGCCATGTGGACACACAAGCCACATGGCCCACTATAAGGGTAGAGGTATAAGTTTGTCCACAAGGGGGTGCCAAACTCCAGACAGAGGCTTTAAATAAATTACTGCTAACTCAATTCTGGAGTATAATCACTGTATCCCTTTAGTACATTCATAGTGTTTCTCAGTTAATAATAATAATAATAATAATGAAGAAACCAAAAACACAAATAATCAAAAAGTTTAGGGAGTTAACATCAGCAGCTTTTTTCTTAAAATAAAAACAAACACAAGCTCCAACTTTCAATTGCAATTTATTTCAAGTGACGCTAAAATGAAAATCTATGTTTAAAAAACTTATAAACACTCCATTTATATCCCAAACACACACAATACCTATAGCCACCCAAACTCTGCAGATACAGTAAATCCTTCTTCAGTAGCCGCTTCGTTAACACTTGATCAAACAGTACGAGGACCTGTTGGAGTATAACCCAGCTGCAGGTTGTCTGAAGGCCTGTGCCAAGCCTTGATATGCATAATATTCAGGCCTGTGGTATTAATAACAACTCTGATGGGTTTTTTAATGTGCAGCTTAACAGTCGAGTAACATCTGGTCCTTTGCATGTTAATAAAATACACTCAATGAATGGAACGAAAGCACTTTTCAATGTGATTCTGTGTTACAAGAAAGAATGACAAGGTGTGAAAGCATCATATAAATGTGCCCAATGTAATTGCATACTTCTTAAAATTGTTCCACATGTAAGGAAGGCTATATATAGACCCTACAAAATAAAAGTCAAGGAATGCACAGTGAGATGTGAGCTCGTGAAACGATGAGGGCGTCTCAGAATATGCGGGTACAGGACTCTGGACTCAGTGGAGGAAGGCGTGTGGAAGACATCTCATCTCTGGTGGAGGGACTACGACAGTATCTCGGCAGATTTCACACCACAAAATGCAAGTCGGGACGTGTAGGTTTGGAGGTTGAGTGTCTGTGGAGAGGTAGACGACGTACACAAGCACCTCATTCCCTAAAGCTTTTGTAGTATTTGCTCTACAGACCACGAGATTTCAAGAATGGCTTTCTGCTCTCATGTTTTGGTGCAGATCTCGTCCCATCGGACCCTGAGACATTTCTGTTGGATGTGATTTGAACAGTGCTCCTGTATAAACATCACACACATTTCTAATCCCAAACTTGTCATTTTTCACCTGAAACCCTCACACGCCCAACACACTGATAGTCGTCACGCTGAAACCTGGACTGAAGCCTCCGCGGCAGACGCTGAAGAAGCTTTCTGGACGTTTAGTTTCGACCCTGGATGTCAAAGTTGTTTCACTCAGCTTTGCTCCTTTCAGACTCAGGAAGAGGCCGGCTGAATAGATAAAGTCCATGAATGAGATACTCTAAAAACCTGCAAACTGCAGTCAAGGCTGCACAGTTGGGGCTCTGGATATCAGCGGAGTAGAGCCAAGAGTTCACAGATAACTCTCAGCCTGTGATGTGGGTGCAGACATGTGGTGACGAACTCATCAACTGTGCAGCCCTGACCACACCTGGGAGTGAAAAGCGAGAGTTAGTTGCAGAAGAAGTTGTCGACCTGGAATCTAAACGGTGCAGTGCATTCCTTCTGATGACCCAAAGAGACCTGAAACAGATCCTTTGTGCATCAAACTGAGAGAGAAAAAAAAAACAAAAACATCAACCTAAAACTTTGCAGTCATTGTACAAGTCTAAGAGTTTGAAGAAAAACGGAGGTTCTGTGCAAAAAGTGCAGCTTCCCTCGTTCAGTTCAATCAGACGGCGCTCCAGGATCCGCAGGTTTGTTTTCTGTATCTGCAAATTAAAACTGACGTGCAGCAGATTCACGAATTTAGTGCACCTCCGAATATCAGCCATTATAGAAAGCCCGAAGCTTGACAGTTTGGTCAGCTTCTCCTTGGTGGTCCTGATCCTTCTCTGTTCAAATCCTACTCAAGGTTATGTCATTAAAACTGGAATCAATGCCTTGACTGATAAATAAAAAATACCCTTAATGATAAAAATTATCTTAAACTTGTTTTAAAGTGAAGAAAGAAGATTTACCGTCTCTATTGTCCGGATAACACCTTAGTTTTCACTTGTTTGTATTTTTTCATGTTGATTTTGACCAAGAATTAAAGTTAGAGAAACAACAGATCTGTGACATAAGTCTGTCTGAGGAGGAGGCGGGGCTTCTACAATGGCTGAGAGGTCAGGATGCGTTCACAGAATCGGTCTGTGTGGTTTCAGTTTTTCAGTCTGTGTTACAGGCTGAAAAAGCGTAAACCAAAACTCTGTTATCAGCTCCATGTTGGTCATGTGACTTTTGTTGGAGCACCGGTAAAATAACCCAACAGACCGACGTGTGAGCGCAGCCTTAACCCGTTTATCTGAGCCTGAATCAAGACCGAACGTTCACACCGATCCGATCACAGAAACAAGCCGTGGATCCTCAGGGTCCCTCTTAGCACTCGGCGTCTGTGCTGCCGTTGACCGGGCCGGCGCAGACTGCAGCATGGGCGTCCTCTTTGGGTCGGGCGTGTTCGACTCCGTTTGTGTGGGCGCAGCTCTCCGTCATGTTGTGGTTGTTCTCCTCCACGCTTCAGAGCAGAAACAGAGAGAGAGACAGACGAACATTAAAAGCAGAACCCAGTTTCAACTCACAAACTGTTGGTGAAGGTGAGATTAAGTTTCATCCCCCCTCTCTTGTCTCGTTTGTGTTCCTGATGTTTCTTCACCTGTTGGTGCAGCCGTTGCTGACCGGAGACCCCGCTGTTTCTTTCTCAGTCAGCGAGCTGCAGGACCTCCTCTCTTGCCAGGAGCCCACCCTGGGTTCTTTGCCCGTGTCCGAGCTCTTCCTCCTGGCCACGATGGGCCCCGGTCCTGAGCCCCGTCTCTCTGTGATCACTCTGGGCACCTCGGGATCCTTGCCGGAGTCTGTGCTTGTTCGTCTCCCGTTCAGACTGTCCAAGGAGGAGACGTGGCTCATCTGACCTTCCCGCTCATCTGGAGGAAAAAAAAGAGAATCTTAGACTTAGATTAGAATATTAGTAACCAACTCAAAATGTTGTCTCACTCGGACCCTTTTCAAACATAAAAACAGGATTATGATGAAAAAAACAACAGAGGTGTAAATAGATTTAAAGACTTCTTTCTCCCTTCAGGTTAATCAATCACAGAGAAGCCGATAAATCCATTTAGTTTGTGGTTCAGAGGGCCCTCTGCTGGTCAAAGACACCCACAGCAGCTCAGAACAGTTTTCCCCTCACTCATCCTGCGACCTCGACACTGTTCACAAAATCTTCAGATATGATACTTTCTTTTTTTCATTTCTGTTAAATAAAGCCTTTTTCTGTTGGTGTATGGAGTTTTCCATGACTTGAGGAAATCTTTTAAAGCCAGTCTTGTTCCTGTAAAGGAATATTGTCTTAATTTTCACTGAATCAGTGATTTGACAACACATTTTTACAACTTTAAAAGGTAGATTCAAACTCCAAAAATGTTCATGACACCACTTCAGTTTGCATTGAAGGAAAGTTAGAAACCAGATTAAGTTCAAAACTCAACAAAAAGAAAAAAAAGATGAGACCATGAGGCTTTTATTGTCCCTAAATCCTCCGTCTCTGTGTTTACCTCCAGAGCCAGCCTCTCCCGCCTTGTTGCGCCGGCGTCTCAGGATGACCTCCAGCTCGCTGTCCTTCTTCCCGGGCGGTGACGGCCCTGACTCCTGAGATCCTCGGCTGGGACTGCGCTTCACTGTCTCCTGCAGGAAAACACAACCGTCACTGCAGAGACTTGACTGTCCGCCAACACAGATTAAGATTAAGATTATTTATTATCCACATGTTAAAGGTTGTGTAAACCTGGATAATCTGACCTATCTTAACTAATGAATTTACTTGTTCTTGCACCTGCTGCTGGATTTATCGATGGAGGTGAGACCCCTGGTAGGGCTGACATAATATCAGATTTTCCTGTCATGGAAAACTTGACGATAAATAAAACATCTCCATCAGTAAAACCGAGAGTGGAGCATGTTTTTATTCATGTCTAAAAATATTCAGATTTATGATCAATAATCAGCTCTGTGACTGACGACATTATTTAACATTTGTTTGTCGGGCTTTTATTTTGGTATTTTATTCTGTCCTGTGATATGTGCTTTTATTTTGAAGTCTGAAATGTGGCGAATGCAGTTTCATGACACCAGTGTAAAGGAAAGATGGTTTCTGTGGATACAGTAATATCCTGACAGCGCTGTTATGGTGTTTAAAGAGCTAAAAGGCAATAATAATAACTTATTAAAGCTCCTGTATGGAGTTTTAAACTCATCTGGAAGCAGACCGTCCCCTCAGACCACACCTCTCTATCACAGCTGATGTTAGATCATTTTACCAGGATGCCTTTCAGTTCCTCCATGGCGCTCTCCTGCTGCTGCTGCTGCTGCTGCTGCTGCTTGTCCTCACAGACCACAGGCGGCTGGGAAGGAAAAGAAAACGAGTTTATTCAGTATGTTCAAGAAGCTGCATTTAAGACGCACTTTATAGATGGAAACGGCAGCTTTTCAGCAGAGAAATGACGGGGTATCTGATTTCCAACAAGGCCGTATTTTGTCAAATTATTTATTTTATAAGGAAAAATAAGTGAGTTCTGCTGGTCGTCAAAGTTTAGTTGTTATTACAAAGCTTTTGCAGCAATTTGATCTGATTTAATTTCCACATAAACTCAGAAATCAGCTGAAAAATCTCTGAATATTCCACCAGTATCATAACAGACTGGGGACGAGCCAATTCAGGACGTCGGACACCAAAACCCCCGCCATCTTCATGCTGTGATTTATAAGGTTTCCTGACATGCGTCACATTTGGTTTTCCAGTATGAAGTTATTCTTTGTTTTTGGACTCAGATGTGGTTTCAGAGCAGCAGAGACCGACTCCCTTTTCCTGCTAAATAAATCAACGAGAGCCTTTTGTACTGGGTCAGGTATACGACCTCCGTTTGAGCCATTTTCACTCATGCACTCATGGACATTTCTGGAAAATTTCAGGACAGCCTAAATACTGAAATTTTCCAAACTTTTCCAGCCATATGTTCTTCTCAGAGTTAATTTTTTTATTCTTTTCTTGACTTTTTTCACGTTTTCACACTGACTTCTTGCAGAAATTTTACTGGGCGCTTACAGGACAAATTTGCATTCACACAAGTGCATAGACCGGAGAATTACAGACGGTGTTCAGACCAGGGAAGTTATCTGAAATGGAAGTTTAAGTGATGTGTGTGTTTAACTGACTGAAACCAGGAGGTCTGCAGCGTGTGTGTGTGTGATGTTGTGTTTTAGTGTGTTAGCGTTTGTGTGTGTGTTTCAGGTCAGTGGGGTCAGGGGGGAGGGAGACATGAGTGACTTCACATCAGACAAGATTGATGCAAACATCAATAGACTCACTTTTACTGCTGCTCTCTGTGGAGGCACAAAGGAGACACATACGGAGAGAAGAGAGAGGAGAGCAATCAGCCAGAGAGCAGCGGGCAGACGACAACAAAGATGGACGCCCGCCGCTGTTTTTACTGACCACCTGATTTTTATGGCAGGAGGGCGGATGAGATACAGTCAAACACTCAAAGTCTTGTTGAAGTATTCAATACACAACAAACACCACCACAGACACACAGATGGAGACCTTTTGACCAGGACTTCACTCTGACTTTGGATTCAAGGCCGACAGAAAGTCAGCGCAGAGAGATTTCCGATGCTGGTAAAGCTGGCACGCCAATATCTCTGCATACCAACGGTGTTGTTGCCATCGGACTGATTGTGACCCACTTGCACTCCTGCCTGACACCCATCCATGAGGACAAACTGTTTTAATTTTATCAATGAGAACGAGCAGAAAACTGGACATCGAATCAAACCCGTTTTTTTTCACATGTAACAGTCCGAGCTTTGCTCTACATGACTGTCTGTCTGCTCAGCGTGTGGATATTTGGTATTTTCAACTACTTTAACGCCTCTTTATGTTCTGTAACTTTGAAATACCAGAGGTTATGTAGACATGGAAGATAAAGGATTCAAGGAGAAATACATCTGGTTTTGTTTTTGTTAAAGGAAAATCCAAGTCCTTTACACTGAGTGATTAATAATAGATTGTTAACATTTTAAAAAATCAATCACAGAGAATATTTCATAACATTTATCAAAAATGTTTGATTTTTAGGTGTTTAACTTTAAACTAAAATAAATAAATAAATAAAGACTAAAAATTGTCATTGAAAACTTAAAAAAATTTTTGTATTTGACTATAAGCTTTAAAAATTAAAAAAAAAACAAAAAGAATTTTATAAATATATATAATTATTATAGTGTTTAAATTCAACTTAATTTTTTTTAGAATAATTTAGAGTTATTATTTTAAATGTATGATTTTGAGGGGTCTAACATTAACGTATCACTCAAAAAATTTTATGACAAACATAAACTTTTGTTGGTATTTTATTTTGACTATTAACTTTAAACATTTAAAAAAAACGAATATTTTTTTATAAATATATGTATTTTTATGTGTTTAAATTTAACTTTATTTTTTTTTATTACATTTTTTTAAACAAAAGTTCACCTTTTCAAGTGTTTAACTTTAACTTTATATTTAAAACATCAAGATTTCATGAAAAATATAGACTATTTAATTCAACTTTTAACTGAAAAAAATTACATGACTTTAAAATTCTTTATTACAAATATAGACTTTTTGTGTTTTCATTTGACATCCACTTAAACATTTGTAAGGTCTGCTGACAATTTTCAGGAAAAATATAAACTTTTTACTTTGACTTTAAACTTAAAAACTTTTATATTTTGAAAATTTTCCTTACAAATTTATACTTTTTTAGTAATTTGGTTTGACTTTAAATTTTTCATTATAAATACATATTTTTGTGTGTTTTGGTCCAAAATAATGACCACGAATAAAAAGGTTCATATTAGAAACATTTTTAAGTCTTTATCTTAAATGTTAAGAGGCTAAAACATTTAAATATCAAACACTAATCTTTTCTCTGTATACACAATAAATTATTAAAAGTATCTGAATGAAGTAGAAAAAGGGACCATGTGGGCAGCCTGATGTATTTTTGATGCTAATAGTTGTCTCTGAAATAAAACTATGAGTATTTTCAATATTTTTGTCGCTGACTCAGACCCACTCTGTAATTTTTCTGCAGTCCGCTTGTGTGTCTGGTCCTCCTTAAAGATCATTTCTGTTTCAGGATGAGCTCACGCACTCAAACTTGAGACTGAGAGTAGCTTCAATCCGTCAGTCTCCTCCTCACCTTGCTGTCCTGACTCTTCACCGGCCGCAGGACCACGCCGTGTTTGATCCTCTCCATCATTTCATTCACCGCCTTCACCTTCACGTCGTCCACTCCCTCGCCTGCAGCTGAGAGAAGAGAAAACAGAGTGAAGAAGCAAAGAGTTAATTTAGAGGGTAAATCTTTTAAACTAAGGCTTAGCGTTCTCAGTTTGATGAAGTGAGACTCACCTGGAGGCTCCTCGGCCTTCATGGAGGCTTTGGAGCCTTTCGAGGACTTCCTCATGATGGCGATCAGAGAGCTGAGAGGAGGGAGGAACAAAAACCTGAAGTACGGGCGATTTTAAAGAGAGGTCACATCGTTTACAGCGGGACAGGATAAAACCTCACCTGAGGGGGTTGCATCTCGAGGGAGGAGGTGGAGGAGGGGGCGGCGGGGGAGGTGGAGGGGGAGGAGGTGGCTGTGGGGGAGGGGCAGGAGGCGGGGCAACCCCAGGTCCAGGGGGAGGGGGTCCTGTGCTGGTTGTCATGGCAGCCTGTTTCTGGCTCTCCACCTGCAGCTCGTGGACTGTGAAGAGGAAAGAGTGGAAACAGTGGACTTCCATCAGTGGGTCTGTGTTTTAGTTCTCCCCAAAAAGAGGAATCCTTTAACCTCCACGCCTGACTCCAGAGCGGACACTCTCGCCCGGCAGCCCGTGAAAGAGGCCTCTGTGTTTATTGTCCTATTTAACGGCGCCTGGTCAAAGTCAGTTGGTGGTTTTGGCTCTGACTTCATGTGACCCATTTAACAGCACACACAGATGCCATGTTTTTCACGCAGGGAGAAACTCTGCATGCGTGCCAATTATCCTGCAGCAGATGGGGCAGTAGTCTGTGTGGGAGTAAACTACGCCACGAACACGAGCGACGTAATAAAAATAGAGACATAATTACTGTGAGGTGTTAACCTGGAGAGCGCCTTTCAATACTTAGTCCTGGTGCTTTAAAATATTTATATTATTTCACCTTTTCTTAGAGTCTAAATGGTTAAAATACACAATTTTATAATAACTTCCTTAAAAGTGCAAAAAAACACACCGAAAAAAATAAAATCCTACAAAGTGTTTTTGTCGGATTTCCAGAAAAAACGTCTTATTAGGCGTAATTTAAGCCTCGTTCACCTGAAGAGTCAAAAAAAAAAAAAAAACTGACACATTTGAAAATTTAAGCCAAAAATTAAAACCTGAATTGATTGTAAGCAGAGTTTAAAAACATTACGGCATCAGGAGGAGAATAAAAATACCCGTTAAGTTCTTGAAAGAACACATCTTAGTTTAAGGAAAATGGAAAAGTATATTTTCTTATTTAATTAGCAGATTTTGTACTTATTACAAACAATTAAGTTCCTATTTTCAGTCAGTCATTTCTTGGATTAACCCATTTTTATGACATTTCAGATGAATAAACCTAATTTTGACGTTTTCACTTTTTTAAAATAAACGTTTTTGCAGTGACAGAGCTTGACTTGTCCACTTTATTTTTTATAATTCTCATTTTTTATTCTTTTTAGTTTTTTTTCCCACAGTGATGTTGTTATTTAGGTCAGTCACCGGACAGCATTGGGAACAAACACTTTTTTTTCTGACATGGGAGTTGGTGGTCAACCCAAACCAGTGACTAGTTAGTTTGAGGTGTCAAAAGCAAGACTGGGTCCATTGGGATAACTTTTTTTTAGAAATGAAAGTTTAAAAACTTCCTAGTTAAGGTAAACTCCAATGTTCTGGGAGGTAAGATTACAGCTTTCAGGTCATATAGTTTCAGTCTTTTTCGCTAAAACCTCTCCTCGTGCGCTTTAATGGGCAGGTGTACAGCCTTGAACTGCCTATCACCATCAACTCCCATGTTTTAAAACTCAAATGTTGGTAAGATTAGCTCAGTTGGAGGCAAAAACAAACATTTTTAAGAGCTCACATTTTAGTAAAAAAACACAGCCTCAGCAGCCTTATATCAACTTCTGTAGTTTAGACCCAAAATATCTTTAAAAAGAGATCAGGTGCAAAAAAAAAAACACATAATAAAGACTTATTCTGCCGTCCTCAATTAAGAAGTATATCTCAGTATTTTCAGTTAGGAGATTTTAAAACCAACCATAGAACTGATCAGATTCAGTCTGGGTGTGGTGAAGCTAAATCAGAGTTAAAAAACTGGGTCAAAAATCCCCGTTGCTTTTTCCCTCCTTTGTATTTCACACTTTCCCAAACTCACATTGATCTAATATCAATTTTTCTCCTTTGGTTTCAAAATAAATCATACATGAAGTCTTTTATTTTCTCCATCAGGAGGTCTCTCTTCAGTGCAGCATGTTCAGTGTAACCCATATTCAGGAAAACACCTGCCAGCCAATCAGGAACAAGTATTTTCTGTTGCTATGCAGTAAATTTGATTGTGTGTTTCCTGTTCTCATGTCAGCGCTCGACTGGAAGCCCCACCTGCTTCTCTGTGTCTGTGTGCGTGTGTGTGTTTGTGTGTGTGTGTGTTTGTGTGTGTGTGTGTGTGTGTGTGCGTGTGTCTGCACCTCCGCCCACCTCTGTTCTGCAGCTCCTCGTTCGTCTTCTCCGCCTGCTCCAGTCGTCTCTCCGCCTCTTTTTTCTCCACCTCCAGCAGCTCCAGCTGCCTCTGCAGAGCCTCCAGCTGCTTCTTCACTGAGCTCTGCTCCAGCTGGGCCTCCAGAGTCTGCACCTATACACACACACACACACACACACACACACACACACACACACACACACGTACATGAGGTATCGAGGTATTTTGACTTTTTATACTGTTGTTTCTTTAATGTAATTAAACTGTTTTGTATCATCTTTTCATGACAATTTAATTTTTTTTGTTTTTTATGTTTTCTCTTATTTTGATTTATTTTTGTATTCATAGTTCATTTTTATTTATTTGTATCATATTATAAAACTATACCAAATCTATATTATAGTACACTACACACAACATACACTACCCTTTCTTCCCCTAACAAACACTACCCTACCTTAACATGCACTGCCCAACCTACCAAGCATACACTACCTGACTGTACCCCCACATACACTTCCCAGCCAAAGAAACAATACGCTTACTTATCCAAGCATACTTTACCTTATCCTAACATACACTACCCTTTCTTCCTCTAACATACACTACCCTACCATAACATAAACTACCCAACCCCCCAAACATACACTACCTGACCCTATCCCAACATTCAATATCCTCCCTTGCCCTAATAAACACTACCCCATCGAAAAAATAACCCAAAATACCCTACCATTTCCTGACATTCACTTCCAAAAACCTTATAACACCTGTCCCAACATGCACTTTCCTTCCCTACCTAAAAATTCACTACGCTACCCTTGAATACCAGCATCCTAACCTGCGCATACCCACCCTACCCTAACATTCACTACCCAAACTTAGCAAAATACCTGTTTACCTACCGTTACGAATCCCCAACCCTATCCTAGCATACACTACCCTCCCTTGCCCTCACAAACTTTACCCGCCATCATAAACTACCCAAACCTTCCAGAGGACACACTTTTCTCCCAAAACATAACTTAAACCTTATCCTGGCAAAGCATACCCTACCCAAAATACGTGAACATACACAACCTTGCCATGACATACATTACCTGACCCCACCAACCCTAACATACAGAGAACGCACACTACCCTACCCTTACACAACCACTACCTTATTCTTACATACCCTACTCCATCTGATTCTAATATGTACTACCATACCATACCCTTAAATACCCAACCTGCCATAACAGACACTACTCTACCTTCACATACCCAACCCAACCTTCTTCTGTTCTACTTAAACAGCGCCCTCTCTGGTTCATGATGACTCAGTTCTTGCTCTGTCCGTCCGTCACGCCGCCTTCAGCTCTTCTCTGATGAGCAGCAGCTTCTTGACAGAAAACTGAAGTTTGTTGATTTTTGTGGATTACCTTCTGCTGATGCTGCAGACGCTCCTCCTCCAGGGTTTTGGTGACGGCAGAGACGTCCTCCAGAGCCTTCAGCAGCTGAACGCTGGGCTCAGCACTCTGCAGCAGGAGCATGCTCTGCCTGTTGGCCTCCTTCTGCTTCACCAGCATCTGCAGGAGGAGGCGCAGAGCAGAGAGAAGGAGACGTGGAAGGTGAAATAAGGAAGCAGGATGTGATAGGAGCAGGAGAGGAGCTAGAAACTCCAACACATCATCCTAGCATCTCTGTCGGTTTGTTTTGATCCTGCAGGCTTTTTCCTTTTCAGGTCAGTAAACAGCAAATTCAGGACATTTCATTAATCAGTTTCATTAATCACACATCAATTACCAGCACAGCAATGCAGGTCAGGGTTTATCAGTCTGCAGCATTTTCATGCAAAAGCAGATAGTTTGTAGTATCTGTGTCCAATAAAACCCTTTTTTTAATCCAAATCACACTAACTTGTGGTACAGGGAGAGGTCTTTTTGTGGTTCTCTCTTTACCTCATGTGCGTACGTCTCAGCTTTCACTCTCAGGCTTTGCTCCAGGTCCAGCTGCTCCTTCATCCCGTCGTACTCCTGGGCAGCCATCATGGACACTACAGAGACAAAGACAGAAGATGCTTCAGACCAAACAATCCAGGAGGACACTTCATAAAGCCAGTTTATAGACGTGCAAGTATGAGTTTCACGTTGTGTTTCTGTTGTTTTAGTCAAGCTCACCTCTGTTGAATCTCTTGATGGTTTTAGTTTGTTGCTCGACTGTTTCTCGAAGCTCCTTCATCTCAGCCTGATCTTTCTCCGACTGCAAAAGGAGGAGACAGAAGAAAAGAAGAAGAAGAGGAACATTAACAAGAAGAAATAGACGTTTTTCCTGCAGGTACTGTATGTGTTCATCTGCACTCCTTCCTCCTCACCTGTGTTGTCAGCTCTTCTATCCGTCTCTGCTGTTCGTGAATCTGACAAACGAAATTCTTCTTTTCCTCCAACAAGCTGTTCACCGTCTCCCTCAGCTCTGAAAAACAAAAACAAGATTTCCACAGGTTAAAGTATGAGAAAATCAAAAGGATATACTTAGATGGTATATTAATATAATTGATATTGATAGAAATTTGCGTACTGTACCTTTAACCTGCTGAAATTACTTTATCATAAATCTGCATACTTAACATTTAACCTGCTGATGTTGTTTTTGTTATTATAAAACTGCGTACTGTACCTTTAACCTGCTGATGTTTTTTTGTTGTTATAAATCTGCGTACTGAACCTTTAACCTGCTGATGGTGTTTTGTTATTATAAATCTGCTCACTGTACCTTTAACCTGCTCTTGTTGTTTTTGTCATTATAAATCTGCATACTGTACCTTTAACCTGCTGATGGTGTTTTGTTATTATAAAACTGCGTACAGTACCTTTAACCTGCTGATGGTGTTTTGTTAATATAAATCTGCGTACTGTACCTTTAACCTGCTTATTTTTTTTTGTTATTATAAATCTGCGTACTGTACCTTTAACCTGCTGATGGTACTGTGTGAAGTTGTCCGGACTCCCGTCGGCCGTGTCGACGTCTGAGTCCGTCTCCAGAGCGATGCAGTCGGAGATGCTGGGAAGGAGTTCATCCAAACATGGGCGTGAGGACATGCTCAGGTACTTCAATTTCCTGTTCTCACAGTTCAGCTGGAGGTCAAAGGTCACAGGGTCAGTTACATGTTTAGACGCTTAAATAATCAATTTTAAGATCACTTCATTCTCAGTGATTTTGTTACATATATAAGATCTTTTACACTTAATTTATTTGTTAGTTTTTTAGACTTTTTTTTAATCTTGATTAAAGTTTAATATGAACTCAAAGTTTCTGCTGACAGAGAAGAAGTCAGACAGTTTCTGTGCGGAGTCATCCTGACTCAGCTGTTCTCTCTGCTCTCTCACTAATGCCAGCTGGACCCTGAAAATGCTAATCTTATTGTATTGATCATAAATCTGTGTGTGTGTGTGTGTGTGTGTGTGTGTGTGTGTGTGTATCTGACCTTTGTGGCCAGGGCCTCTGCATTCTCTCGGCACGACTTCTCGATCTCCAGCTGAGTCTGCAGGACGCTCACCTCCTCAATCACCATCTGAGACACTGAGGAGGAGGAGGACACATTCACACACGCATGTGAGCCAGGAAATGCTGACTCAGGTTTACTTTCAGTCGGCGTAGAAACAGAGAGAGTAGATCTGGACCATGAACCAGATTCGCTACAAACAGATCTCCCTTTTGCTTCATCTTATGAAGCTCCAATCAACGTGAAATTAGGTAGAGGGAGGAGAGCAGGGAGAGGCGGGTGTGTGTATCTAAGTGAATGAGCTGAATGAGCGTGACAAAAGAGAGGCTGAAGCCTGTCTCTAGTGGATACTCAAGGAACTGCAGCTGTCTGCACTTAAAGGTGGGGTAGGCAGGAATCTGTTAAAGAAGCATCTTTTGTTGTGGTTTTATACAAAAAATCTTTTAACATCAGTCAATAGTTATTAGTTATTGATCACATTTGGTAATATATCGATATCTCTGTGTTCTCTTATGTCTGTGTAGTCAACATTTGAACACTTTTGAGCGGTCCGCTCTTTCTGACCTTAAACAAAGCCGTTCTCCACCTCCTCTAACCTGATTGGTTGTGAGGCAGACGCTGCTCCCCCGTGTCGTTCAGGAGCCCAAACAAAGTTAGCGTGCTACAATATCGGACAGTAGAAACCAACCAGGAAGTTCGGAAAATTGTCTGAATCCTCCTTTGGCCACGACTGCCGACACAAGCAAGAAAACAAAGTAAATACCGGAGACTCTGGAGGAATAACGGGCGCTTAAAACGGAGGTAGACCGGACAAGAGCTAAAAAGCCGGGTCAACATAAACGATGGGGGACGCTTGGGGATCTTGGTGACCCTGTAACCTTTCTGCTGGACAGGTAAACCGCTTTAACAAAGTAAGACAAGTGTCTGTAACAGAAGTGTTTCTTGTCAAACGGACCTGCTGTAGCGTGTTGTAGCGCCATCGCTAAACTGTCCTCCCTCGGGTCCTGGACTATGTCACTTTATCCTCGTTGTAGAAGTCCTGCAAACATTGTGTTTGTTGGTAGTCTGTTGGCATCTACAGTAGCACCAATGCTTTTGACTTTCACCTTGACTGGGCCCCATTTGTAATGATCTGAAGTATTTATCTGCATTATATCTGAATTTAATTGGAACGATACGAGCGAGCAGGAGCGTCTGTTTGTGGGCGGGGCTTGAGGGGAGAGGAGGAGCTGAGGGGAAAACTGGTTGGGAGGGGTAGAGTTTACATTCAAGATTTCGCCTAAAAACTGTCATTAACTCAGATCCTGAATACACCACCAAGTCAGCTGCTACCTCATGATAGTTTCCTTCTCCTCCTGTTGAAACTCACAGATTTTCTTTACAGCTGGATTTTTGTATCTGCAGGAGGTTTCACTTTGTGATATTTGGTCTGTGATGATCGGTGGTTCTCCGAGTAAAACCACCACTGAGTGGGCCTGAGGACGTGAGCCGCCTGCAGCTGTCGAACATGTCACCAGAGCTCGGCTCGTCCTCGGCTATTTTAAAATGACCCAGATATGAGGAGTTTGGGAAAATCTAGACTGAGAGGAGAGAATCTTTGTGAGGAAGAAGCTTTCCCAAAGTGTCAGGAAAGATCCTCTCGACCTTTAATTTTTCTTTTTATATCTTTCCTTAAATGTCAAGACTTCACACGGATCATTTTCTACAACAGCAGCTGATTAGATTCACTGAACTGAGCTTCTCTGCACGAAACACACTCATTCATTCATTCATTCATTCATTCATGGACTGTGTCTCTCTCTCTCTCTTTATTGATCGTTCAGCTTCATTCTGGTGACACATCCAGACCTGGACTCTTTCAGGCTGCTGTGTCCAGATTATATTACAGTCAGCAGGAACCTCCCACCAACCCCACTGCTCCATTAACAGACTGCTTCCTGGTCGATGTACAAACCCCAAATGTGATTATACTGCTGACACACACGGCTGAGTGTAGAGGGGGGAGGTGTTTCTATTCCTGTAACACCACAAAAGAGTCTCAAACAGCCTGGATTCATGTCGTCTTACTTTCTGCACGACATCCTTATAAAGTCACGGAGTCACACTGAACTTTAAATCATGAATTTTAACGCAAAGATTTTCTGCAGTTTTTAGTTTCGCAGTGATTCGCATCAAGTGGCAGAATTAGACGTAGAGCTGGATGCAGGATGATGATAGAAAATGATAAACACCTTTTTTTTTTTTAGCATCGGTGTTTAACATGAAAACTGCGACAGTGATTTTCTAAGATGTTAACATCAGCTATATTCATGTGGGGTTAGTACCTGAGGACCTCTGGAAAGTTCATTTACTTGAATTTAACATCCATGTGGAGCTGCAGCTGAGACTCTCTGTTGGATATCGTCCCTGTTATTCCTTAAACGAGCTGCGTCTTAAAAGTCAAGTGATGACAAAGTAACACTGACATCCATCCTGAGATACTCTGCAGATCTGTGGGGTTTATGGTGCAAAACTGAAGGTCTTTGGCAAGAATACAGAGAGCCAATTTTACTGCGCCTCCTCTAGTTTAAGTTTATATTCTGGATTTGCATTTTGGTGTTTTTCTGCCTCTGCATCGGACAACATTTAGTCAGCCGATCGGTCGGATGAAACACAGTTATCAGCAGTTCAACACTCGGGTTAAAGTGTTCCTCACAAACACCAGCCCAGCAGTTAATGACAGACTGTCCAGCTGTTATTATTCACACACAAACGGTTGTTAGGCTGCTGTAACTCAATCCCTCCTGTCTGCTCAGCACACGTTTGTGTTTCATACAGATAAGAAAACCTCAGACTCAGGACTGGAACGATGTGATCAGTAGATTCTGATGATCTGACGTTTATGTGCAGCTTTTTAAATTCACTTTCTTCATTTTCAAGTTGTTGCTGTGGAGCTTCAATGAGCAAAACCAACACTGAACACTGAACATAAAAGCTCTTGTGAGTAATATTCGGTTGGTGTCAGTTTGGCGCCCCCTGTGCACAGGAGGTTGCATGTTAGAGCTGGGTGATAACTTGGGTTTAAATTTCGATAACTGTTTTGTTTCCCCATGAAAAATATGAAAATGTAGACTCAAAACTGTGCCGCCTCGGTTTTTAAATTAAGGTGAAAAAATGAAGCAGCGTCGCTCAAGAACGATTGAAATAACTTTTTTTTTTTTTTACTTGTTAAAGGGATATTCCGGTGTAAAATTAAGTTAGGGCTTGTTTGTAGCGAGACCTTGGGCCAGTCCATTACAGACTACAGCGGGGTGACGCAGCTCAAGGAAGAACATTTATGATCATTTCTTTATGGAAATACAATCAGACTGAGACGCTACAAACAAGCGGCTGATGGAAGAGAGTAGGTGAGTTGTGTTTAGTCTCTTTGCTAAAGAAATTAGTCAAAGTTAAAAAGATGTTTGGTGTCTAGTACTATGGCTGTGACCCTATATGTCCTGTTGATGAAGTTAGGTGCTGTTCTGAGCATTATTTGTGGCTATAGAGTGGCGTTTTGGTTGAGGGCGTGGCTCTATGTATTACTATCCTGCGGTTGTTACTAAAGTTGGTAAAACTAGAGAAGCAAACAGTCTGCAACATTCATCTCTGGAGGGGGTGTCTAACTCAGTGTTACAGTGCATTTTTTTTGTATATAAAGTGATGCAGATTAATAATAATAATCGTGATTTCAGGTAAACTGAACCCAGACTCGACACTGACTCTTAAAAACTGCGGCGAGATCACAGGAATCGCCTCGTGACCTTTGACTCTGTGATGATGTTTCATTCAGCTCAGTGTCAGAGATGCTCTGGTTTCTGTGAGGAAAGTGAGGGTGATATGATGAAGAGGAGGAGGAAGAGGAGGAGGACAGGGAAGGCTTCTGGATCTATTTTTAATCCCTCAGTCAATGTTTAATGCCTGTGGATGGGCTGTGGTGGTGTGATCCCCTCCCTCAGCTCTCTCTCTCTCTCTCTCTCTCTCTCTCTCTCTCTCTCTCTCTCTCTCTCTCTCTCTCTCTCTCTCTCTCTCTCTCTCTCTCTCTCTCTCTCTCTCTCTCTCTCTCTCTCTCTCTCTCTCTCTCTCTCTCTCTCTCTCTCTCTCTCTCTCTCTCTCTCTCTCTCTCTCTCTCTCTCTCTCTCTCTCTCTCTCTCTCTCTCTCTCGCTCTCTCTCTCTCTCTCTCTCTGCAGTCCTGTTGAGTCTTTTTAACCACCGCTTCACAGCACATCGTCCTCTGCTCGGCTGCCTGCACCGCAGACCAGACTCAGGAGGAAGAGGCAGTGGGTCATCCTCTATTTATAGTCCTGTCTTTATTCAGACGGTTTTTTCTCCTTCTTTTGGAGAAACAAACAGCTGGTGCCAACACTTCAAACATGTTTATTTCATGTCACTAACCTCTGCAGTTCTAGTTTCAGCTGCAAAAAAATAAACAGTTTGGTGTTTATGGCTGAATGTGCATTTACATGATACAGAGACGAGGAATTAAACAGAAGTTTGAATATGCGATCAAATGTCAAAGAGATGTTTCATGGTCGTCTCACTCAGACAGAGTTTGTCCTGCAGCGCTCTGTCTCCTGTCAGACTCAGTTCTGGGTCATTTTAACTCGTATCACTTCAGGAGTTTGATGACGTGCCCTAAAAACCTGCAAGGATCCAACGGGCCAAAAAACAGCTTTTGTAGTTCAGCGGCGAGAGAGCTGAAGCCGAGGAAAGCCTCTTTCGGTGATGGTGCATGTTCAAAACAGATGATTTGGAGGATTAGCCGACACTAAGCACACTGGGTAACGGTGAAATCCAGAACAGAGGGTTAAAACAGTCAGGAAGCTGGACATGGATTTACCAACACCAACATGCAGCAGGTTTCCAGATGTTCAAGAGTTATGAGATGCTTCATGGAGAGAAAATTTCCCTTTACTTTCCTGGAGTAAGGATTTCTAACAAAGAGAGAAGTCAGTGTGAATGACAGTGAGTTTTTTTTAAACTCCAACACTGACGCTAAAGCTAAGCTGGGAACAATGGCTGCACTAATCCAGCCTTCAAGTGCTCCTTTAAGCTCCTGCTGGAGAGATTCAGAGTTGTTGTGCTTTTTAGGGTTTCAGGATAGAAAGTAGTTACAGAAACATCGGTCCAGTTCTACGCCGACGAACCAGACTGTAATTCAAGCTTGCAAATGGCGATGTTCGCCAATATTTCGGGGCTGCTTTGTGTATCATAATTATGGTCAAATTTTGATGATGCGGGTCCCTCTACTGCAGGATTCTACCGGGGACAGTATGAAACTTGGACATAGTTTCTCACCTCTTTGGAAATCTCAGTCTGATCTTCGTTATAACCTCCACCTATCAGACGTAGAAACACCTTCTGTTTGTAACTCTCATCCCAAATTTCCACTGCATCCGGAACGGCTACGAAAAGGCCGTATCCTCCGATCGTAGCTGATCATAACCATTCAAGTTAACGTGTCAATTTCCACCAGCTTCTATCCGTTCTGCTGCGGATCGCCAAACTCCTCAGCTGATCTCAAGAATTCAAATTTTTCTGGACGCCGGAGCATGGCGGATAAATTCAGCCCAGATTAACCCGTGCTGGAAAGGAAGTCGGACACAGACACAAAATAAAACATCCGGCTTCTTTTCAAAATAAAACGTGTTTCAGGAGGATCGTATTTCACACCATGCAAACGGGCGGAGACGAACAAGTGAAAGGTTTTTAGACGTCATTTCACCCCGATGACACCATGGATGAGGAGATGCTGATTCTAGAAGTCTAGAAGTAGATTTCCTCCTCTGGAAGGACACAATCTACTGCTTATATGTCTATGTGTCTGTCTTTATAGAAACAACTCGTTATCGCGTGATTGAATGTGAATCGGCGGGTTCTTGTGAGTCCTCGCAATTACCGCTGTCCGTAATCCGCCACGAAATTTGCCCTTACAAACGGATCCGGTAGGAATTAGCGGACGGCGAAAATCGCTGCTGTTCTGGATCAGAGCCATTCTGGATGCGGTGGAAAGTCAGGGTTAGCCTTAATTAAAACCAAAACATTTGAGTTATTTCATCCCTCAGTGTGTAAAAATAAAGAAATCATTTGCTGAAACCAAAATAGTTTTATTTCAAAGCTGCAGACATGCTCTAAAAACATCTCAGTTTCTTTGTCTGCTGCTCTGATAATAGACGGATTACGCCGCCGAGAAAAAGCTCTTCATACAGACGGATAAAAACCAGAAACTAGAGAGAGATGACTGATTAATCGGGTAATTAATCAGCCATTAATTAACGGCGATATGGGCGTTAGGTATCAGTCACCTGCTCTGTAAATATCATCCAATGAAAACCCTGTTTTAGTCGACTGCTCCTTTGGTCTGATATCTGGAGCTGAAAGTTAAACACACGTTTATCGATCTGTAAAAGTCTAAAGAAGAGTAAATGATACCGACCCGCCTGCTCTCTGTGTGACCCCGGTCTCTTATCGTCTCTCTCTCTGTGTTTTTAAAAGCTCTTGAATGCGGGGACAGTGCCGCCACAGGCTTTCATCTGAGTACAGTACACTGAATAAGTAGGCTGAGTAAGCTAACATGGCTACAGGCTATCAGTGCGGTAAAGCTGAACGGTTTCCCTGTTAGCTTCAAGCTACATCTTCATACAGTTATATTAGACGCCGTACAGTGAAATGTAATCCTCGGTTCCTTATTTTCAGGTTTCTTCTCATCACTCACACCTCTGCAGACTCTTGTTCTCCTTCTCTATTTCATATATGAGTGTCTCCGCTGTCCTCATCATGTCTCTCTCTGCTTTAAAACCTCGTCCTCTGACATATTTGAGACACTCAGCTCCTTTTTTCTGCTCCTCGAGTTTAATACAAATCTGAAGTTACAGACAGAGAGACATCCGCCTCCACCAGCTCAGAGTCTCAGGAACAGGCGACCATGACAGGAGGAAGAGACGGTTCAGACTTCACTGTCTGAGAAACCTCCTTTAAAGCTACTCTACTTTAAAATTATCGTTCGTTATCTTTGCAATATTTGTGTTTTTTATTAAAAAGTACTCTGTTCTCCGACACATAAACAATCAGCCGGTCCATGTATATCCATGTTGGATATACCAGTGAATCTGACGTCACAACAACACGCAATCTGATTGGTCAGAAATGGACACACAGTATGCGAAACTTATGAAAAATCGACCGTGATCCGAAAAAAATGTGAACACTCCTATTGACAGGATACGGGTTCCAAAAAAAATACTGACGTCCGAAATAATTGCACGAAAAAACGGTCCTGGTGTGAAAGGAGCTTTATAGCGTTCAGAGTGGGACAAGTGTGCTGCAGTGACTCTGGGGTCAGGTCCTGTTTTCACAGTTATATCGTCACTGAATCCGCTCCGGTCCGGTCCAGTCCGGCCTTTGGGACTCAAACGAGCCCGCAGTCGTCCTCATTAATGCGTTAAATATGGTCATCAAATATGGAGCAGCAGGTAGACGGACCTTTGGAAGGACCACAATGGACGGAGAGTCAGGCAGCAGTGGAAACCCCCACCCACACACACACACACACACACACACACACTGTCATCCTGCCCCCAGTTCTGCTGCTGAATTATTCATGGCAGGAGGTTTAAATAATTCATGGGAATAACATGACAGGAGCGACCACCGGCTCCTCGGGCGGAGACGGTGAATGAATAAATGAGTAAATGAATGAGCGGATGAAGAGATGGGACCTGCTGTCAAAGTATCTGCTGAGTTTGGAGATCATAGGTCCAGTTTTTGCTGCAGCAGACACGTTCCTGACAGGCGACTGAGAGAAAGCTGCAGGTTTGAGTCCGACTAAAAGACTAAAAGACTCTTTTTTTATGATCAGAGTCTGAATCTAGAAGTCCTGCACAGTCTCTACAGCCATGATTGATATGAAACTAAACAGTATTAGTCCTGACACCACAGCTTAGATATCAGATCATAAGAACATGTTAAAGCAGCAGTGAAGCCTGGAGATCCTCTTACCTCTGTGGATCGTCATGACTCAAACCAGCGTCTCCCTCACGGTTCCTGATCCACCTTCAGCTCCTCGCTGACCCGACTCTAAACTCTCTAACAGAAGAAAAGCTCTCCTCCTGTCGCCTGGCTAACCTGACAGTCGTCATGGAAACTGGGGTAAACACCCTCCCCTCCCCTCCCGTGTTAGGCACACCCCGCTCAGAGAACAAGGTGTCGGTGATGTCATGTCAGCAGAAGTGAGGAGGAAAGGTGTGAAGGAGGTGTCAGCTGTCAGAGAGGAGGCGGTTTGATGTTTCAGTCAGTCTGTGTGACTTCATTAGAGTGAAAGACCCTGACGTCTTACAAGTAAATTTATGATCAATATTCTTTTTCACCACAAAAATCATCAAATTTTTCATATTTTTGTGTTAAATTGATGTTCTGGTGATGATTTTTTAAGAGACAAACGCGACACAGCGACCCTTAAAATCATATAAAATGCAGCCACACCCACCCTCATTAATGAAATCTGTTATTCTATTATTTAACACATCAGGACGTCTCACAGACATGACCTAAACCCAAGAGGAAGTCGGCCATTATGATTTGAATTTCAAATTAAGGCGTCATTTTGGTGATATCATCTCAACTGCTTATCCTGGTCAGGGTTACAGAGCGGCTAGAGGCGATCTCAGCCTTCACTGGGTGAAACGGCGGGCGTCAGATTCGCCACACAAAGCAATTAAGAGTGAGCAATTAATCTGGAGATCCTGCTCGCTCGTATCGTTCCAATTAAATTCAGATATAATGCAGATAAATACTTCAGATCATTACAAATGGGGCCCAGTCAAGGTGAAAGTCAAAAGCATTGGTGCTACTGTAGATGCCAACAGACTACCAGCAAACACAATGTTTGCAGGACTTCTACAACGAGGATAAAGTGACATAGTCCAGGACCCGAGGGAGGACAGTTTAGCGATGGCGCTACAACACGCTACAGCAGGTCCGTTTGACAAGAAACACTTCTGTTACAGACACTTGTCTTACTTTGTTAAAGCGGTTTACCTGTCCAGCAGAAAGGTTACAGGGTCACCAAGATCCCCAAGCGTCCCCCATCGTTTATGTTGACCCGGCTTTTTAGCTCTTGTCCGGTCTACCTCCGTTTTAAGCGCCCGTTCTTCCTCCAGAGTCTCCGGTATTTACTTTGTTTTCTTGCTTGTTTCGGCAGTCGTGGTCAAAGGAGGATTCAGACAATTTTCCGAACTTTCTGGTTGGTTTCTACTGTCCGATATTGTAGCACGCTAACTTTGTTTGGGCTCCTGAACGACACGGGGGAGCAGCGTCTGCCTCACAACCAATCAGGTTAGAGGAGGTGGAGAACGGCTTTGTTTACAGTCAGAAAGAGCGGACCGCTCAAAAATGTTCAAATGTTGACGACACAGACATAAGAGAACACAGAGATATCGATATATTACCAAATGTCATCAATAACTAATAACTATTGACTGATATTAAAAGATTTTTTTTATATGAACCACAAAAAAAGATGCTTCTTTAATGGATTCCTGCCTACCCCACCTTTAATCATCTGGAAAAAAAAACTCTGCTTGTTTGTACGTCAGCGTTTCGTGGTCTCGATGTGTGTGTGTGTTTGTGTGTGTGTGTGTGTGTGTGTGATGGAGGAGTGTGAGGAGGCTGCAGGAAGCTGGACTCACCTCTCTTGATGTGTTTGAGTTGTCTCTCGGCCTCGTCTCTCTCCTCCGTCAGTCTGTTGCACTGCGGGAGAGCAGGTCAGTGCATCAGATCATGTTCCAAAACACACTGAATATACAGGTCACTGATACCAGCAGAGTACAGTTACACACACACACACACACACACACACACACACACACACACACACACACACACACACACACACACACACACACACACACACACACACACACACTATGAGCACACATGACCACCGGCTCTTTAGATCTGTCTAATGGGTGTGAGAGGAAGGAATATCGAACTTGGTGCTGCAGAAAACTCTACTCAGTGCATCAGAGATTAGATTAGATTATATCAAGTGAATTCATACGAGTTGCATGTCACTAGCATGTGTATTAACCACACTAGATGTCGGTCGGCTCTGCCTCTGTCAGTGAGAAACTGCTGGAAGGTTTGCTGCAGTTTTCTGCAGATGATGCTGACTCTGCCGTGTGAACGAAATCATTTTGAGAAACTCCAATACTGTAACACTCCACCCAGAGAATTTTCAGCACTTTTCCGTTTGGTTTTGCTCGATTTTTCAGACACAGAACTCACAGACGTGCTTTTTCACATGCAGCTAATCTGGTCTATGATGAACAAATCACTGATATGTATTCTGAATTTTGATTCTTTGCATGTTCAGTTCTGTAGACGAAGGATTTCATCACTAAAAAACTGTTTTATTTTGATTCCTTAAGATCCAGAGATACTGGTGAGCAGTTTCTCCTCTATCCTCTAAAAATGATCCTTTAAACACCCGTCGTCTCTAATACCAGACTGACTCTGGAGGAGGCGTAAAAGCCACGGCTTCATCCTCACATCCACAAGATTAACTGTGAGGAATCTGCGTGGAGCTATATTTGGGACGAGCAGCTGTGGAGAAGCCCGGTTTGATTGTTGTCGGGGTGAAACCGCAGCTGAAGATGCCACGAAGATTAAGTTCAAACCCACAGTGTCAGTGGACAGTTTCATCTTGGAGACATAAAAATGTGGTTCTCTGAAATTTTTACTCTGTAATAGTTAGAGAAATTAGTCCTAGAGTAGTGCTGGGCGATTTAAAATCAATTTATATTTATTTTTAAGGGAAATTTCAGACTTTGTTGACTCAGTGAGGAGCTTCGATATTTATGTGAGCGGAGGGAAGAGAAGCTGCTCTCCTCGTGGATATAGAGGAAAAACGAGAAGCCGAATGATGCCTCTCCCTCAAAGATTTCTTTGTCTTCTCGAGTCCAGTCTCAGGTTTAAAAGCGGATGGCATCATCATCGTCTCATTATTGATCAAACTGGGATTGCCTCTTTTCTTAATGGGACAGAGACGTACAGGATCGACTGCAGCCTGCAGGAACTGGAGCGTTCACTGACCGACGGCAGCGGAAGCAAACAAAGAAAATGAGTCTTCATAATCATCACAGAAGGTTTGCTTCAACTTTGACCTACAGGAGGCCGAGTATCTCAGTCTGGGTTTGATGAAGTTGGACTGAAATAAGAGACTTGTGGAATAAAAGGTCTCATCTCCTGTGGGTGAATCTGTGACGTTTGTGGTGATCAGCGGTGTCTCTGCCTCCTGATTTTATACAGTCATCACAAAGTCTGTTAAGGTGAGCTAAACCCTCCCTGTGAACCCCCTAAACTTGGACTAATCCCACATACAGATTTAAGAGTTTGAGTTTCCACTCAGAAGAAGACGACGAAGCCTCTGTGACTGGCCCTGAAGACTCTAAATCCCTAAAATCAGCGATTATTTCTGGGACTCAGCTGCAGTGTGGACCTTTACGTGAGCCGTTTAATGACTCATCCAGACAATCTCTGTCTCCTTGTAAAGCCGGTGAAAACCCTGGAGCGCTCATACTGTACTTAACGGGTATTTGTGCTCAGGTGGTCATCAGCTGTGGGTTCAATGATGAGACCAGACTGACCAGTAAAGACGGAGCGGGCTGGAGAGCTCAGAAACCCTATTGTCTGCTGCTGTAGTCGAGTTTTCATGAACCTCCAGCTGTTCATTTTGAACGCCTCTGCTTTATTAACAAGACTATTTATGGACGACAGGAACAGCTGAACACAGTCTCACAGTTCTGGTCTCTGTGGTCTCAGTTACTCCTGTAGTCCTTCCCCCTTCGTCATGAACAGGAACAAAGAGAGACAAAGTTCAGTAGCAAGAGGAAGTTGTTAGGATTAAAGGTGGAACACGATACAAACTATCAGGAGGAGAGAAGAGGAGACAGGTGTGTTTCTGTGTGTTAGGGCTGCACGATATTAGCCAAAAATAAAATATCAATTTGTTTCTTTAAAAACTTGATTTTTGATTTTGATTATTTATTCAGTGCCAACTTCACCAAACTTTACTTTAATAAGTTTTTCTCTCGTCACTCAAAACTAAACCACTAAAAAACGATGTAGTGTATATGCCAATCCAGTAAGTGGCGCTGTAACGCTGCACAGGAAGCGCACAAAAGACAGAAGAAGAGTACAGAGCATGTGTATAAAGGTTGTTCTGACGCTGTGTGTCACATGATCGTTTCTAGAGATGCAGATAGACATCCATACGGAGATGAAATGGTCGTCGTTTACAGATTTATTCACTCTCTGACCCGTTTTCAAAAAGTACCGTTTACAGTCACCGGAAACGCCGATACAACAAAAAACTACAGCGTTTCCTCCTGAATTTGTTTCCGTGGTGACGGGCTGATACCGCCTTCAGACAGACTTTGCAGCGGGGAGTGGTTTGTTCTTCATCTGAAACTGTGGAGTTGTACCAATTCAACACGACTGACTTGCTCTTGTCCTATTTAACCACAAAATTATCGCCTTCTTTTGCAAACGCCATGTTTGTTTACACTGGTGTGTGTGGGAACTGGGGAGCTACGGTGGTCTGGAGGTGCGAGACATAATAGAGAGGAAAATTGATTTGAAGATTTTAATTTTTTTAACATCGTCATAATCAAATAATCCGATTAGGATTAAAATCGATTAACTGTACAGCCCTACAATGTGTGTCTGAAAAGCCAAGGGACAGACTGAGAGAGAGTCACAAGCATGAACTTTAGCCAACTGCCAGTATAAAGAAGTAAGAGACATTTTCATGAATCCTAATAAAATAAAAGCCCCAAATCTTCAGGTTATAGAAACGCTTGAAAAGACTGAAGGATGAGTTTGATCTGCAGCTTGTGATCAAATATAAACAGTAAAGGAGCTTAAATCCTTTATTTTTATGAAACTGAGTAAAACTGATTTACTTCAAGTGAAATCTGGTGTTTAATTAAATGTATTATCACCAAAATTTAGCTAAAGCTCTTAAAGTGAAGTGAAGAACTGATGCGTGGTCCTTTTTAGACAAAATCCATCATCCAGTGAGACTAAAGATGAAAAGTAGGATTAACCGTTTTTTTCTCCACTAATTATGTTTTTCTAAATATTTGAGCACAAAGACACACGAGAGATCCTTCTCTAAATGATGTAAAATAGTTGTTCACTTATATTTAAGTCTCTCTAGACTGAAACAACATTTACAAGAATGGTGTGGGGATAATAGGATAAGACTGTTCCCCAAAAACCGCTCCATCCTGACCAGTTCGGTAAAAACTAAAGGGGTGTGTCTGCAGTAAAACCGAGTCACTATCAGATAAAAAGGACAAGAAGGACGTGAGCCAGCATCCATCTCTCTCTCTCTCTCTCTCTCTCTCTCTCTCTCTCTCTCTAGCAGCAGGAAGCACTTGGCCCACTTTCTCCCTGCTCTACCTGCAGTCTCACACACTGTCAGCTCAGATTTCCCTCAGGAGCACAGCGCGGGCAGCGGGTTCACCGCCACACAGTACGGCACCGATGCTGCCAGGATAGAGAGGTCCAAATCCCCTCGCTGCTCCGTGAGTACGGGGGGCATGACGACACTTTTTTAATTTACATTAAAATATGTAAATCCCCAACCAGGAGAAGATCTGACTGCAACCACAGGCGGACCGAAAGTGTAATAACCAGCTGACTGTGATGGAAACACACCATAAAGAAACATCTACACGGATCAATCAACCTGATCTGCCGATTGATGACTTTTACAATAATCAGGACCGGCCCTCATAAGGCCGATTTCATTAATAACATTAGCAGTGGAAAAAGCCGTTTTTAATGACCACAGAATGTAAATATAACCAAACGCTGCTGACATCATCATCCACGCAAACTCATGACTAAACAAAACGGAGTTAGGACAGTGTTTGGACATCACAGGCACCCATACAAATATATAAAACACAAACTGAGAGCGAGCTCCAAATTTAATCTCACTGCGAGTTTCCTCTCAGTTTCCAATCCTGTTGCTAATTTGATATTAATACTGTGTTAAAGTTAAACTCACTGTAATACCGCGTAACCAGCTGTTTCATTATAGGGGGCAGCAGAGGTTATTTATGTATGGTAGCTGCTAATGCTAGCGAAAAAAGAGTGACCGGTCAGATAGCTACACTTGAACTGCCGTTTGGCTCCTGTCGTTACCTGAGCCGACCCGGAAACCCGATTTCTACCACGCATGTGAGACGTACGTCACTTTCTGTCTTGGCATTTCAGTGTATTTTACGGCAGTGAGTCGCTACCTACCCGATCCGTACTGCGCAAGTGCAAATTTACTTCACCTTAAAAACTTTAAACTACCGATAGATTCAGAAACAAGCTGGCGATGTGACAGGCTAGCTAGCCACAGCACAGTGAGACCTTTTGGGCCACAGAGAGCGCCGCCACCTGGCCAAAGTCATGGTTCTTTGACTTTTCAAAGTATCAAGGGGGGATCTCTTTCATTTACTTTATTAATTAAATTTATTAACAAGAAGCCTACACATTATGGACAATGAATTTCAGCTTTTTTATACAGCGTACAATTTCGACATTAAAATATTCACATTCATTCGAGACTTTTATAACTATGTTGCAGTTTAGCCGTAGTAGGAACCTTTAATCGTAAAAATGGGCGCCATTCTCTCGATTTTCCGGTACTCTGCTTCAGTCAGGGGAAGCACTATAAACTGAAGCATCCTTTCTGACTGTAGTGAGCTCTCTGATGCCGAAGCGGTCGAATAAGTGTCGAAGCTGTCGCAAAGATGGCTAGTAGAGGAAGCGACGTTCGTTTCGCACATGCGCAGTACAAATCGGGTTTCCGGGACAGATCAGGTGGCGACAGCTCCTACTGCAGCTTAAATTATCACCACAAATATTCTCGATAAGATGAAAATGTTACTGAGAATATTTGTGATTTCGTAATCATCTGATTTCATGACAACCAGAGCTCAGAATAAAGAGTGACTACTTTTGAATTGTCTCCTACCAAAGCAAAATAATATCAGCACCAACAGGATTGCGCTAATTGCCAATTTGCATAATTAGCATTACCCCAAACCTGAGCAGATAGACTGCTGGGAGGATGGAGCTGTAAATGTAGTCTGTAGACCAGCAGGTTTGGGAGGTTAATGTAAACCTTGGAGGTCAAAGGGTGAGGATGTTTAAAGCTTCGTCACTCAGATTGTGTTTAAATAATCATGATCTTTTTAAGAAACCATCACCAGAATCTGGATTTAGACTCTATATTCCCAATGTATTCACTTCTAGAATTATTGATCTTCTTTTATCTAGAGAATAAGAGGCAGATGAGGAAGAAGCAAAGGTTTCATGATATTTAAGCACGTGTTAAATAAGCTCTGCTATCAGCTAAATCATGGGGCGAGGTGTTCCCATTTTCCTGTGCAGTCATACTCTCCAGAACACTGGACCCTAAAAACGACTAAAAATACATGAAGAAAACAGAACATTTCTCATTAAAAGCACTAAAACCGACATTGGAGTCAAAATTAAAGAGTATTTTATCGTTTTCGAGTAAATGACAAAAGATGCAAAAATTCAGGGAGGGGTCCGGCTCTTTCATGTCCACAATAACCTCCAGGAGGAGCCGGCCGGCGAATGAAACCGGCTGAAATGAGCCCGAAAACTCTCCCATCTGCTCTGGAGAGACCGAGAAAGAGGTTTCTGCACACACTGGGAGTGTTTTACACGCAGGGTTAATCGGATTAAAAACCAACATTGAGCAGTTGAACGTGTTTGAGCGCTTTACCTCTGTTTGCATGTGCGCGTCTCTCTCCTCCTCGCATCCCTCCATCTGCGCAGACGAAGAACAGGGGAGCATTTTAGGGAGAAAAAGAGTGATGAAATAGTCCAAACTCAGCCTTCTACTTCTCAGACGAGCGAATTTAAAGCTGAATAAAGTCACACAGAGATCTTTTCATCAGCACATGTCTGGATCTGAGCCCATCTTTTTCCTCCTGAACACATGGGATGGATGGATGGATGGAGAGGGGCTCGGTGCACTGCTGCTGCTGCTGCCGGCGGACAGGACCCTCCTCCTCCTCTTCCTCCTCCTCCTCCTTTCACTGACAGCATCATCTGGCTCCCCCTGAACCCCCTCCCTCCTCTCCTCTCCCTGTTTCCTCCTCCTCCTCCTCTCCTAACGCTGCAGGCTGGATGGACCAAACCATTTACGCACAGATCAGTATGATGCAGGAGAAATGTTCGGACTCGGATCGTGATTTCATTCACGTGATTTTTCTTACAGTTTTCATTGAAACACTAAAATAGACTCCTGATATCATCCATCAATCTGACTGTGGTGGTTTTACAGCTCGATGAGGCTCCCAGGAGAGTCAGGGTGCGTTCAAGTGCTCACAGAACAGTGGGAGTTTCTGTCAGAGGGGGGAGCAGCGTTGCGTTCAAGTTCAGTTCAGGAATCGGATATTTCATCTTTATAAATTAATTATAAAGATGTTTGACTTCTTAGATAATCAGGTTTAGGTTCTGCTTTTCATTTTTGACTCATTGTCTTTTCTGGTCGCTGTATCGTGACCATATTATGCAACCAAAATCAAAATGAGCCTTCTACTTGATTTTTATTTTTATTTTAAGAGACGTAGCCTACAGGTGAAATGACAAAAACAACTGGTATTGTTGCTCAAAAGGCCAGCAAGGATAATTTGCATTTAAACAGAACATTATTAAATAAATTTCTGTTGTTTTTGTTGATTCTTCTGGAAACATCAGGATAACTGTAAAGGTCAGACTTTGACACTGAGCTCTGTGGACACATTTCCACTGAGTGGGGTTTGTGTGTTTGAATGTGTGTGTGGCTATAAAACTCCTACACTGACATCTAGAGGTATAAAACTGTAATTACAAAAGTTTCTCCACAGACTGCTATAGAAGCAGGTTTTCTAATGTAGATAAAAACAAGACCATATAACTTTAAACGGTTTTAATATTTACGACGGAGTATTAGGGCCACTTTAAGACAGAAATAAAAAATTAAGACTTTGGGATTAAAGTCATTCATTACAAGAATAAGTCATTACTAACGAGAATGAGGTCGTAATAAAGTAATCACTGATGGGAATAAAGTCGTAATAAAGTAATTACTTACGAGAATAAAGTCGTAGTAAAATCATTACATACATAAACAAAATTTTCTAGTTAAATTATTGCTTACGAGAATAAAGTCAGAATAATTACTTACGAAAATAAGGTCCTAATAAAATCATTAGTAACGAGAATAAAGTTGTGAAAACTACTCACGAGAATAGTCGTAATAAAATCATTACTTATGAAAAAAAGTTGTAATAACGTAATTACAAGAATGAAGTCATAGTAAAATCATTACTTACGAATACAAGGTCGTAAGAAAATCATTACTTGCGAAATAAAGTCATAATAAAGTAACTTCAAGAATAAAGTCGTACTAAAGTAATTATTTACGGGAATAAAGTCATAGTAAAATAATTTCTTATGAGAACAAAGTCATAATCTACTACTTCTACTACACTTAGGATAATGTGGTGCTGATGTGCCAGAAGATTAAGTATCTCCTTGTTTGAGAAATTTATATTGAAGTACATTTTCATTAAATGCTCCATGGCTCGACTTTATCCTCGTAGGTTAATGACTTTGATTTCGAAGTTTAAATTTTTTTTTTCCTTTATGTGGCCCTAATACTTAGTCATACAAATTTAAGTTTGAAACATATGACAAAGTCTTTCAGGTTGTATTCAGGATCTTTTTTTGTTGTTGTATTAATGAAACTGTGAATTTCTGGTCTGATCAGCTGATGTCGATACAAATCATGAGAAAACCTGCGAATATACCTGTAATCCTGCTGCAACGTGAGAATGACCCTCTGAGCGGTCATGACCATATAAGGAGGCGGAGGCAGGAGACGAGTCAAACCCACTCAGTCAACAACAACTACCAATAACACACACCAAGTTCACAACTTCATACACAGGACAGACCAACCCGACTGAGAGAAAGTGCTCCGTTATATACCCTCCACAATCAGGTGCTACCATGTGCAGGGGTGCTAAAAACATTAAACTTTAGTTTTACTTATTTAAACACCCAAAATATTCAAATATAAATCGCAATAACCACAGACTACACTATCATATGTGACCATGACTTTACTTAGTCACATCCTCACAGTAATTTCTCTAAACTGGAATATTACATGTGGCCCTGTTCACCCCCTATACAAATCTGCCAGTTGGAACCTTTCCAGTGCGGTAAGATGGCTCCTTGTTTCCTCAGGGAACTCTTTTACCAGCGCACCCCGGGAGTGGGCACAGGTGTGTAAGGCACAGGTAAGTGTTTGTTTGTCAGATTCACATCAGATTGAACTTCAGATTACACCTTTCCTGTTTTAATCGGCACACAAATCTACTCGGACTTTTCCAACTTCTACCATTTCTGTCTCTCAGGTGGTTCGGCTAAATCCACACGAACAAGAGATCCTCTGTGAGAAACTCATTAACCAAATCTGAATAAAAATCTTTTTTTAAAAACCAAAATACCTCTCAGACTCATCTGTTAACGTGTCGTGTTTGTTTGTTTGTTTGTTTGTGTTTTATGTATACAATCCTGCAACAACACGTCGATTTTCCACGTAATGTGACTCACTTGTTGTTTTCATTCTGCTGGTCTCCATATTTTCTGTACACGGAGCTCCAGTTGTTGTCGTTCTCAGTTCATCGAAAAAGGGTGTGTTAATGTTAAAGATTTGTCTTTTAAAATTTTCTTTAATAAAATACATTTTCTTGGTTTGAATTTTATAAAAGAGGGTCACGACTTAAGGACCGTGGAAAAATGTGGGTGAGACCAGTTGAGAACCACTGCTCGAATGCTAGAAAACAGAAGACAAGAATAAATTTGAGAGAAATCTCGTTAATTAATTTTATATTTGATGTTATAAAATTAAAATTGCATTTTTTTAGTTTGTTGTAATAAAGTTGAAAAATAATCTGATTAATTGAAAATTCTGCTTTTTAACATGCTAAATTACCTCTTTCTGTTTTTAAACTGCAGCGGTCACGTGATTCGGCGGTCACGTGTCAGGAGGGCCGGTGCGGAAGTAAACTCTCAGTAAACACGGAACAGCTGCAGTCTTCAGCTTCAGTGTCTGTTAACGGTCCGTGTCTGTCCTCTCTGCCTCCACAGCGCTCTGTTCTCCTCCTCCTTCTCTGTGTTTCGGTGTCTTCTCTTCCAGACAGCAGGGAGCAGAAAATGAAGATGTTTCCTCTGACTGTGATCCTGGCTGTAGTTTTGGGTTTATCTCAGGTGGACTGTAGGAATCCCTCTGGATTGAGGAGACTCAACAAAGCTCAGGTGAGACCGTCTCCACATCTGTAATGATCGTGTTTAACTCTGAGTTTAAAAGGATCATAAAAGTGTTTCTAGTTGAATTTTGGTTAGGCTGCATTACTTGATTTAATCCTATTTTAGTCCCAGAGTAACTATTTTGTCTTTTATTACCACTTTTTTTCTTTAATTTACTTTCTTTTATTGTTTGATTTTACAGGTTCATTCATAATGTCACTTATCTGGATCACACTCACTCATTATGTCCCAAAAATGGGCAAATCAGTTTACAGCAGGCACAGACATTTAAAACTCTGCCATACTTCATTAAAATAAATAAAATAAAATACATTTGCATAAAAAAACAGTTCGGGAGGTAAAAAAAGGTAAAGAGAGAAGCAAATGTCAGTCATACCAGTACTTTTGCATGAACAGAGTGCATAAGATAAAATGCAGAAACAAAATGCAATGTGCGGTTTACTTACCAATAAAATAAGAATTATTTATTTTATTAATTTTTATCAATTAAGAGGGAAGTAAAACTTCGAAATTAATCAAATCTGCACAAGCAGAAAACCGTTTTGCATTGGGGTTTGTATTTTTATTTCATTGTTTTTTAGTATCTTGTGCGAATGGACAACACTTTGTGTTACATTCTATGTATGAAAAGTGTTTTAAAAATAAGGTTTGATTGATTGATCGAGTTGTTTGCAGACACAGAACAAACGAAGAGAGAGGTTGCAAAGACGCATTAAAAGTACAGTTTCAGATTAATAGAGGTTAAAAATCATGTTTCTTTTTTAAGAATGAGAATCTCATGTGAACATGAATGACTCCACTCTGGTCACAAGTCTGAACCAGCTGATTTCATGGACTGAAGAAACCTAGAACGTGTCTGAAATAAAGGAAGAACTACTGCTGAGAGGAGTTTTCACCTTTGTGTTTGTTTGTCGGACTGATTTTTATGTTTTTTTTATTTTTTTTGGGCAGATTTTGGGTTTTGACTGGAAGAACTGCGGGCAGCCTGATGACCCAGCTGTGCTGAAGTCTCTGAAAGTGTCTCCAGACCCGATCTCGATCCCAGGAGACCTGACAGCCTCGGCCTCTGGAAGCACATCTGTAGAGCTGGCCTCTCCTCTCTCTGTGAGTTCTCTGACCTGTCTGTGTGTACACTACAAACAGAACATACAGACATATGATTTCCACACAGGCTACTGCGGTTCCTTCAGGGGTCAGAACATTTGTGTACAGTTGTGACGAAACAGCTCAGTGAGCCTGGGTCTTTAGATATTGGTTTACCTTCTTTTTAAACACACGTTTACTGGTTAACCTTGTAATAACAGATGGAAGACTAATCCATATTCTCATACCTCTTAACACGACTGTACGCTGCCCAGAGTGTTAAGTCTGCTGGTCTAACCATGACTGATGAGCTCAGTTTGTCAGTGATTGTGTTTGCGTTGGGCGAGATGAAGTGACACACTCGCATACCAACTAGTTCAGACATGCAGCTCACGTTTTCAGAGAGGCCTTTTCCCCAGTGGCTCTGAATAGAGACTGCTGTCCCTGAAATCTGAGGGTTTTTTCTGGAAAAGAAACTCTCTGAAATCCACAGAACAAGCTGCACATGTTAAAGCAAACAGCTGAAGTTTACCTGCTGTCTTTACCTGGACGTTTTCCTGTTGATGAGCTCGTGTATTAATGATCAGTGTGATCCTGATGCACTGAATAACGCTGGTTCAGACGCTCTTCAGCTCGGACCTGTTTGCACGTGGCGTTGAGAGAAAGGCGAAGCTTCATACGGCTTCACGACCTTCAGGGGGAAAAGCTGTAAAGATAACGGATTCATGGGCAATATTTATGTAACACACTAACCTGTCAAAACACGCAGCCCGTATGTTCTGTGACGTCTCCTTGTCAGTGTTGTCAGTCTGCATGGAATAAAGACAGTAAGCAGTCAGTGCAATCAAATGCATTCACACTTTCATCTAAAGGATTATCTTCTTACATGCACTCGTTATAGTTGACAGAGTTCGGTACTGGGGCGGCACAGTGGTGTAGTGGTTAGCACTGTCGCCTCACGGAAAGAAGGTCCTGGGTTCGAATCCGGGTCTGCGTGGGTTTACTCCGGTTTCCTCCCACTTCCCAAAAACATGCAGAAGTGGGGTTAGGTTAGCGTGGATGGTTGTTCGTCTCTCTATGTCAGCCCTGCGTTGAACTGGCGACTTGTCCAGCGTGTCCTCCGCCTTGGCCCGAAGATGCTGAGATAGGCTCCAGGTCTTGCTGATGTGTTGCGGCGAGGAGAGCGGACCTCCTCTCTGTTTTATGTGCGTCCATGAAAAACCAAAACATGGAGCGGGGTTGTAAAGCGTTTGCAGAGAACAGTTTGAAGACTGTCGGCTTCGGTTCAGGTTTAGTTTCAGTGGAAGTGCTTTGAGGAACCTCGAGCAAGAGAGTCTCGCAATCACTGAGTGAAGCAATGAACCAGAAGACGATTTCAGACCTCAGATGAAAATGAGGACACTCGCTCTCAAGACGCTCCGAGCTCCTGTTGTTCCACCTTTGCAAACAAGTCTGTTTGAGCTGGAATTAGACAGTCTGGTCTAACGTTCCTGCAGTCTGAGTGAGCAGGCTGTTGTTTTGTGAGTAACAAACAGGCTGGTCTGGATCTGCTGCTGGTCCTGTGAGCTTCATGTGAGCTTCAGATCAGGCTGCAGGACTGTTTCAGAGCTTTAAAACTCAGTATTTAACTCGGTAGTACACATCTCATAAATATAATCGAGTTAAATAAACATATTTTCTGATCAGAGATGTGAAAACCAAATTATTTGATTCAAGTAAAGTAGATTCAGTTTATTTCATCAAGTCAAATTCAGTGAATTTGTATATAACTCTTTCGATGAGAGGTTGACAGGCCGCAGGAATGCTCTGTCCTCCTCTGCTCTGAGTTCATCTCAGCTCTCAGCAGCAGAAGTCTGTTTATGAGCCAGTTTTAGTCGTAACGCTGCAGTCCTGTGTGTGATAACAGACCTCCTGACTCGGCAGGTTTAGCTGTTTGTTTTTTGATCACATGTGAAGAATAAAAGGAAAACTGTGAATCTTTAAACTGACCCGCTGCTCCTCTAAACTTATGCATCATAAAACAATCAGATTTTTTTTGCAGTTTAATGCTCAAATTCAGCCTGAGAGACTCCGACAACAAGAAAGTAAAAACAGGATTTAGCTGTCTGCGCAGATTTCCACTCCTGGATCAAACAAAAATACTGTAAGATGAATATTTCTGGGTTGTTTGCAGGTTTTTTTCTTCACTTCAGAGTGCAGTAAAACATGTCCTCTCTGTCTTATAAGAGTCTATATTTATAACCCTACGACTTATAACAACATTTAAAACATGAGAGTAAATGTTGTCTCTCTGTCTGTCCGTCTGTTTTTGTCTTGATGTCGTCAGTGTGGACCTGAATCGCACAGATCTGTTTAAACTAGATTACATTTGTTCTGTTTTGTGTTGCTCACCCTGTAGATAATGTGTTCGATACACTCAGCAGGACTGTAGATAACACACACACACACACACAGACACACACTCTGAGTGTGAGTGAGGACAACACTCCCAGTTGTCTGATTCACTCTGTGTCCCTGTGTCACAAGTTGATTTGACTCATGCATGACCTGGCTCAGCGTGCAGACAAGAAGACCCATGTCAGATTCGTCCAAAGATGAAATTAAAGTCTTTGCGGACGGCTCCACAGAGCTGCTTTGTTTCCTCGCTGATTGTCCAGAATGATGTCAGGATTTATCGGCGGCGTGGACAGCTGAGTGTGACCTCTGAGCGTCATTTAGTTAAAGTCCAAACTGCTGGTTTATCTCGGCGCTGATCATGAGGACCTGAGTGGAAAAAGCTCTGCTGCTTTCTCTTCCTCATCACAAACAAACCCTCCTGACTCGGCTTTATTGTCTCCTCTGTTTCAGGTCTCTTTCTCACGCTCTGGTTTTATTCCACTTCTTTATGTCTTTATTTCACTTCTACTTTGTTTCTCATCCATAAAAAATCGATCGTGCTTTAACCCGATGTAGGCCTGTCACGATAACAAATTTTGCTGGACGATAATTGTGCTACAAATTATTGCCGATAAACGATATTATTGACACCGTTTTTTAAATTATAGATAATGATATCAAATGGCATAATAATGCGAGTACACCATGTCAAAAGTGATAAACTTTAATTTCCACACGAGAACAACACTGGTTGTTTTCGTTGACTAAAATATTTCCCTTTTCTCCCACGACGAAGACATAACGTTGACGAGCTAAACATAAGTCGGAGATGACTAAAATGTGACGAGACGAAAGTGCGTTTACGTTGATGGGACGAGACGAAAATGACGAACAGAGTTGCAAAACTCAGTCAGTTAAACGCTAAACATACAGGAGCAGCTTCAGTCCGCTCTGACAGCTCTCATCAGCCTGCTGTGCTCCTCCAACACACAGACACACACGAGCGCGCGCGCACACACACACGTGGAGTTTTGTGGTTGACGAAGACAAAACTGGTTTAAAGCCGAAATATTCCCACACTTGGGCTGTTGCGTTCGGTTTAGACACCAAAGCTGTCGTGTTCATTCTGTTTGCTTGCTTTTCACTCACGACGCTCACTTGCAGCACTGTATCCAAAAAGTCTGTGTCTGTGTGCCTGTGCGCGCCTACGTGTACCTGTGCGCGCGCCCCCCGTGACAAAGATACTGAATGACTGACAGGAGGGTTCACTGACTCCGTTCATTCCGCTATAGAGCCAACGCCCCCAGGTGCCGAGAAAAATGCGCAGAGTGAGACCTCTTCTCTCATCCAGCGTGTTTGGTAGCGAGAGAGGAGGAAAACAAACGCACGTTAATTATCGAGACTGGCAAAGTTATCGACCTCGTTTTTATTTACCGAGCGATAAGGCGATTTATTGATTATCGCGACAGGCCTAACCCGATGTGATCACACGTCAGTCTGTTCTTTTAATTCTCTTCAGTAAAAGTCGCTCTAACCTCACAGAGTTAACATCATTTTTTAAACTTTTATTTTTTAATGAAAATTACCAATAAAAGCAGTGAAAACATGTTAAACCTCCTGTCATTCATGCTTTTGTGCTGTAAGTTGATTTTAGGATAATAAAAGCCTCAAACTGTGTCGTCATATTTGACTTAGACTTCGTAACCTCCTCTCCTCAGCTGAACGTGACCCTGGAGAAGGAGGTGGCGGGTTTCTGGGTGAAGATCCCGTGTTTGGAGGAGCTGGGGAGTTGTCACTATCAGGACGCTTGTGATCTCCTGAACCAGGTGATCCCTCCGGGTCAGGACTGTCCTGAGCCGCTGCACTCCTACGGGCTGCCCTGCCACTGCCCCTTCAAAGCTGTGAGTCTGTTCATAAGTACTGTTCCTCAAAATCCAGCGCGTGCATGACCAGAATTCAACTAGCTACCGTGACATTTGGAGCTTCCTCTCCTTCGTTCTGCATTGCACATTTTGCAGAAACGATCCAAACTGTGCTCCATTTTGCACCACTCATTCACTACGCATGTTGCACTCGTTATATTCAGGTGCAAATAAACCGGTAATGTTATTTAACTCTGTGCAGTTTGCTCTTGTGTTGTTTTTGGTAACAGCATCTCATCCTGAGTCCATCCTGCACCTTCAGAGATTAGAAATGACAAATTAGAGAGAATCCAGTTAAAACAGCTCATTAATAAAGACATGACACTGGCGGCTGTTCGCACCCGTGTCAGTGGTTTGGACATTAGCATTAAGGCTTCATTAGAGGGGTCTCTTTTGTCCCCCCGTGCATACTTAACAGCTCTTTTAAATGTATGCAGACGACTTCAGGGGCACAGAGAAGGTTTTTGTTCGTTTAAAACTGTGGACTCTGTAAATGAAACCGTGTCTTTTGGCACATTTGCACAAGTTTAGCACGCACAGATTCTGCGGGGCCCTGAGAGTCGGTGTTAACCTGAACATAAGTGAGCCAGGACCTCATTTAATCAGGAACATCCGGCTTTGTCACGACTTACATGTTTAAAGCACTTCCTCTTCTGCAGCACATTTCAAAGTAAAGTTACCAAAGAGTTAAACACAGTTTTGAACATTTCTGCAACTTGAGGCATGAATTTATCAAGTTTTCAATTATACAATAATAACATTGAACCGTGGAAATCAAAGTTTGAGCTCTATAGCTTCAGGAAAAAAGTCTGAAAATACCAAAAGTTGTTGCTGATTGTGTCATAAATGCAAAAGGAGCTTAAAAATAGTTTAAAAAAATCTGGATTATATCATTAAAAACCTCCATAGAGCAGCTCTGTAAGAGAAATTAAAGTGAAGCTGCAGGAGCAGAAAAAGAGGACCAACATTTTTCACATTTCACACCCAGATTTGTAGGTGTTTTTTTATAGATTGGTGAGAAGTCTGCTGAATTATTGCAACAGTCGTCATGTGATAAATCATCCACATATCCTTTAAAACTTTATAGCAGACTCATAATCCGGAGAGAAGTCTGTAAAATAAGTAGGACAGACTTCTAAAATGACTAACCCCTCACATCCTGCACTCAGTGATAGTAACCTGTCTGCTCTCTCTCCTCAGGGTACGTACTCTCTGCCTCAGTCGGACTTCTACCTGCCCGACGTGGACGTGCCCTACTGGCTGACTAACGGGCATTACCGCGTGCAGGGCGTGCTGGGCAGCGAGGGCAAAGAGCTGGCCTGCCTCAAGATCGCCCTCGCCCTTCACTCCGACTGATCCCCCCCACAGAGAAACCGGACGGGAGGTTTCAGGTTTTTATTTGCACAGACACAAGATTGAAACTTGGGGAAATGAGAGCAGAAGTTGCACAGAGGACTGAGGTCTATGAACCTCTCAGGGGTCAATGAAAGTTTCGACGTCAGACGACACAAAAACAAGAAATCTGGGGTGATGCATCAACTTAAAGGTTGTTTTTTTTCTGAAGCGGCCCGCTGCTACAGTTTCTCCACTAATGACAAGCTGAAAGGCAACATTTTAGGTTTTAATCGGGCAAAAGTTGCAGCTTAGAAAAGGAGAAATGAATCTCTGCAGGATGAATCTGCAGATACTAAAAGGATCAGGTCGGTCTGAATCAGCTGCAATTTTTTGTGACTGAAAAAAAGGAGAAAAAAAAACAAACGGTTCCTGAATTTATTCTTTAATCTGTAAAATTAAGAATTAATTTAAAATGATGAGAAATCAAATGAAAGCAGACAATTCAGGACTTAATGCCAAAGTTCAAATTAGCCTGAACATCAATATGATGACCGATTTTTCATGAACTGAATATGTTTATAGGTTTTTGGGTATTTTCACTGTTTCTGTTTGAGTTTATTATTATGTGGGGAAACATAATAAACACATTTAAATGAAAATGAGGATTTTGATTCCTGTAAAACTGAAATAAAACAAAATCCTAAAAGCAAAAGAAAATCAAAACTGTAATCGTGAGCAAAGTTTCGCCTCAAAGGCTTAACGCCGCAACGGTAAAATAAAAACGTTATTTCTTTAGCAAATGTTTAACTCTTTCTTTTCTTTGTAGAGATGATTTAAGATTCTTTAAGTTTCCAGTTGAATTTAAAGGGAGATTCTGGTGATTTTTCTGCTTTTAAAATGATGTTAAAGTGTCATGATAGAAACAACCAGTAGGGGGAGACCTTTTCACAACACTGTCTGTGACACAAACCTGTGTGCCTCACTCCAGACCGCTGATTTCTGTAGACAATCACAGAAAAACGAACACAGGAGTTTATTTTTTTCACGTCAGTGTTTCAGATTTTAACAAAAACTTCAAAAAACTCAAAAGTTTGATTCAGATCCGGGTGAGCAGAAAATACTGACGCCTTTGTCAGAAACCTGCCAGGAGAGGTTTTTATCAGTGCATCGAGACTGCAACTCCTCAACATCTGAGGAAACAAACAAGTAAATAACATTAAATATAATAATAAAGGAAGAGAAAAAATAAAGTTACTGGAATAAAACAATAAAACTTAAATGACTCCTGAAAGTCAATAAATCTATTTCATCCACCAAAGTGAAGAAACACTCTGATGCACTGAAACATTTCAATAATGAACATTTCTGCAGGAGAAACTTCTTCATTCACTAAGAAACCAAAACAGCTATTATTTAGTTTTTTTTCTCTCTGTGGGATTTTAAAAACACTCTTTTTTAAAAGTTTTTGTTGTTTTTAGCAGAAATGCCTTTCACACTCGGTCTCAGCTGCTCTCTCTCTCTCTCTCTGTTCGATGCTGTATTTATGTCTGTCCTCTTTCCTATAACTCGTCGATTCTTTATTTTTTCATGAGGATGTTTTCAGGAAGAGTTTTCGGCCAATGAGCCGAAGCTCTGCAGGGAATTTTGCGCTTGCTTATGAAACATTTTGATATTAAATTTTCTAATCTGATTTGATTTTTAATCATGATATGAGTGTCTTTTTTTTTTTTTTTTAACTAAGTGCCTACTTAGACCTTCTGCTTAATCTACAGACTGCAGTGAAAATGAACGGATCATGTTTTATCACTTTAATGACTTATTGTTTTTTTACCGCAGTGATAGATGGTGATTATTTCATCACAGTGTACATTTTTAATAAATAAACTTGTCAAACGGTATTTTCTCATGTTTTGTTTCTCGTTATGAGGCTGAAGAAGATGATAGAAAATTAAATCACACATTAAATACACAACAAATCTGGATTTGTCAGAGGACCCGTTCATTAAAGGTCTGGACTTTTTCAAGGGTTAAAACATGATTTAAAATAAGTCTGAACTTGATTTATTTTTTGGATTGAGAGGGTTATTTGAAGCAGTAGCAAATAATTCATGCAGAAACACAAAAAAAGCACAGACTAGTCCTTTTTTTTCTGGTAAAATGCCTGAAAATTACCAGGATTTAATCTGTTCAGGTGAAGGTGCAGCTCCATGTTTCGCCACAAGGGGGCGGCACTTCCTCTTTACATGCAGCCCGTAAAAGTGATGTTAATGTAACAGGATGAGATTAATATTTTCTGCTCCTTAATCACAGAGGAGCAGAGTGGTGCTTTCCCTGCTGAATGTGTGTTTTTCTTAAACTGTAAAGTTTCTTATTTACTACGACTTCCTTGTTTCTCTTTCAGTCATTTTTCAGATTGAATAGAGTCTGCAGAAGTGACTTTGAACAGGAAAGCAGCAAAGAAAACAGAAAACAAAAGACGGAAACCGAGGAATTGAACATGGAGGAGCAAAGAAATCTACAAACTACAGACGAGTAGATTTGTGCGAGTGACTGAGAGTGAGTTTTGTTCATGAAAAGAGAAGTGATGCTGAAGTCAGTGAACATGTTTGAACTCTCAGTGATCAGACCGCACAGCTCACATGTGCTCTCAGTCTGGTTCAGTCTGATGAAGATCAGTCCGCTCATTAACTGCCTTTTTGTGGTTTCAGAGGAGATCAAACGCTGAGAGTTCAGATCGCACAGAGAGACTAAAACCACCAGAGAGGAACACGACTCTCAGTCTGAGGACACCTCTGCGGCACACCTGTCTGCAGGACTTTTACAACTAGAATAAAGTGACAGAGTCCAGGACCCGAGGTCAACAGTCTTGTCCGGTCTACCTCCGTTTTAAGCGCCCGTTATTCCTCCAGAGTCTCCGGTATTTACTTTGTTTTCTCGCTTGTGTCGGCAGTCGTGGCCAAAGGAGGATTCAGACAATTTTCCGAACTTTCTGGTTGGTTTCTACTGTCCGATATTGTAGCACGCTAACTTTGTTTGGGCTCCTGAACGACACGAGGGAGCAGCGTCTGCCTCACAACCAATCAGGTTAGAGGAGGTGGAGAACGGCTTTATTTACAGTCAGAAAGGGCGGACCGCTCAAAAATGTTCAAATGTTGACGACACAGACATAAGAGAACACAGAGATATCGATATATTACCAAATGTCATCAATAACTAATAACTATTGACTGATATTAAAAGCTCTTTTTTAAAACCCCACCTTTTGAAAAAAATAAAAGTCTTTTCTTATAGAAGCAGCAGGTCTTCACTCTGGAGGCGGTCATGTTTTGTAAAATAGTAATAATGAAATAAAAACCTTCATGAATAACCAAGAATAAAGTTCATCTCAGGATAAAACCCAAACTTCTCTGCATGATCTCTGAGAGGAAAACAGCGGATGAGTGTTTTAACAGAGTGGATTTGTCTTCTGCAGTGGAAGGAAGGAGAAACATTCATCTTTTCGTCTCTTAAAGAGAGTCAGCTGCAGACCACTTGTTCCTCTCAATCTCAGATAGGAAACGCTGTGATTTGGCAGCCGAAGACTTAACGTGGTTTCAGTCAGAGAAAACCGCAGCATGTGGACACCAGACGCACTCGCACACTCCTCATATACCTGCTTTTTTACACGGCGTCCACTGAGGGGCGGAAAACTCCGGTTTGAGCTTTTTTATCACCGCTAAGAAATCAGATTATTCTCGTTTTAGATCAGCTCCTTCAGAATTGGATTAGAGAATAAATGAGCAGAAATGTGCTGCAAATGCTGTCAGAGCGTGACCAAGTTTAAACCAGATTATCATGAAGCTCCTCTCTCAGGAGGATTAGATTATGATGATGAAGAGGAAGGATTTTTGAGGAGGACTCTGACGTTTCCTCTCTACCTGTGTGTCTCTGCATGATGGGATACTTATATAATGTGGATTTACATTGAGTGTGTGAGTGTGTGTGTGTGTGTGCTGAGGAGGTCAGTAGGTCCGGCTGAGGTGGAGGAAGATCCACAATGACAGGAAGAAAGTCTGCAGACGTGAACACAAAGCTGTTATGATGCTGCTGCTTCCTCCGGCTGCACCTCGCCGAGTCGCCCCCATTTCATCAAAACACACAAACCCAGTTTCTGTCGAAGCAGATTTGTTAAACTCAAACTAAACCGGGGTTAGTCTCTGCATCCCGGAAATAACAGGAAGTTTAGAATGTAGTTTTTGTTTTTTAATAAAGGACGACAAACAAGGAAGCAACATTAAAAAAAGGAGAGACGGATGAGGATGTCAAAGAGGAGGAAGGACGACGCCAACAAGATCGCCGTCTGAGTTTGATTCAGAAATAAACACGAAAACATGAAGCGTCACAAGAGTCAGAGACACCCAAACAGGAAGTGACCTCATTCTGCGAGATATCTGGAAACTTTATAAAACTTAAAATAAGTTTTTGACAACTTCTGATCCTTGAATCCTCACTTCATCTACTTCTCCTCACTCGTTTCCTCACTTCTCCTGGCCTTGTTTCCTTACCTGTCTCCTTCGTACCTCTCCTATCTCCTATACTGGCCTTCTTTTACTCCCTGTATTTCACCTCATTTCCTTTCCTCTCTTGTTTCCTTATCTCCTTCCTCCTGTGCTTCCAACTCACTTCAACCTCAGTTTTTTCTCCTGTCCTCGTTTCCTTTCCTTTCCTACTCTCATCTCCTTGTTTGCCATCTTAACCTTTTCTCTCTCTTTCCACTTGTTTTCGTTTCCTTGTTTCGTTTCCTATCTCCCCACCTTGTTTCCTTTCATTTACTCTCACTCTTTTGTTTTCTACTCTCCTTGTTTTCTTTCCTTGTCACCTTCACTTTCCTCATCCTTGAACCTTTCCTCTCCTCTTCTTATGTCTCCTTATTTAGAGTTGCTGTCCTCTCTCCTCTCCTGTTCCCTCCTTTTTACTCCTTCTCTCTGTTTTATCCTCCTTTTTCTATCACTTGTCTTTTATTCAATTTGTTTCTCCTCTCCTTTCTTTCTTTCTTTCTTTCTTTCTTTTTTGTTTCCATCTGTTCATTTTCATTTTTTCTTTTTCTATCTTTCTTTTTTCCTTTTTAATTTTTCTTAGTTTGCTCGTTTTCATGTTTTCTTTCTTTCTTTCTTTTCCCTTTTTTTACTTCCTTTCCTTTTCTGTCGTCTCATCTTTGATCCATCCTTTCCTTTCCTCTTCTATCATTTACTCTTTGATTCATTCCTTTTTTTACTTTCTGGATTCCTCATTCCCTTTCCTCACCTACACTTTATTGATCCCTTCTTTCCTCCTCTCTTAACTCATGTATTTTCTCGTCTCCTTTCCTGTCTCCTTGCCTATAATGTTCCCTTCTGTCCTATTGTCTCCTTTCTTATTTAGTTATCTTTTTTGCTCTCGTTTACTCTCCCTTTTCTTGTCTTTCCTTTACTCTTTTATCCCCTCCTTTCCTTTCCTCTTTCCTTTTGCCTCAGTCCCTTTTTTAGTTCCCTTATTTCCTTTCCTTTTATGTCTTTTCCTTCTCTCCTCTCTCTTACACTCTGTTTCATTCCCTCCTTTCCTTTCCTCCTATTCTTTACTTTCTGCTCTTTTCTTTCTTCTTGTTTTCTCTCCTGTCCCATTATTCCTCCTTTACTATAATTTCCTTTCTTTCCTTTTAATTTTTCCCTTCATTTCTCCCTTTTTAACCCCCTCACCTCACCCCTCCTCCTCTCCTCTCCTCTCTCCTCTCCTCTGTGCAGGACATCCTGTCTCTGACCTCCACCATCAGCCTGTTTCCTGCAGCAGGAAAACTTGTTCATGGATGCAGAAGGAGCGGCGGTGAGGGTGGAGGAGGCAGGATTTAGAGGAGGGAGGAGGAGGAAAAAAAAGGAGGCGAGGAAGGATCAGAGAGGTCAGAGGTCAGCATGTAAACAAACAAATCAGAGGTTTAGAGAGACAATAGAGGTGGAGGTGAACGGGTTCAGCTCAGTCACTGATTGGGTGTAAACAAACTTTTGTCATCACCTGTTGTCATGTGGAATCAGCCAATGAGATGACAGCTCTGACCGACAGCTCTGAAGGTCATTTAGCTTTGTGTTGACAGTTCTTATAGTGGATCTGACTAATCATGGAGGCTCCCTCACTCTTGATCAGCATATTTCTGTGAAAAAAAGCAGATTTTTCTTTGAGAAACAGATTTTTAAAGTTTTCCTTCGTTCTAATAAATGACACCTCATGAAATAAATAGGTCACACAGCACCGACTCTCACACTTTTGTTGTCTCCTCCCACCGCCCAGTTATTTGTCTCCTTCCACTCTGATCTTATCTGGTAACATGTGGGTCAGCAGATCAGATACATCCTGCTTTTAACTACACACACACACACACACACACACCTCTCGTTGGGGGGTTTCTCAGCTGCTTTCAACAAGGCCTCGGTCCAAACAAAAGGTGAGTTAACTCCTGAATGCAGAGCTAATGGCCGCTAATGATCTCTGCACACAAACAGCAGGAGCTGAAGCTTTTAATCTGCTGACACGTCTCCTAAAAAACACAACAACAAATCTCACAAAAAGACACATTTCCACAGGTCAGAGAGGTTTAAAGGCGCTCACACCTCCAGGACTTGGTGGTTTTATGCTGATCCAGCCAAGTATTCCAGGAATGACATCCTTAAACTAGGCTTTAAATAATCATCAGTATCATCTCAGAACAGTGTCGACTTTTTGCACTAAACTCCAGAAAACTTACGGCTGAATCTTTTACCTTTACCCAAACTTTGTAACACCAACCCTTAGTCACATATCTGCAAGAAGTCAGCATGATGTGCAAACCCTGCAGGTAAAAGTCAAGATCATTTCCACTTAAACCGCTTTTTATCCTCTTGTTCATGTGTCCATGTGTTTGTTTGCCACCTTTGAGATCCTGTAAGCGTCACATGGTGGCTTCCACATGATCTTTCTGATGTCATGTCCCTCTCAGGGTGAGCATGAGCGACTTTTAAAGATTTCAGGTGCAGGCTGTCCGCAAAATTTCTGGAAATTTGCAGGAGTGCATGTGTGAAAATGACTATTTTAAAGTTTGGAGCTCATTAGCAGAAACCAGCGACAATTTTTCTACGATTAAAAACCAAACTAACAATCCACTGACGAAGACTTCTTATACAGTCTGTTTGTACAAAAAGGACATCCTCACTTTGGTAACTTTTAACTCATTGTGGCAGCTACTTTTTTTGTTTTTAAAGGACACAAATAGTCCTTAAAACGGGAAAATAAGACGTAACCTTTGTCCTCTTTGCTTCCTGACAGATTTCAAACAGCGACTCACGGATGCAGATAAAGTCACGGCGAGCGGACTTGCAGATGTTGTGTTTCTGTGTGATGTCTGAGCACGCCGTGAGCTGTCATCTGCTTATCAGTCACGCTGGAGAAGAGAGGATACACTCCACTTTCAGGTTTCACTGTACAGGAAACGTTCACCTTTAATCAAAACTGCTCTAAATCTTTGCAGATGTTACAGATGCTTTTCATTCAGTTTCTCTTTCATGTAGAAAACGTCTCATTCGTACATTTCCGGCGGCGAAAAAATCAGAGTCTATGTGATATCTCCGCCTGAGAGTCAACGACAAAAGACGGCGGGAGTTTGAGTTTCAGAGGAGAGAGCTGATGGTAAGGTCCTGACCACACGCACGCTCATACAGGTGGTGGATTAATCAGAAACAGACCTGTTCCTGTGTGGGTGTGTGTGTGTGTGTGTGTGTCTGCAAAAGCATTTTCTCATGCAACTGGGAATTCACACACACACACACACACATCCACACACTTACACACACGAGTGCCTGTTGATTGGCCGCAGACAGGAGGTCGATGGTGTTTGTTTTACTGATAACCTTATCTGATTGGTTGACCTCTGCTCTGCCTGACGTCCGAGGATTGGATCGCACGAGCGGACCGCCGCAGACTTAAACATCATGTCGTCACCAGGGAGCCAGACCGCATGAATTTTATATCCACAGAGCAGTCCTACCCAGACCTGGTCCACATGGATCAGACCTTCTGTGCAGACCTGAAGGACTGGGTCTGGATTTGGCACAGCAGGGTTTTGTTAGCTGCGTTTACATGGGCACAAATAATCGGAATAAAGGACTGATCGGAATTAAAATGCGTCATGTAAACGTGTCGATCGGAAGATTCAGATCCAATTCGGCTCAAACGGAAAGAAAGTGTATTCCGATCGAGAGGGGTGGTTATGCCGATCTTTATTCCGAAAAGCGTCCATGTGAACACTTATTCCGATCGTGACTCTCTAACTTGACTCAGTCTTCACTCTTTAGCCTTTGGTTCAATTATTGAGGTCAGTACAGGAGGTGTGTCTGCTCCTCCGCTAACATAAGAAGGCGTACATACAGCGTAACGATGCCACATCTGCACGCACAGAGCGACTTTTGACAGAACAGTAAAACAAGTAAGCAAGGGCGCCATCTAGTGACAACATTTAACAGGAGGGAAAACTTCTGAATCGGCTGTGGTGAGCTACGATCGCATTTGTTGGTTTGTTGACAGAAGAGGCGAAAATAAAAATCTTCTTTGCGTTTTTTTTTTTTGGCGACATCAGACGACTCTGCGCATGTCCAAATGATTCTAATCTGAGTAAAGCTCACATGACATGCATGTATAAAAATACGCACATCATTATCGGATTATTTGATTTTGCTGGATTCAGATTTCCGATCTCTCAAATTTTTAATTGGATCAAGAAATTTGGCCCATGTCAACATGGTTATTGTCCTGTTATTTCCACACTAAAAGCATCACACATGGATAAAGCATAGAGGGGACATGATACAGTTAGACCATCAGAGGTTGAGTTGATGATTATTTCTACAATTGGATATTTAAAGTTCTGAAACGTATATTTAAGATGGAGGAGTCATGCCTGATCTCTCAGGAGCAGCAGGAAAGTATTAACAAAAATATAAAAGCATTGAAGCTCAAACTTCTCATTTTGTCTCTGGATAGTAGATGTCTGCGCTGACAGCCCTCCTCCCTTTGAGCCTTTTCGAGGAAAGTGATATGCTTGAGCCTGATTCTCTATCAGCCTGCGGGATATTCTGGAGACCAGATTACAAAATATGTGCAGTGCATGCTGGGAGGACTTGGATCTGCAGCTGTTGGGCTCTCTTTTGTTTTAACGGGGTCTGAACTTGGTGTCTGCAGGTTTCTAAACCAACTGAAGACACAAAAGCGACGACACAGAAATATACTGTTTATAAAGTTGGATTGAATGTTTTCACAAAACCTGACAGTGGATTTAGTTTGAATCTTATTTTACCTAAAAGTAAAACTCCAGAGTACAAAAACAGGATTTATGTGCAGGAGAAAATGTGGGTTTCTGGTCCACGCTGACTTTGGTGGATGTGGAGATGAGAACAAAAGTCTGCAAAGAGCGAATGAAAGAGTCAGTTTAGTGGGCTCTAAGTTCATATAAAAGGACGACTTGTTTGGCTTGTGGTCAAAGATGAACGCTCTGAATCTTCATAATTATATTTGGCAAAAAAAGCAGGAATGTGGGTTTTGTTAAGGACAGAGCTCTCGGTATTTTTTTCAGCATTCACTTCATGCCTGGCTGAATCATCAAGGATTGTTTTTCAAGTGGAGCAACCGTATCGTCTCCTTCATTTCCAAGGACGTGCAACAAAAACAGCTGTGAGTTCAGAGGAGAGAGAGGGCTGTCATTACGCCGCTCGTCCTTGACTGTAGACACAGCAAACTTTGAAGAAGACCGACTGCTCTCATAGACGGTTCAATGAGGGATAGAGCATCTCTGAAACTCTGGAGAACATCATCATATCTGTATTGTCACCTGGAAAAAAAACACAAAATACAAACACATGTCCCTCTGTGGACTGAAATTCTCCTGAGATTTAACTCAACACAAGTTTGACAAAATGATTTAGAGTCCCAGACAGCAAGAGGGGGAGAGAACCTCTAAGTGATATAGAGGCGGTGTCACGTTTCTTTAAAAGCACCAAGAGCCGCAGTGAGTTTCCTCGGGTCTTTCCTTTGTCTGGATTCATCTGCATAAAGCCCTCCTCCTCGACTCGGATTGGCTAGGCTCCGCCAGCATGTGAAAACCCACATCCAAACTTTCTCAGTTGGAGCAAAACTTTCCTGAGTTGAGGAGGATGAAGTGAGAGGCTGGACGCCAGCAGCTGTATGAGTGAGTAACGGCGGCGGCGGGGCAGAGAGAGGCTGGGGAGGGAGGATGATCTCATGAATGTTAGTGTCTTTAACTTTGTATTGAAAAGGTGTGGAGGTTTGTATTTCATTTAAAAAAACAACATTTCTCCTCTCAGGTTTGGTTTTGTTAGACTTTACTGTTAAGACTTTCAACGTCATCTTTGTGATTTTTGTTTATTTATTTTTTCCAGATAAGCAGTTTTAAAACAGTTTTAATAACTTGAAGAAAAAAGTCAAACCTGTTTTTTTTGGCTTTGTTTTTTTAGCCCCTGGACCGACGATTACTTCCCATCATCATGCTGCTGGCTCTGCTTCTGATGAGTCTTTGCCGAGATGCTCTTTCTACCGAGCTGACATCAATAACCATCCAGTATCGGGTCTGGGAGGAGCAGCCACCAGGAACCCGGGTTGGATGTCTGCTGGACGACCTCCGGCAGAGGGATGAAGGTGGCCCCCTTGAGGATTTCCAGGTGGTGGAGCATGGTAAAGCCCTTCCCTTTTCTGTCAGTACACGAGACGGCATCATCTCCACCCAAGGCCAGCTGGACAGGGAGGAGCTGTGCAGAGGGTCAGACCTGTGCGAGCTGGCCTTCAGCGTCCTCTACAGGAAAAGCGGTGCTGTGAACTGTCTGCGGGTTCGGGTGGAGGTGATGGACCAGAATGACCACAGTCCCAGCTTCCCCAGCCCTCTGCAGGAAGTGGAGATCTCAGAAACAGCCAGTCTTAGGATGCGGATCCCTTTGGACAGGGCAGTGGATCCTGATGCAGGGCCGAATGGCCTCCAAACGTACACACTGTCCATCAACCAACACTTCGCCCTGGATGTGACTGCGGCTCCAGGTGGGACAAAACAAGCAGAGCTGGTCGTGATCAAAGAGTTAGACAGGGAGGTCCAGGCCTCATTTGACCTCACTGTGGTCGCTTGGGATAAAGGGAACCCCCCCAGGTCCGGGAGCACATTAGTCCGTGTTAATATTCAGGACTCAAATGATAACAGCCCCACATTTGAGGACAGCACCCCCACTGTGGAGCTTTCTGAGGATACGGCTCGTGGAACAACCATCATCAACCTCAAGGCCACCGATCCAGACCAGGGGGCCAACGGAGAGGTGGAGTACTCGCTCAGTAAACACACACGTCCTGAGGTTCAGCGGCTCTTCTATGTGGATCCCAAAACTGGAGCTGTGAGTATTGCAGCCCCTCTGGACTACGAGGCCCAGCCCTCTTATGAAGTGGTCATACAGGCTCGTGATCGTGGGCCTAATGCGATCCCCACCCACTGTAAACTGCACGTCAAGCTGACAGATGTGAACGACAACGCACCGAGGATCCACATGACCTGGACTCCACCAAACTCACCTGTGGCGACTGTGCTGGAAGGGGCAGCAGAGGACACTTTCCTCGCTCTGGTGATGGTCTCTGATGCAGACTCAGGGGAAAATGGCAGAGTGAAAGCACACATCCAACATGGGTCTGGTCCTTTCCGCCTTAAACGCATCCATGGCGACAACTACATGATTGTGACCAATGGCAGCCTGGATCGAGAGAAGGTAATGCAGTACAACATCACAGTTCTCGCCCAGGACTATGGAGAACCCCCCCTGTCTTTTGTCAAACACCTGCCCGTCCATGTTTTGGATGAGAACGACAACGCCCCTGTCTTCTCCACCTCCCTCTACAAGGCTACTTTCAAGGAGAACAACATCGCTGGTTACCACGCTCTCAAAGTTGAAGCCCAGGATGTTGACCTGGAGCTCAGTGGTAGGGTGTCCTACTTCTTACGCAACTCCAACGAAGTGGAAACCAACTCACAGTCCTTCACAATCCACCCAACTAGCGGCATCATTAGCGTCCAGCGCCCCCTAGACTACGAGGAATCCCACAGCTTCTCCTTGATTGTGGAGGCTGTTGATCAGGGTTACCCTCCTCTAACCAGCACCACCAATGTTCAAATCGATGTCCAGGATGTGAACGACAACTACCCAATCATTACTGAGCCAAAACCTCGAAAGGGTGTGGCCTCTCTGAGCGTACCTGTCGATGCAGACAAAGGGGAGATAGTCACAGAGCTGGGGAATGATCTGGAGGAGGCATCCACCATTTTGCCGATCAATCGTGCAGTAAGAGAGGGACTTGGATTCCTGGCGTCGACTATTGTCGCAGAAGATCCAGACTCAGGGCTGAATGGAGAAGTCAACTACCTCATCACTGATGGAAACCCTCATGGACTGTTCTGGTTGGATCAGGTTTCGGGCCAGCTGTTTGTTAACACCACCAATGCAACTGAGCTCATTGGGAAAACCTTTAAGGTGAACATCGCGGTGTCTGACATGGGCAGTCCGAGCCTGACCACCAAGGCTACTCTGGAGGTGGCCTTCATCAACCTCAAGGACCATCTGAAGAACTCGTCGCCTGGTCACCGAGGACAGCTCAGCTTCACGATGATGATGGCGATCTGCCTGGGTGCCACCTGCCTGCTGCTTCTGTTGGCAATCGCTTTGGTGACAACCTTCTGCCGCCCAGAGAAACGGGACAACCGGGCGTACAACTGCAGGCACGCTGAATCCACCTACACCCGCCATCCACGGCGTCCGCAAAAGAACATCAGAAAGTCTGACATCCAGCTGATACCCGTCATCAGAGGCCGAAAGGATGAGCCCCCTGAGGATGACGGCGAAGCCCAGCCATTGGCTCTGCCTCCGATGATGCAAGAGGAACAACAAGCTGATAGACAGTATACCTTGACGTCATCCGCCATGAACACAAGCTTCCATTCCCAAGGCTACCAAGACATCGACGCCACTCAACCCGTCACCCACCACACCAGAACTCTCCGGAAACCTGGAAACATCGAACTGGATGGCAGTTTGCCTCTGACGCCTGCCACGTCATACCGCTCTCTTCGAAAAGCTCGGAACCCTTCATCGTCCTCATCAGCCTCTCATTCGAGCACCTTGAAGCGCAAAACCCATCTTGAAGGCCAAGAGGCGGAGCTGACTGGTGCAGAATCTCAGGCGACTCTCAGGAGGCCGAAAACCTCAGAGGGACGAGGAGGCCGTGATGCAGAACACCGGCAGATTCTCCGAAACCTGGTTCGACTGTCTATGGCTGCATTTGGAGACTCCATTGAGCTTTCATCGGCTTCACCAGAAGTGCAAGTAAGTTGATCGTTGTTTTTTTTAACTATCACAGTAGAGACACTAAATTAAACTGATCTTAACAGCGTCTTTGATTAGTCTTATTCACTTTCAGCTGTTTGCTGATAAGCAACAGATGATTATAGAAACGGTCATTATAGAAGTCATTCAAAAGCCCTACTAATATGTTTATTTTTACACACAGTTATGAGCCCAGATAACAAATGTCGATGTTTCAAAAGGATCAGTCTGATTCTATCATAGAGATGAAATCCAACAGAGCTTACCTTAGTAAGTCAGTGATGAGGAATTATTAACTGATTGACCTGGAACCAGTTTCGTGATGTCTCTTGGTGAAGCAATAAAACCCATTATACATACGTTTTGATGAGGTAATACATTAAATTTTTGTCTAAGAAGACGTATAAATGATCAGTTAACTCCAATAAATACTGAGTAGATACGCTAACGTTCAGCATAGACTGTCAACATGGATTGACAACGTGTTTCATATAATTATTAAATTTAAGTAGAAAAGGAATATTGGCTCCAACAGTCCCCAAAACCTCCTCTTTTGTTCTGGAAACTCCGAGGCCTTTACCATGAGAAGCATGTTAACACTGTAACTGTTAATAATATTGACACACAGTAAAATTGAGGTTCTGTGGGAAAACTCTGAGTTAAATTTAAAGTATTTACAGAGAATAATCTTGTGGGACAAAACATTTTAAAATGACCTAATATGAAAGGATATAAGCCAGTAACAAGTGACTAACAAAAATGTTTACCTTGACATGCTTGGTTTATCTGAGTTTGAGTTCTTATGTGGATAAAAATGACTAAAATCAAAAACTATAATCATTTTGTTGCATCTAATCTTTCAGCAAAGGAGTCAGGCTTTCAGTATTTTCTATGTTTACATACATTTATTGATCGTTTCTGTAATCTGATGGTGTTTAATAAGGTCCAAAAGGCTCTTTATGTGTTTAATAATGTTTAATCCAAGCCTGCACAGCACAGTATTTATACTACTAACATTATTTGTTAAGTGGTTGTGAGTATCAGTCGGGTTTAACAGCATGATTACAAGTTCCTGAGTTAACTTCACCACAAGTGTATTCATCAAATCTATGCGTTTTCATTGCATTAATAATTAAACCGAACGAGCCTGATGGTTTTCTAATGTCTTCCTATTTGCATTCTCATCTGTATCTTAAACATTAGCTCTAATGCACTGCTGCTGCCTCCCATTTAAATGTCATTTACCTCCATTTAAAACCTGTGATCACATTTATTTCAACATGTGCTTACAGTTAGTGTTGCAGTAATTAAGTCTCCCCCTGCAGGCTTTGAGATTAATCTGAAGTGAAGTCCATTAGAGAGTAGAGAGTCGGAGCCCCCACCCCCCCACACACCCCGCTAACACACACACAAAGCCCGGCTTCCATTACATTTTCCCAGCAGCCTCTGCTTTTTCAGCCTCCTGTATGATGACTTACTCAGACGGCCTCAAGGCTGGAGTCGGGTGTGTGGGAGGGGGGCGCAACAAGCTGATGGATGGCTGTGAAGCCCGAAGCAGCAAGTTTATTCAGGTGCTCATGTGTCACCGAGAGTAATCCCCTCCAGAGAACGTCTGACAGGCCTTTTTTTGGGCTGAATATCATGTATCAGATCTATATAAAAAACCAGAGGAGGAGGAGGAGGAGGAGGAGGAGGGAGACCGGGTCTTGTGCTGTGCAGGATGGGGGGTCTGAGGGGGTTGAGGGGGAGCGTCCAGGCCAGCTTAGTTGTGTTTGTAGAGTAATCTTACACCGCTCCGACACGCTGCTCCGTCACTTACTTCTGACCTCAAAAATCACTTTTACCAAGTCGAGCCGCTGCAGGAAAAGAAAACAGCCCGCGCTAAAAACAGCATCTGAGAGTGCCGAGACCAGAGCAGAGAGTAGAGAAATACTCACTTCGAACCATGTGGCTCCACAGTTTCATAGAGATTCGTGTGTTAACATTTCTGAGCTCAGATCTGTTGCCCCTGATTGTGTGAAATTGTCCAGCTTCCTCAGCCTTGGTTTGTTTTATTCATGTTTAACATTTAGGCCGGTCAGTCAGTTATCAGTGATGGATTGGCCGGTTCCTGTGCACATACATACACATCAGAATTATTTATTTATCTGTTTATTAAGACTTAAAACATCTACTTCCTGACATTAAAGCTGTTCCCTCCTGTCAGTCAAGTCAGCTCTGCCTCTGATTCGCTGATCTGGTGTCCTTAAAATCATCGTTACATTCGTGTCGAACAAAAATCACTTCCTTTCAGCTTTCAGACCAAAAGGCTTTTTTTAAAAAGAGTGCTATTATTTCTACAACGGCGCATTAGGGCCACATTAAGAAAAAAAGAATAAGACTTTGTAATTACTTATAAGAATAAAGTCGTAGCTAATATTCTAACCTGTTGTTAGTTTTTTAAATGCGCGCTGTGGAGCATTTAGATGAATTGAACTTCAGTAGCTGGTTTCACAAACAAGGAGATACTAAATCCTTTGGCGTTTCATCATCACATTGTCAGAAGTATCAGGACATACGAAAGAAATGCATCTTTTTTTCACAGAAAAAACCAGGTGGACTTGTAGGAAATCGCTGTTTTTGAGGAGGGGGAAATGCTGGAAATGGCTGTGCAGAGGTTAAATCCCTAAATGCAGCTGTTTATGGCTTTAGTTTATCGTATGAATCTATTATCTATAAGGTGTTGGTGCCTCTGCAGGTGTCGGTGTCTGTCGGTGTCTGTCAGTGTTGTGCCGGCGTCAGAGACAGACGCGGTGCTCATCGGAGCTCGACTCCCTCTGGATCGCAAATGTTGATCATCAGTTGGATTTTTTCTTGAGAAACCACAAAAGCCCTCTGAATGGTCGACTGATGTACCCACAGATAACTCTGCAGTCGACCAGTTCAGACATTTCCTCCTCCACAAAAGCAGATTCAAGACTTCATTCACTTTATGACTTTATTCTCGTAAATAATGACTTTAATCTCGAAGTCTTATATTTTTCTTTCTTAATGTGGCCCTAATACTCCGTCGTACGTTTCCAATTAAATATGTTCCGATCAGAAATGAGTGATTAAAAGAAGGTTTGAAAGCCCCTCCTCAAATTCATCCAAGAGTAACTCAGTACCTGATCCTGGAACCAGAAACTGGGTCTGAACTACAGAAAGGTTCAGACCAGCGTCATTGAGGCCAAAAGTCAGCGCCGCCGCCCAGCAGACCAGAACAAAGATCTCGGCCAGGTCCGACATCCTCACGTGAGGCCCATTAGAGAAGGGAAGAGGCTCTTTTTTACCCAGCATCCTCCTCTCCTCCGACCCCCCCCCCAGTCGGCCCAGTTGGCACTCCTCAGGCTTCAGGCGTTCCTCTCCTCCCTCGAGGTCAAAGAGGAAGAGGCCTGCTGGAGGAGGGGAATTCACCGCTCACCTCTACCTCCACTAACACACATTCACAACACACACACACACACACACACACACACACACCTCCCCTCGTCCACATTTCGGAGCCCATCCTAACAGGAAACAGGCCAGAAGAATAGGCTTTTACGTAGAGGCCATTTCCTGTCCCTGCAGCGGCATGCACGTGCAAAAACACACAAATGTCAGGGCTGAAACAAAGTCATATATTAGCATGCAAACACACACACACACACACACACACACACACACACACAAATACTTACCTTCCACAGTGTGTGTTGGTGTTTCCTCCCTGGTGTGTGGAGTGTATCCGCTGTATAACAGAGCTGTCAGCAGAAAGCTGGGGGGCAGTGAGACGCACACAGAGCTGCAGTTCTCACACTGAATACACAGATTAAAAAAAAGTGAAAAAGTTGATCCTCACTTCACCTGGAGCTGCTCAGTGTTGAAGCGGCTGAACCAACACAAGGACAAACCCTGATGGGTCAGAACCGCAAAGACTCGGGTTCGAAAGAGATCGGTTAAAATCTCACTTTTCAAACAGATTCCTGCAAAAGTTCAGAAGAGGTTCTGGTTTTGTTTCACGCATCAAGTCAACATAAATGAATGATCAGATCAGATCAGATTTTAATCTCTGGATTATTTTGCTCTGCATTAGAAAACTCATAAATCTAGATTACCAACGATCCATGGGGCAGATGCGGGGTAGTCTGTGCTGGTTTGAAGTCCTGGTTGACGATCGGAGAAGCAGTTGAAAAAAACTGAGCCGTTGAGGCAGATTTGAAAAAAAGCGTCCCCCCCCCACACACACAAACCTCTCCCCTCTGTGCTCCATGATAACTCCCCCCTGAACCTGTATCACCCTCCCCACGACACACCCCCTCTAGCAGAAGATCCTACGCTAGCTTCAAATAGGATTCATCATCTCGGATTGTTAGTGACTAGCGGCAGTAAACGCCAGCTCTGCTAGCGAGCGCCGTCTGCAGCTGCCTGGACAGCTACCATGTTGACATCGCAGAGACAAATAAGAGTTATTTATGTAACATGTGCCACGATAAAAGGAGATAAAAGTTGTTGTCCTTGTTTGGTCACATTTCCTCTTCGACTCTTTCTTCTGTCGGCTTGCGTTTTCTTCCCACTGTTGGCGGTGGGGCAAGCAGAAGTGTTGTTTTTTTTTTGTGTCCTTCTCCATCACAGCTCCTGTAGGTGATTTTTTTTTTTTTTTTGTTGGATGGTAGGGGAAGGTCCCACCCTCCTTCGCCTCTGATTGGCTAGAAGTGCTGGGCTCTGATTGGTTATTCCTAATGGCTGTGAAACGTCATCGTCGGTCGGGTTAGGGTTAGGGTTAGAAGTGCGATATAGTTCTGTAATGTTCTGTTTGATGTACAGAGCCGACAGCCCGAGTTTGGCTTGAGCGTGTGATGATGTTTCCAGCTTTTCTAGCCAATCAGAGTCGAAGGAGGCGGGACTTTTCCCTAGCATCCTACATAAAAAATTGCCTACTGTAGCTAAGCTGCTACGCTACTTTTAGCCGCTCAGAGCTCCGAGGAGGGCCGGGAGAGTGGGAGGGGACGAGTCGGGAGAGGGGTGTGTCGAATACAGCGAGGTGATTGGATGGAGAGGCAGAGCAGGAGATTGACCAATAGGAGCTGTCCGGGACGGATGGCTCCCATTGGTCGATGGACGATGGTTTTTTTCCGTTCTTTGTTCTCTTCAGTTTGTGGAGATCGCACTTGAGGACCATGATCGCCATAGAAACGACGTTCATCTCTCCAATCGTCAACCATGCCTTTAAGCCTCCTGGTTTTATCCAGGATTTTTTGGTATCCTGTTTTTGTGTAAACGTCATATCCAGATTTTAAATTTCACCCAAAACAGTATCCGTATTTTTAAGAAACCTGATTTAGGTTCCCAAAGACTTGGGATCATAGACATGCTGCACAGGCCGCTGTCAGCTAAATGACAAAAACATGTTTTCTCTTTATTCGTGTGACGTTAAGAATTTATTTTGTTTTGTTTACTGCAGCTGGTGTCTTGCAAACTGGCAAAACCAACAAAATCCGAACACGGATGTTTGTTTCGCCGTTTTTACACATATCGTGGATCTTCAGATCTGGTGTAAATGCATTATTCTAACTGTCTCCCCCCTTCTCTCTCCCTCCGTCATCCCTCCTCTTCCTCCCTGCAGCAGATCTCCCAGCTCCTCTCTCTCCTCCGGCAGGGTCAGCTGCAGCCGAGGCCGAACTTCAGAGGGAACAAATACTCTCATCGTAACGGCAGGTCGGTCTCACTCCTCCTCCTCCTCCTCCTCCTCTGTCCTCCATCCATCATCACATTTTCTCCCTTTAGATGATAAAAAAAAGACTTTCTTGATGTTTGAAGCTCAGAGTTTTTGTTTCATATCTTCTTTTTGAAGCTTGGTTACAGTTTTCCACCCTTAACTTCCACTCTTCAGTGTAGGTTTATAGATGAACCGTCGTATGGATGGTGCTGCAGATGTTTGAGCATAAATCAGATAGGAGAGCGGGGCCACTCTGCAGATTATGTTATTTACTGCTTTTCAAACCTTCATTTTTCTGTATCTGTATGTGAAGTGGTGAGTAGGACCTCCCACTGTCTGTCTCCTGTGGTTTTTCAGCCTAAATGAAAATCATAACTGCAGAGCGAGGCTGGTTTGAGTTTGCGGCTGTTTGTGGTTTTTAAAATGCAGTTTTCTGGTGGTATAATGAGGCCGCAGTGAGCACGTCTGACATCCAGTTTTGCTTCAGATGACACTCATGTATGATGTGTTTATACTGTCGGTGCAGAAATGTGAAGGAAGCTCGAGTGTTTTTAAAACCCTCTGAGATCTAAGTGACTAATAGGTGCGGCTGTCGTGCATGCATGAACGCTTTGAAACAGGCTGCGACCTTTTATAGGGGAAAACAGAAACTCTAAATGTCATAGATAAGTGTTTATTTTTGCATCAGGCAGACTCAAGTTGTTAATAGAAGCTGTTTTAAACCAGAATATAATTGTTACATTCGTATCTCCAAAGCCACCAAACCCCATTTATAAAATAATTCATTATATCAACAAGAGTTACTGAATTATTGCTGAATTATTTGTCAGATTTTTATGTTATTTTGCAGCCATTCAGTTTGAGGCGGCTCATTTATGCCCCAAATTGCATCTTTAACAAACGAAAAACAGAAACTAGAGGCAGGAATATTCTCTAAACCTTTAATGTTCTAAAAGCTTAAATTACAGTTTTTCTCAATGGGGTTTGGCAGCTGCCTAGACAGCGTCATAAAAGCTGTTTCTGCATCTAAAAACTTAGCCTTTGAGTGGCAAAAACAAGATCTTACTTTCATTTGACTCAAAGGAATATTTGGTAGGCTTTGTCTCAGTGTTGGTGTGTTATTTTTCAGTCGTAATACTGACACACTAAAGAGAGAGAGAGAAATGTCTCTAAAACAACCACAGTCTCCTCCTGATGACCTCGTTCAAACTCTGACTTGCAGCTTGACTTCAGAACAGACAGATATGTCGATTCGTTCACTCTCCTCATCAGCAGTTGTTTGTTTCAGAGCCAGCTGGCTGCAGCTCTCAGGCTGTGATCACTGCTGCACGCTCTGATCAAACCGGGTCACCCTGATAGCAGACGTTAAAGGAGCATGCCGTCTATTTTAAGAGCTCACAGGTGCTTTTCCTTCACTGGAAGAGTCAGACATGACCTCATGTTTATTTCTACTCTCTAATACGACCATGTGTTTCATTATACACACAAGTTTGCACAGAAACCATGTGAGGCATTTCTGCTTATTAGTGTGGAGTTGTGTTTGCATATAGATCAATTGAAAAAAAAACACACAAACACAATGAACCAACAAAGACAGAGGCCATTTTCGAATTAACCTACTATAGGAGCAGTTTGTACTGATTTGCCCAAAATTCAGTATGCAGTAGGTGAACAAATGCAAAATTTGCAGTATGCCAAAAATACCCGGATGACGTACTGATTTGGGAAAATTTCACCGTATGTATCAGACCAGTCTGCTTTGCCTACTGTTACCCACAATGCAAAGCCCCTGTGATCGATGAGGTTTATATGAGGGGAATAAATGTTGGTGCAGTTGATCTTCAGGACGGCTGCAGCTTTAATAACCTCTGCTTGTTTTAATTTGAGAGTCTGAAGGTCACAGCCCCCCTCCTCTTCCTGAAATGTAGAAGCTCAAACTTCAACACTCCCCCCTCTGCACTCTCACTTCTTTATTCCCTCCCCTTCAGATCTACAGTTTGAGGTTCGGTTTAGCCCCAGTGTGCTGAGCTGATCCTGCTGACTCACACATGTTGTTGAGATCAGAGCTCAGACTAGTTTGCCGTCTTAGGAAATAAAACTCAGTCAGTCGTCGTCGACAGCGAGTGTTGAAATGGCGCAGAAAGGAGTTCATCTGGACCGTGAGTCTTTCTCTTGTTCCATCTGTTTGGATCTTCTGAAGGATCCGGTGACTGTTTCCTGTGGACACAGCTTCTGCATGAGCTGTATTCAAACCTACTGGGATAAAGAGGATGAGAAGAAGATCTACAGCTGTCCTCAGTGCAGAGAGACCTTCAGACCGAGGCCTGTCCTGATGAAAAACACCATGTTAGCAGTTTTAGTGGAGGAAGTGAAGAAGAGTGGACTCCAAGCTGCTCCTGATGATCCCTCTGAGGCTGGACCTGAAGATGTGGCCTGTGACGTCTGCAGTGGGAGAAAACTGAAAGCTGTCAAGTCCTGTCTGCAATGTCTGGCTTCTTACTGTCAGATTCACCTCCAGCCTCATTTTGAATCTCCTACATTTAAGAAACACAAGCTGGTGGAGCCCTCCAAGAAGCTCCAGGAGAACATCTGCTCTCATCATGATGAGGTGATGAAGATCTTCTGCCGCACTGATCAACAGTCTATCTGTTATCTCTGCTCTTTGGACCAACACAAAGGCCACGACACAGTCTCAGCTGCAGCAGAAAGGACTGAGAGGCAGAAAGATCTGGAGGAGAGTCGAGAAAACATCCAGCAGAGAATCCAGGACAGAGAAGAAGATGTGAAGCTGCTCCAACAGGAGGTGGAGGCTATCAACGGCTCTGCTGATAAAGCTGTGGAGCACAGCCAGGAGATCTTCAGCCAGCTGATCCGTCTGATGGAGAAACGCCGCTCTGAGGTGGAGCAGCAGGTCAGATCCCAGCAGGAACGTGAAGTG